AAACGGCAAATTTTAGGTTGCCATTGCCTTTTTATAGCGAGTCTTGCTACGCCACTGCCTGTGCTTGATATTTAACAGACATTTTAATCAAGGTATTGAGTGAAACATGTTGGTCTGTTAATTTACATGGCTGTTTCAAATGTTTTTAGACATATCTTCATAAATTAGCTCTAGTTATGTTTCCATGCCAAAACCCCATCTGGTAACAGCAAATCATTCTTTAAATGCGAGTTTCGAGCCGTCTGCAAAAATTAATATTTTAGTTACGATATTTTGAAATAAATTGCCTCAATAAATGAACCTTGTCTACCATCTAAGCATGTATGTGTTTATATATATATATAAGTATAACAGCCACTTTGACAAAGTATTATTTGAAACTAACATGTGAATACCCACAAAACAAATTGGAATTAATAAAATGTAACGGTTCCAGGAGAAATATTAATGCATTCAATGAATGTGGTGTATTTTTCAGTAGCAAAAAAGTTATTGATCACAAATCAATAATTTAAAAACACTCGACAAAATAATTCAAAATTTGTCTAGAAATAATAATCATAATCCAAGTATTTAAATGCTCAATAGGAGATAGATCTAATAGGAAATTACAAATGAATTAATATCCAAAACAATTCTCTGTGCTATACCTGTGCTCAGTGGCGTAGCATCCACCCCCGCAACCCCCGCGGTCGCGGGAGGGCCCACGGCGCAAAGGGGCCCAAGCGGTTGGAATTTAGAAAATTTAAGCCGCAGAACCAAAAGCTGCATTGCAAAACCAGTAATGCACATCTTATAACGTTGATGTTAGTTCTGCTCAAATCATTTTGTTACGTAACAATGCCAGGGAGTCGTCGATTTTCGGCGTTTTGTGGTTTGATCTTGATCGCGCCGGCAAAATTACGAAGGCTGTCAGAATGATGTCGAAAGCAAAACCTCTCAGTGGCGCACAGGAACGCAGAAAAAGGGTAGAAGAGGAAAAACGTATGAAACAAATTAAAGTAACCAAGATAAACGGCAAATTTTAGGTTGCCATTGCCTTTTTATAGCGAGTCTTGCTACGCCACTGCCTGTGCTTGATATTTAACAGACATTTTAATCAAGGTATTGAGTGAAACATGTTGGTCTGTTAATTTACATGGCTGTTTCAAATGTTTTTAGACATATCTTCATAAATTAGCTCTAGTTATGTTTCCATGCCAAAACCCCATCTGGTGACAGCAAATCATTCTTTAAATGCGAGTTTCGAGCCGTCTGCAAAAATTAATATTTTAGTTACGATATTTTGAAATAAATTGCCTCAATAAATGAACCTTGTCTACCATCTAAGCATGTATGTGTTTATATATATATATAAGTATAACAGCCACTTTGACAAAGTATTATTTGAAACTAACATGTGAATACCCACAAAACAAATTGGAATTAATAAAATGTAACGGTTCCAGGAGAAATATTAATGCATTCAATGAATGTGGTGTATTTTTCAGTAGCAAAAAAGTTATTGTTATTGATCACAAATCAATAATTTAAAAACACTCGACAAAATAATTCAAAATTTTTTGGCACATCTGAAATTATAAATATAGGTATCCAATTTATGTGAAAAAGTTATTAGTACCAACCTGAAATCAAGCAAAATGGATTATCAAGGCAAACGTAAAACACCTCTTATGTAGTAATATGCAGCTGGTGATACAATGACAGAATGACTCTGGGAAAAAATTATCAAGATCAGTAGAACCCCATCATAAAACACTTATTAATTAAAGTTTAAATATGTGTGTTTAATTTATGTTTTTCATACAGACGTCACAGTTTCAGGATGTCGCTCACCACTAGGGATGGGAATTTAAGGGAAAACACTTTAACCGTTAACCGGGTAACATTAACCGGTTAACCGCCGCGTGACGTTTGACGTAATAATTATAATTTCAGCTTGTTACGTCACAACGGTTATAAAGCAATTTCGCGTGTTCTTTTCCCAGAATCGCTCAAAATTATTCACGAATCGAGATAGTTTCATTATTCCTCTGCTGCAAAAGATAGGCAGCGTGGTTCGGGCATGTGGAAATGTTTTAGCCCGATCCCATTGTTAAACGTCATTTATGTGACAAATTTTTAGTGTTCGATGTGCAAATTCTACTTCGAGATATATATCATAAAGAAAAACGGCATCAACTGCACACTTGTTGTATGACATTCATTGGATATCCGATTTTGCAATGAAATCGTGAACAATATATTTCGGAATCGACCGAAAACTAATTCTGAATTTATCATTGTAAATTTTCATTATCAGCAATCTTGGTACTTCCATTATTTTTCACATTACTTGATTCCTTACCCAAGTTAGTAATATTTTTTTGAATTAAACGCCGCAAGAGATAAATTTGCTATGACGTAATTATATTTGACGATATTGTACGGTATGAAGATGATTTGTACCTGAGATGTCAGTTAACGGTTGAAATAAATCATAACCGTTAACCATCTGAAATCGGTTAACCATTCTCAACCCTACTCACCACATTTGTTTTTTTGCTGAAAGTTTTAGCTGCTCCACCAAAAATTTTCATTGATATAGTGTAGGCTAATTCTGATTTTTGAGATAAAGATCACCCATCAGTCAATTTATATTCTTGCCTACCGATTAGATCACACAGCATAAATCCTCACACTGCAACTTTTTATGATCCTTTCTTCCTGAAAATATACATATCTCTTATAAAAATCTACATTCCTTGACAAATCATTACTGTATTGGGTACCTATAAGAACATTTACAACTGTGGCGGGACTGGAATTGCCCTTTTTTTATTGTTTTGTATTTTATTTATATTTAGTGTCTAGTTATTGCATATGCATTGGTGTGTAGAGTCTGAGCCCTAATTCGGCCGACAGTTAGTTTCAGTTACTCGACTCCAACCGCCACTGCATATGTGAACTGTGTTGCGGATTGCTTCTGTATTGTGTTACAATGTTTGGAGTATATTAAAATGGAATATCCCGGTTATCTGGAGATCTATACTGACGGTTAAAAATCTGCAACTCGCTGTGGTGCTGCCTTTTTTATACCAGATTGTGACGTTTCGAATAAATTCCGCCTCGATCCATTGTCTACTTCCTACTGTACGGAATTATATGCCATATATCGAAGTTTGATATGGATATCACAAAATAGGCCTTCAAAAGTATTAATATTGTGCGATTGTCTTTCTGCATTGGAAAGCATACAGAATATTTGGGATGTTAAGCATTTTTTATCGACAAAAATACAACTACTTCATTCTATTATTTGTCACACGACTGATATCAAGTTTATGTGGATACCAGCACATATTGGAATTAGCGGTAATGAGGCAGTGGATCGACTGGCGAAAGACGGAGCAAATGGAATTGTCATCAATGCTGTTCTCCAACGGTCATTGAAAGAAGCTAAGACATTGTGCAAGCAAACATGTCTTGCAAAATGGAATTTAACATACCAAGCTAACGATACTGCAAGCCATTATAAGAACTTTCGAACTCATATAGCCCAAAAGACTGTCTATTTTAATTTTTCCCGCCAAGAAGAAATAGTTTTCGGCTTCAAACTGGACATATTAGACTCAACTATCATTTATTTAAAATAGGGCTACATCCCACAGGGCACTGTAGTCGATATGACACAAATGAAACTGTTTCCCATTTTATTTTATATTGTCCCAAGTATAATAACTTACGATGCGAATTAAGACGTGAAGCAGCAAAAATGAAAGTGCCCTGGGAAATTATTTGTGTTTTCAATGTTCCTGATTTGATTCCATTTATTATTAGCTTTGCTATATCCACCAAACGAGAGTTGTGAACCTATTTTATTGTATCATACTGACTGCTCTTTTTGATATTTGGCGTGGCGTAAATGGAATTTAACATACCAAGCTAACGATACTGCAAGCCATTATAAGAACTTTCGAACTCATATAGCCCAAAAGACTGTCTATTTTAATTTTTCCCGCCAAGAAGAAATAGTATTTTTTCGGCTTCAAACTGGACATATTAGACTCAACTATCATTTATTTAAAATAGGGCTACATCCCACAGGGCACTGTAGTCGATATGACACAAATGAAACTGTTTCCCATTTTATTTTATATTGTCCCAAGTATAATAACATACGATGCGAATTAAGACGTGAAGCAGCAAAAATGAATGTGCCCTGGGAAATTATTTGTGTTTTCAATGTTCCTGATTTGATTCCATTTAGTATTAGGTTTGCTATATCCACCAAACGAGAGTTGTGAACCTATTTTATTGTATCATACTGACTGCTCTTTTTGATATTTGGCGCAAAAGACCCAGTTGTCAAAGACGCCATTAACCCTTTTACCTTACCTTCTTGCTTCTGCTGTCGATGGGTAAGGACCGTATTTTGTCGCTTTTATTTTATCTGCTTTAAGCGTGGATTTTACACAATTTTAATAAAGTCTCTTCGTTTGCATCGTGAACTTCGAACCTATTTGTGTGTCATTGCAGTACACTGGATCTTCTGAACAAATTATTACAGTATTACTAGACTGTATTAGTGGCGAGCACCTACCGGTATTCCGGTTAAGTCGTACTGTTGCACAACTTACTATTTTTTATGCTGAACAATCGTAGCACAAAGCGGCTCTCTACGTAGCTTTAAAATGAATTTAAAATCTTACTGTCAATGTGCTTTCGAGTGCTGGACCTGTCCCAGGGCCTCCTCACTCAATTGATTGTTTCTCTATTTTGTTTTGTAATCTACATTCTATCAGTTCTATAGTCAAATATATCGTGTAATATTCCATGTGCACAACTAACTTGAATATTTATAAGTCACTCACTCAATCTTGACGCGATATAGCGCGCACAGAACACAGAAAATTGCAATACGTCGCGCCAACGACTAACATACCTTCGCACAATGATTTTCGAATCAATAATCTGTCAGAACCAAGGCGAGCGTGACGGCGAATCCAACATAGGGCGCAAAATTTCCGGAGTTACATGGCGTTGGTCAAATACATATCGCATTTTTATAAGTTTGTACACATAGTTCTCATCGCTAATAGCAAAATATCTATCACCTCCTAAATTTGAAAACACCCACCCTAAAATGAAAACTGGGTAGCTTACCAATTGCAAGTGCCCCGCAGTACAGAGAAAGTCAACTCGTCCTTTACCTGTTTACGCCTGTACCGTATGATATCGGTAGTCTGTTGCAGGAAACAGAGCGCGTGTATCTTTCGCTGCGCATTTTCATGAATCGTGATGGCCAAGCGTTCGCGCCGCAACGTTTTTGGAAATCGGACTGCCGCCAATGATGAGATTAAAACTGGTTCTTATCCGCTGGTTACTGGTGATTATGAATGGGTACCAGGACCTGAATCCGATGAGCAATTCCCCGATAATATGGTATGCGGTGGAAAGTTGGAAACCGGACAATTTGCTTACATTGGACGTGCAGACGTTGAAGATCAAACCCCGTCCGGCTTTGTTTTGAAAGAAACGCGAGAATTACATGTTCCCTATGGTACCTCGGAGCACCGTCTACGTAACTATGATGTTTTGGTTGTCAAGGATCAAAATATTCTGGCATGGCAGGAGTGTGAAAATGGTCGTCCTCCCTCTACCACGTGTTGTATACCACTAGAAGTGGGTGGAAACTTTCGTGAAAGCATGCAAATTGGTCGAACCTGTACCCCTTTGATTGAGGGTCACACATGGAATGAAATGCAGCTAGAAGTATCTCGATGGGTTAACACTGATAATAATGTGCATAGGTGAGCATCACTACAGCACTAGATTGCAGTGTCTCTGTATAATAATTTTATGTGTACACCTGTTATTAAATATTGTTATTGGATCAAACACCAAAATGTGAAGCAATAAGTATAAGTATATTTTGATTTTCCCGCAAAAAAAATCATACAGAAAACACAAACAATGAACGCACAGAAGATTGGGAAAATCAGGGAAACTTGCAAAACCTTTATAAATGTTTAATACGTGTAAATATACATGCGCCAGTTTACTTCCTTACTAAAGAGTTTATTGTACAGTGAATAAACTTTGTATATGGTTGTTAGAATCATTCTTTGTGTTTAAATAACTGAAAGCTTCATAGGTAACCGCATCTAGGATAACCATTTGGTTAATGGAAAAAATAATCTTCATTCATTACACATTGTTTCAGATTGGGAAAAATTCATCGGAATCACCAATGTCTATATATACCATATCAAGGACGGGAATACATTTTTAGACGCCACGAAATGCTGATGCTTAAAACTTCACCAGGATCTTTAAAAAGGATTTGTCGTTGGTCTATCTTAAAATATTTAGAACACACCAGGTCCAAATCCAGCAAAACAATTGATAGCTTGCCACTACCTAACAAAATTAAGGGATATCTGAAGCACACAGACAAGTGACTATACCTACTGACATACAACCACCGTATATATAAAACTTATTTTCTAATATATACCTTTTTGTTGATTTTATTTTAGCGTGATAGTTTCTTTTGCAAGATGTTGCATTTTTTCTGATTTGACATTGATTTTGACGTGAAATATATACAAGTGCAATCTGATGTAAGTCACAGTTAAATTATTTATTTGGGTTCCGCTGGTTATAATATTTTACAGATTTTAGGAGCATAATGGTATGTAGTTCTAATTTGTCTCTGCCATTACTGTGTGATAAAATCCATCGAAGGGTGACTTCAATGTTGCTCAAGCTCACTATTTCTCTCACATCTACAACATTGCATCTAAAGTATATATCAGACCCAGTGTTTGGGTTAGTCTCTCTTACACTATGAATCTGGACTCATCCCCAGAGGGGGAAATTTTGCCTTGTATTCTCTGTACAATTCTAATATTCTTCAGTCCTTTGTCACTACTATAATACCTATTTACGGACACATTATCAACTACTTGAACCGTGCAAAAGCGGGAGGGCGATTTGTACATAAGACTAGCTAACACCCATTAAAGATTGAATAAAGCATATATATAGCGAGGCTTTAACGACAAAGGTTTGGAGCCACCGACTCTTATTTCTTGGTAAAACAAGACTAGCAATCAACAGAGGCTTTGGTGGTACATCAGGAAACTCAAGTCTCAAGCTCTTCAGATGAATCCTGCGCAAGTATTCATATTGCATCACAATATACGACAATACAGTTTATAAAAAATTTATTTGCAACATGTACACTACACGTTATTCCTGCCAAAAGTATGTATATTTATTAACAACAATGATGTTAACAGTAATGTCACATCCAATCTCCTAGAGATGATTAAAACACAGTGCGTACATATATCCGGGAGTATATATTACAAAATGAACGTCAGCGGAAGCCTCTTCCTGGTCCCCACTTGATATCTTGCATTCCTTGAAATTGACTTTTCAATCTGTTGTTATCTGCCCATTCTGAGTTCAAGTGAGCGTTGTCTTCTGATTCGTCAAGTTTCTGGAAAGAATTGATCTTCATAGTTGGTAGTGTGGCATGGCACAGGTTCACAAAAAAAGAGAACTGTGTCTGTGTGTATGTAATGCCCTACTGGTTTTAATTAATTTCCAGATACATTGGACTTGTCCAAGGGTGGATGGTAAAAAAAGAAACCTGCATGTATTCTTTTAAATCATTCATTAACACCAGTTAGTTTTTAGTCTCTTAGGTGAGATATCAGTACTATTATCTTCCATATTGAGTATGTGTAATTTTGCTACCAGGGTAAGACATCAATAACCACATTGTATGTCATGACAGAATTTAAAAAATGCCATATAAAATATATTTACCTTAAGTTCTTCTTGCCTTCTGTATGCATGTAACATCATTTGTTTCTTTTGTTCTTCTGATACAACTGGCTCCCTTCCAGGTGGGCCAGTACCTTTTTTCTGCAGTTTAGCCACAATTTTAGTTTTATCATTATTTCCCACATAATCTTGCAGTTTCTTTCCAGGTAATAGTTCTTTACCAGCCCACCAAAGCGTTCCTTTGTCTTCTGGGATTACTTGTAACGATGCTTGAGTTCCTAAAAGTAAAAAAGACAATTCCTATAGGTTGCAATTTGGCTCATCAAGTATTATTCATCGTAACAATGTTAACTCACTAGGTTAAATTGGGAAGCTAATTCTTATAAAATAGGCTATTTAGTTTTAATACTGTCGATCTAAAATTTGCTGCCTACAAAAAGAGATACGACAGCACTTTGATTTCACAACTTACCCGAAAGTTCTTCTTGATTATCTAGCTCCAATTGTATGGGATCATGTGGTGGTAATCCCATTGGATACACAATCATCACTGCACCACGTAGCTGTCCTAAAGCATCTTTTACTATTTCATTTGTCATCAGTGTGTTTGCTTCAACCAGTTTCTGTCAATTTGAGATAAGATTTGAAGTTTTCAAGATACAAAAAACCCTCCTTCTGAGATTGGTTCAACTTGTCTTGTAAATTATGTAAATAGTAGTGCTGGGAACAGTTAACCGATTTTAGATGGTTAACAGTTACGATTAATTTTAACTGTTAACTGAAAATTCAGGTACAAATCATCTTCATAATGTACAATTTCTTCAAAAATGATTACGTCATCGCAAATTTATCTCCTGTGGCGTTTAATTCAAAAGAATATCACTAACTATATAGGTAAGGACCCAATAAATATGAAACATAATTGAAGTACCAATATCGCTGATTGTAAAAATTTGACAATGATGAATTCACAATCAGTTTTCAGTGGAAATATATCGTTTACAATTTTATTGCAAAATAGTATATTCAATGTCATCCAACAAGTGCGCGGTGTTTTTCTTTATGATATCTCAAAGTAGCATTGGAAGTCTAAAACTGGAAATTTGTCATATAAATGACATTCAATAACGGATTTGGGTTTTACTAAAATACTTCCATATGCCCATTGCATATCTCTTGCAGCTGAGAGATTACGGAACTATCTTCATTCGTGAATAATTTTGTTCAATACCGGGATAAGATCACCCAGAATTGTTTTGTAACCATTGTGACATAACAAGCTGAAATTATAAATTATTACGTCAAACGTCACGCTGCGGTTAACCGGTTGATTTTTCCCTGAAATTCCAAGCCCCGGTAAATAGGAATAGAATGTCTCAAAATCATTTTAAATAAACCAAATTTTGTTTGGCTGTAATCTCTGACAACTTGTTGAAAGATGCTCATTTGGTGAAGTCAAATTTATTAATGCATTCAAAAGATTACAATTGTAGTGAAAAATATTCTAAGACAAAGATGTCCCATTTACCTTGCTAATACTTGCTTTTGCGTCTTTCACAGTCTTAGTCAAAACCTCCGCCATTTTTGTATTCGGAGCTTGACCATTTCTTCTGCCAATATCATCCTTACAAAATACGGCTCCACCACTTGGTATGCACCTTATGAACAAATATATGACAGGGGATAAAGCTCCACAAACATTTTTCACAAATAATTTCATATCAAATGAAACAAACGCTTCACTTACTTTTCCACCCATTCATCCTTCAACTTTAAATCGACTATTTGATCATCTGTCAATCCCTGCATGTTAGGTGGAAGTGTTGTGCCATGTTTTGCAAGAAATTCCATCTCTGAAATAAGCGAAAAACATTTTTATATCATTGTATACCCCTGTCAATTGGCTAATAATTGTTGGATTTTTAATTTTCCTGGTTTCTTTCTCAATTTTTAAATTTCCATCTAATGATGATGATGGAATTTGTTGTTTTCCAAACTTACATGTATATTTTACAACTTTGATTATTGACTCTATAACACATGCTGGAAGCTAATGATCAATATCAGTGCTACATCTCAAAAAAATGTAACATAGCAATGTGGATATCTTATTTTAATATGAGTAGTTGGTATAATTTAACAGATTACTAAACTCATAAAATCAGACATTTGAACCATGTGAAATTTGCTATAAAAACAAACAACAGTGAGTTAGATTCAATTCTGATCCTACAACTCATTCTGGCACAATTGAAATACACAGTTTTCGATTTTTCAGCAAGAAGTTAACTAATTTCACAGAAATATATTCACTTGATAATATAAAACATATATATTATACATCCATACCTTGGCATATTCTATCAATTTTCAGACGTGCATTGTAAATATATATTAGCTTCGATAACAATTCTTCAATATCCACCGCCACCGCAGTTTCATACAGAAATTGACTTTCATCTCCATGTTTGATATGTATGCGAACCATGATGTGAAAATAATAGTTGAGCTGTGTGTTCTACATTAAAAAATCAAAAAAGAATCAATCTCATCTGCTTAAACTGGATTAAATTAAAAGTTTGGTATCACACCAGCAGACCAGTGATTAGAGTTTCATTTGATCCAAAAATATGCAGTATTCAAGAAAAACAAATGATATAGCCTAGCCAATTTGAGTTGAAGTCATGTCAATAATATTCATTATGCTCATATTACTGTATTATATTGAGACTATATCACAAAGGCGTACGATTCTAATTGTCTTGTCTCGTGTTATATTTTAAACTAGCACTGATCAATGTATGATTAAGTGTGTTATTTAGCTCCATTCATAAAAACATTGAATGGAACAGAAAGTATTAAAAATATAAGTTATAGTTAAGGGTAGTTAATACAGTAATACTTTGTAAGTATCTAGTAGTACCGTACTATTCGAGTATGTTCTTTGCGTATAGTCTATTTAAAACACTTTTCAATGACCTAATTACTGTACCGGTATTCCAGTATTCACTATTCGTCCATTTCAAAGTACTGTTACACTAACGGCCGGAATAATCACTATGACAAAACCCCCGACTCGGGATTATTTTTAACGAATCTGACTGAAGTGAACAGCTCAAATTCTCCAATCCCGAATAATTTTATTACAAATATATTTAATCATAAACATTTAGAACTATATTCCAACATAAATCAGGATTTTAAATACGTCATTGCGTTATTTTACAATTTATGCACGAGTGCGCAGCATGAATAACACAACGTTGCTATGGCAGCGTTCACACGGTATGTGGTCGCATTGTGCTTTTCCTATGATTCGATTAATTTCGTGATTATGGGGGAAATACAAAACAAATTGTTCGCCTAATTGCATGATGACGCAAGTCGAAACAAGAAACGATGAATTGGCTAAAGTTGAAACAATAAGTGGTGAGATAGTTCTTGCTTATTATTATGAAGATGATGCTATATTTTGAGACGAATAAACATACAATATCATACAGTCATACACACGCGAGTACTGAAATTACTGCGAGTAGTACCGTATGTGCAATACAAAAGATATATTGTGACAGTTTAAAACAGGTTCTGGTTTATTTGACAGACGTGAAGGATGTTCAACCACAGGAAAACCGCAAAGGTCATGGACGTTTGTACATTCCTCATGGAAGGGGGGAAGAAGATGTTTATAAACCACATGCTCAGCACATTGATGTGGAATACTCCGAGTAAGACTTCAAAATGATAAATATATTACTAGATAAAATTATAACTGGTATTACGAATCATGAGTATTAATTAATCTTCGAAGGGCAGTCAAGTTAAATGTAGTTTTGAGATATAGTATTGTTGAAATCAATAATTTTGGTGGAGATGATAAATATCTTGAATTCTAATGAAAAACCCAAGTCTAACATTGTGTAACATGATTTATCTGTCAATACTGCCATGCATATTTTTCTTCTACTGTAGCTGCAATTTATGGTTGTATTTGATTATTATGTTTGCAAGAATATATATACAGCTGGTGACCATGCAAATTTAGGTTCCATTACATTTGCATCCGTAATTTGAACCCACAACAATTTATTGACCTATGGACCTTTTTTATGGATATTTGAACCCACTAACCCTAACCCATGAGTTTTAGCACCCGCTCATAGATTGAACCCGCGGATATACCGGTGCAAATGTCACCAAATATTACACATGCTACGTAATGCCAGCAATCACCTGATTCATCTGTTAATGTCAGTTATTTATGCTTTTAATTTTTCACAGATGCGGTCCAGATTGGAGTTCTATGATCAGATGGCTACCACCCCCTTCACCTGGCAAAAAACCGAAAGAAACAACGTTTTATCCACCACTTGAAAGACTTCGCCATTTTCCAGATAAATCCAATGTAACAACATCAAAAGAATATCAGTTTTATCCTCCCCATGGTATTCCACTGGTTTACAGCAAAGGAAAGGTCACCACTTTTGATAGTGTGCATCTTGCAAGTCAAAGAACTTACAATGAGATTACAGATATAGAACAGTTTGGTAGAAAAGGCTTTGTGTTGGACACTCGTGACGGATATCCTTCTGCATCAGCAGGAGACAAACCATATAGAATTCCAGAATATTCACCTAATTTTCACAAATTTGGATCAACAAGACCAGTAGTCAATTTTGGGTAAGATGTTCAATAAGTAACATATTATAACCTCATTTCACAGTGAACACATGTGGATAACATTTTGTGATCAACTATATAGAACAAATCACAAAATATGAAGTACAGGGAGTCCTCGACTTACTATACATATCGTTCTGTATTGTTAAATATGGTACTGTAATAAAATGTACAAATACTGCAAAAAAAGTACTTAATTAGAAAAAAAGAAAACAACATGAATATCACATAGATTAAAAGCAAATACTGTACAGTACAGTATTATCTTTTTCATGGAGTGCGTTCCTAACATCGAAACAACGTTATGGAGTGCGCGTTCGTAACCTCGAAACAGCGTAAGTCGCGACCGTCGTAACCCGAGGACTCCCTGTACTTGAAAATTTAACTCCTTGAAGCCTCATCCTTTTCACATTTACAGTGGTTTCAAAGCAGAAATGGCAGATACATTCATACCGCTGCAGGCACTCTCGCCCACACCAGTGTAAGTAAATGTTTTTTAGTGCTTTAATAACTCAACCATTGGAAATTTTAACTTATTCAAATTGAATTTGATAGGAAACCATATACGGTTGTGGAAGCAGAAAAAAAGAAGCAGGAAGAGGTAAATGAAGTGGAATCTCTAAATCAATGGAGACCTGCATCACCCCTCCAAGTCCCAATAGCAGAATGGCGATAATTATCAGTATACATCCTGTGATTTTTTTTTCGTGGCATTGCGTGCAATTAAAAAATATTGTTTTTCAAATCAGTCTATATTGCTAAATAAATAAAATGTTCTGGAAAAGTTCAGCTTTTTCTAACTTGAGAATACTTGAACCTAATTGTGTTTATGATTTCGAATATTATTGGCTGTTATTTGTTTGCTCATCGAGTGAGAAAAAAGTATTCAAAGTGTTCACCTATGTGGCACTTTTAAGTCTTCTGCACTGCACTATTTACTGTAATTCAAACCTCAACATAAATTGAACTACTGTCAGGTACACAGATTGTACAGACATTTAACAATGAAAGATTCATTCGAGAAGCATTTTCTGCCTCCAGAGGATAATGGACTGAACCGCTTTGTCTGCTACACACTGTGATGACGCAAAGCTCCAATCCATAGTATTTTAATCTTTAAATAGTTGCAAGCTTTATATATAAAAAAGGACTAATATTCTAGGCACCATTTTAAATCACAATGATAAAAATACGAGTCAACCATGAACCTTTACAGTGAAATGCTAACGAAAAGAGTTAAATGGAATGTAAAAATTATAGGGTTTTACCATATTATACAGTACACAAAAATTATACACCCTGCAGTGGATGACATAGTCATCATTTGACAGGACAAGATGTAATTTTTATTTTGGCAAATATATTCTGGGAATTGGAAGATGACTAGGTATAGGTGACTAATTAGGCTCAATAATGCACAGTGATTCTCTAGACTAATTTTTCAGATAATAGTGTACTTAAAAATATATTATAATATCTTGTCAAGAAATGCGGCTTGCCATGGATATTCTAGTATCAAGTTGAAACACTTTTTGCCATTTGTACAATTGGGCAATCTTTTCTAATCACCTCCAGACACGACAAGTATTGTCTTTGCTTCCAGTTATTATGGTGTCACCTTCATAATTAAAAGCACAGCTGAAGATTTCATCAGTATGCCCTTCCAATGTCTGTTGACATTCACCTAGAAATGATAAAACAATATGACAATAATATTCTAATCATAATAAACTCTATTATAGTCAAACTGAATATTTGAATACTGGTGCCCTGGGAGATGTACAAAAACTTTTATGCAATGAAAAATGTTTTCACATTATTTAGAGATGGGTAATATAGAATAATTAATTTTCACATTATTTAGGGATGGGCAATATAGAATAGAATTAAATCGAATCCAGAATACCGAATCCTATTCTATTTTTATACTTATTCAAATAGTGGGAATTTCCACAATGCTGGATTTAGATGTTAAAAAATTGTAAATGTATTACTATAAATGTATTATTTATTTGGAAATGTCCTGAACATTTGATTTCATTTGATATTAAACAGACATTTCCCAGGACAATAAAATTTAGGAATATTACAATATTTTTTTGCCTTCAATTGTTCCAAATGTATGTAATCCCTAAATACTGAAATGCTAAATTAAGACACGCTTTACACACTTTAATAGTAAGCGGTTAAATACAAAAATAGATATGAAACGGCGTTAAATCATTTTCAATGTTAGTCGGCCGAGTGTACTAAATAAAACATACCCGCTGAGAATTAATTAGATGCAGGACCAGCGTGTGGCCACTGCAACCTATGCGGCCGTTGTAAAATATTAAATTTAACCACTATCTATTAAAATCAACTTTTTATTCTGTGAGAGCAAGACTCGTAAAACCAAGTTTCCGTAAACACGATTTCGTACTTAGTTATTAGGTAATAACATCTAAAGACTAATTCCTTTTCTATGATTACCATTAAATATCATTATCTACACAGACTTGGCCCTACTTAAACTCAATACGTCACTATCTTCGCCAGATGCAGCAACTTTTTCTTTAAATTTATCAGCGACTTAAATACTACAGAGTCTACAGACACTCGATCAAACGTGCGTCTATCTTGAACGATAGGAACGGACCGAAAAATATGTGTAATCTTTTGATTCTTTTGTGTAATTCAAATGTGACAGATTTTCGCGTATTGCGATATTACTTTGTGTTTCGGAAAATGGTGTAATAAAATTATTCGTAAAAAATATTTGATCTAAATTAATCGCAAGCAATGTTATAACATTTAATGCCCGGCTTTTGGTTCACATGCATCATTTTTTGGGAAAAGTCGCAGGTCGCGAGATATCATTTAATGTAAAATGAAGCAAGGCATGTCTGTAAACAATTAAAGATTGTTACAATCAGATTATCGGAATATCGCTAGTAAGTCGGCACAAATAATTATTATTATTATACGTATATACAATATAGCAAATCAGTAAAACGCAAAAATGGTGCAATAACGAGTCTTCGCCGAGAGGTGTACTTCGCCGACTTCTTGTCCTGAATATGCCGATTGCGATTACAGTGTCTGATGTTTACCGACTTTACTAGCAGACGCAAGTTGTATTAAACGAGAGAGATTTCCACGCGAGCAAAAACGCTCGTCTTTTTGATAAATTAGAAACCCGAAATACAAAAATTGACGCTTGGTTCGAATACTTGGGGATTCGAATCCTCCGTATTCGGTAATCTATATTGCCCATCCCTAACATTATTCAAACATTTTGTGAGCTATGCAAACATACAATAAACGGTGCTCCCGAAGTATGCGAACCAAGATGGCGGAAATCGGAACATAACATGGGTAACAGGTTAGGGTTAGGCGATAATTTTTTTCCAATTTTCCTTATTTTAGTCCTATTATCAGTTCGAAGACTAGCCAAAAGCCTCCCGTAGTATTTCTACCTAAAATTAATGGCCTAACCCTAACCTAGTACACATATTACATTCCGATGTCCGCCATCTTGGTTCGCGTCTTCGGAAGCCCCCAATAAACTTCCCATGACATAGATAACATATATTATGCTCCTGCTGTGGAGAGAATGTCTAACCTAATGGTCTTTTAAAAGTTCACATACAGCACACTGGAACAGGAAGTCTACATATTATTTTTGAAACTTGACATTGGGTAAACGATAAAATTAAGTTTGAGACTTGAGAACACCTGTGCTGGGATATTAATTGCCCAGAATTCATTCATGCACTTGCACTGACAAGGACAACCCACAAGAAGAGTGTTAGGATACTAACCTGTAACAGCATCCCATAATCTTGCAGTTTTGTCGGAACTTGCAGTTAATATCCGACTTCCTTGTGGATTAAAACAAATTTTTGATATTTCGCCTTCATGTCCCTCTAATTTAGCAATACACTTCTGCGTACCAGCATCATATAATCTACCAGTACCTGAAAAAGTAGCAGACAAACTAAAAAACACAGCTAACACTTCATAATTTCCTCCAAATCATTCAAGATTACATTTGACCTGCCCTTATGGAGGGTCATTTTGCTTGAAAGTCCCCAAACTCATTTTAAGCTAAGGGACATGTTCTTGAGAAACCGAAATCCCAAGAATATAAGTGATTGCGCTGATCTTCGGTGAAACTGTGTGATATGAAATTCAAACAAAGAAAACAACACATAATTTATTTTCGAAAAATGATGGTGTCATTATCAGTATAATAATATTTAGAACCGAATATATTGAACTCACTATCAGCAGATGCACTAACGATGTTTTGACCAGTGTAATTGAATCCTACATCCAGCACTTCATCATCATGTCCACGCAGAAGTACCAACACATTGACCAGTTCTAATATCCCATAGCTGGAAATTTATAAGATAAATAACATATCAAATTTACGAAGGCATAGTTACAAAAACAATACGTGGGTTCGCCAGTACAGCTGCAGAGCAGTGCAGTTTATGGAAAAGCGGATTGGTTACAGCTTCCTTTACTATTCCAATCATGTTAAAATAAGCGAATTCATTCCATTCAAAACACAAGAATATAACAATTACATTTCTTTTGAATTATAACAAAACGCATTGAGAAAGGTTGTTTTCAGATATTTAGGTTGGCAAAGCTCTTGCAGTTCTATGTCCATGTAGAGATGAAGGAAATAATTCTTTACCTTGCATGTTTTATCCATAGATGCAGACACGACAAGAGAACAATCCCAATTGAATTGTGCAGTTGCTATTTCCCCCCTGTGCCCAATCAAAGTGTTCATACGAACGCCGGTATTAACATCCCAGAGAGACACTGTGTGGTCAAAACTGCCAGTTAAAAGGTGGTCGCCTCCAGTGTTGAATGACAAAGAAATTATCTCGGCAGAATGACCCTAAATAAATCAGATTGAATAAATTAACACTGATATCAAATCAATATATTACATTATGTCTGTTTGATTGAATCTCACCGTCAATGTAGAAAGCTCAGCACCAGTTTGTATATCCCACAATTTAGCTGTAGTGTCCATAGACCCAGTTGCAACAACTGTACTTTGTGGATTGAAAGAAAGACATACAATTTCTGACATATGTCCGCGATAAGTAAATAACACTGACCGGTTTCTGCATTCCATAATTTACAAGTTTTGTCAAAACTTCCAGTGGCGATTTTATCACTGCAAAGCACAAATAAAAAATGATGATTAACATAAAACCAGCTTTTAGTTTGACAATATGCCTATGTTTTTATTATGAAGATATTTTTTGTTTGAACACGTCATTATAAACTTGCATTTTTTTTCCTATGAAGTGTTTCAAAGAATTGATAGTTTCAAAAAAATTATATTTTTTCGCTCCCTGAGAGAATATATGGGTTGGTGGGTCGCTTTTAATCCGATCAATTCACTGTTGTTAAATATATGAAATCATTTTTTGACATGATCCATGGAGCATTAACAAATCTCATGATAGCCCAGGAGAACATAGCAACTTCAATCTTCCATAATTAAAAGGGTCATCTAGCAATATCATAAAGTGTCTGTCTGCAGTACGCGATATTGAAAAGAGAAGTAGTGTTCAATGAACTACTACTTATTTTATAATAAATTTGAATCTTATACTAAGAGAAGCTCCTCTTACCCGTATGGATTATTGAAGGCAATTGCATATACTACATTTCTGTGTCCCTCCAAAGTTTGCAACTCTTCGCCACTCGATGTATCCCACACTTTACAAGTGCGGTCATAGCTTCCGGTTATAAAACTAAAATACAAAAGATCTTTTCATTCATAAATCCATATCCATAAACCTATGGATTTTTTGTCTATATGTAAAATGAATAACTTTGTTTTATTATTATTAATAAGTACATGAGTTATATATATACAATTCTCTGGATATTCGAATGTAAAAACGTACTCTTTAAACTCAATAAATCCGAGTAGCGTAACACAAGGCTAACTTTTTCTATGCCCATATTCAATTTTTGGATTTGGACAGGACTGTTTTTTTTGGGAAAATGATTTCTTCTACTAAGATTAATCATCGGAAGTATAGATGACTCGAACTCATTCTTACCAGGAGCCTGATTTATTGAAGGCAACATTGGTCAATGGAAGTATATGTGCTCTCAATACTTTGAATAAATAGAAATGGTGATCTCCGATCTGAGATAATTTAGACTGCAGTTCTGCAAAAAAAATATAATCATTATAAAAACACAAATGAAATACTGAGAAATTATGATATTCAAGGATTTTTAACACACATTCCAAGTTTGAATTTTTTTATTTTAAGGCAAACATGATTTTGCTAATCATATTAATGTCTTTCCCATTATCAAGCTGTACCCCCTGGTCCCATATGCCATTCAAACTCCTTTTTTATACAAACCTGTGAAGATAAACTGGTTTCAGAATTTAAATTTGCATTTTTAGACTTAGGACAATTTATTTATTTCACCTTACTCTTTATTACGGTAATAGAAAAGTATCGTAAAAAAGTAAATAGATTGCAACCTTCAAATTGTAAAACATATTTTGGTCTTACTTTGCAGTAGTTTATGTACTTGTGATAGTCTTGACTTTGATATCAATGGTTCTGATTCGAAGACATCACTTAAGATTTTGTCAATATTTGAGTCCGGTTTTAAATCCAACAAATCAACCGATTTTGTTTTTGTAACTCCGCCTTTCTCATATTCCAATATGATTCCAGGTGGATAGTAACGTAAAAGAAACCTTTTCAGTTTCATTATATCACAAAATTATTGAAATATGGAATTCAGTATTTTATTCACATCAGCTAAACTATTATTTGCTGATCCTGACAAAAGCAGAAACAAGATAGCCTAATTTAAAAAACATGTACGAAACAATAACTCTGACAACTTCATATTACTGCTCTAGATGCTCCTAAAAAACTACAAAAAAAAAAAATTTGAAACAAAAAATCATTTTCTTATTCCACAAAACTGTTATATTACAGTATTATGCATGTATGTGAAAATATGGATACTGATATTTTCGTTCTCCCACTACAGTTCTATGCATAAATCTGTAAATGAACGATTCTTTTTTTCGCACAAAATAAAATCACTTATAAAAATCATACCTTTCCTTATAATAGGCTATTCAAAAATTTTCATTTGCAATTATGAGAAAATCTAAGTTGTATGAGTACCGTAGTGTAGGTACCACAATGGACAAGTTACACATAAGTCCGATGCCCTCATCCCCCTTTTTCAGTTTTAGATTATAAATACAGAAATAAAATTTTTTAATATTCTTGTTTCAGAACCTGCTGAAGATAACCAAACTGCAGAACTGGCTATTTAAACTGACAGATATTACCTAAAAGACAAATTTTCGCAAAGAATAAATGAACGCAATATCAAAATCTACGTCCTGGCGTCGGGCATAAATATGATTGTACGACGACCACTATAGCCACAAGCAGCCAAGTTGATATTTGTCAAAAATATGAATAACTGCAATCGGGCACTTGCACACTAATATAATGAACTAAGTTCAGAAGTTTGACAGCTAACGAGAACTTGAAGGCTCGGCTAGTCTCGAATATGGTGAACAATTTCTCACTAGAAGTTCAAATGAATGTTTTCCGTACTACAGAGATTGGTTATTATCTATTGCTATGAATCTCTCACTTGTATGAATTCTGATGTGAATATTTAATTTTTTACGATTGTCATTATACACGTTTGTCAATTTTTCGTGCTTTAATTTTTGTGTTGATTCTTGCATGATAGAAATAAATTATCTGAATCTGAATCTGGTTACTTTCGTAGAATTTCGACCGGTACAAGCATATATTATGGATGTTTCCTCGACCTTTGAACTAAAAAAATTCTTTTTTGATGCAACGGAAGGCAGAATGACCATTGAGGTATTTCGACTCCATAATCAGTATAAAAGACGATATAGTAATTGATGAAAACGAACAAAAAAACTGATCACATATTCAGGAGATCAATCAAAACTTCAAGTAGGGTCCAGGTCTTCTGCATTTTGTCTGCCCGTTTGAAAAACTCTCTCTTTCTCTCGGTTGTTTTGTTTCTTTCAGAGTTGTATGTTAGTCGTTGTTTCAAAGTACCCAAAATCAAATTGATCGAAACGTATTTGAATTGAAAGGTGTTGCCAAACAATGAGGTACGTGTTCCATAAATCTAAAAATTCTAAAAACACAATTTGCAATTGACAAATAGCATGTAAAACTGAGAAAATGAACTAATAACGTCATCGTAACTATTCGTATGTTTTGTTTTTATAAGTGAGAGAGAGATCATTTCATTTTGTCAAACCAAGAAAACAATATATACATACATACATAACAAATAAACAGATGTTTACGGTACATGACTGGGAGGCAACGATACGACCTTTGGAGGTCAACAGTCATAAGTTTTATTGTGAGGCTCTGTGAATAATAGTCAACCTCTTCGCGGCCGCCATGGCACCAAAAGTTTGAGAACCCCTGGGTTAGGCAATGCTATATTTAACGACGTGCCCAAAAAATACGTGTGATATATGTGCACACGACTCAGTTGTGCAATTGATGAGCATCGAAATGGCCACGATTGAAATGAAATTAGAAAATAAAGATGGAATTCGTGAAAATAGTTGCGTATTCAGAAATTGATTATTGCCCAAACTTATTAGTTTTGAAATTTATGAAAAAAGAACAATTAGCATAACGATTCATAGTTACATTTCGTGCATACAATTATCGGATCCCTATGAATCACTGAACGGAAAATACATGAAACGATCTCCTCTCTCGTTTTGCGTTGTCGCAGCGCGGGACAATTTGATCGCCGCCATCTTGACGTTTATGCTTCCAAAGTTTCTTCGTGTTGCATCTGGTTTTGGACAGTTTTTCGTCTATTTTACTATCCAGTGCGCCACATATGGATATATATGCGACTTTTTGTGGGTATTCAAACATAATTATACACGAGTTGGGAATTTATAGCCTGATGTGGATCTCGTTCTTGAAAATATTTGGTTGTTCAAACGATTATAGGCCTACATTAGATATAAGTGGAAACAATTGTTTTTGCCATATATCATAAAAATGCAATAACCTCCACGGGGAAGCTTCCACCTAAGTCTTCGGCAGAGGGCGAAGCGCAGTTTAGTTGGTACTCCCGTAGTCTGTGTACCAGATTGGGGTTAGGCCATAACTTTATTCCGACTTTCCTCATTCTAGTTGTATTACGTGTTCGGGGATTGTGTGTGTGTTAGCCAAGTGAATATATCCTGTGTCCATGGGTTTCTGTCCCTTTACACAACTTGGTGTAGAGTAGGCGAACAATATTAGTTACCTCCATATTGGTACACGCACACGCTCTTCAGTTTTATTTATATGTACAGCCTGGGTACTACGGAACCAGGCCACGCAATGATTCGCTTTTGACTGATACGTTGGCCATGTTATTGACCCACGACCTTCGCAAATTTATAAAACTGCCAAAATTAGCACCGTATGGTGGGCAGGGATATACTAACGTTTGATACATAATGAGACACGAATCAAGATCAGGAGAATATGCGAGAAAAATCGACGCAAATGATTGATTTCTACCAAATCGCATAAGAAATGCATTACGCTCCTCGCAAAAGTTGGAAGTCTATCGACAAAACGAGAGAGCATTCAAATGGTCCCGCGGAAACGAGAGAAAAGCGCACTCTATTTATATATCTCTGTGCTATGAATCCATAAGAAAGCTTTCGTCATCCATGCACTCAATAAGTGATGTCATAATTGAACTCGTGAGATACTTTTTCGTGCGCACAGAATTTTGGGAATCGGTGTAAACATTAGATTGTTTTCAGTTGTGCTTCTGAAATTTATGTATAAATAAAATAACTCAATGGTCAATTTCTGGAATCAAGGATGCGGGATACGTACATTGCCACATGCCAGCCTGATGCAAGGCATCTGGGGTTAAAGGTCAAATGAACTCGTGCCAATGTTCATGCTGTGTAATGTAATTACTTCAATCGTGTTTTTATTTTATTTTAAGTCAGTATGTCCGAGTCTGTAGCGAATTTTTCGAAGGAGGGGTGAAAATGATGAACATTAGGAATCAAATTAAAGCTTTACAGGTAAAATGGGTGTTAAAATTGCTTGAAGGTTGTAATAATCCATGGTCTCAGAGAGCAAAGTATTTTGTAAATAACTATTTTGATGTATTATCGAAAGGTAACTTAGAATGCTTGTATTTGAACTTTAAATTGGAAACCAATATACATATACCGAAATTTTATACTAGTATAATCAACTCATTCAAACAAATTGGCTTAAAATGGAATCAACCACAAAATATAGCAGAAATATCACAGGAAATAATTTGGCACAATCCTCTAATATTAGATAGAAATAATATTGAAATAACTGCTAAATCAAATTGGGTTCAGGCAAAAATAATTACTGATAGTGATATCTTTGGCAAAACAATATATGATATTTCCAAAAGAGTGTACCCCCAGCTAGAAAACTCTGCAAAGAGTACTTTAAGAAAAAACTGCTTGATAAATAAGTGCAAAAATGAATTACGGCAAATATGGGAAGCACTTCCAATAAAATGGAGAGAGATTTTATCAAGGAATAGGGAATTTGGTCAAACAAGAATATTAATTGATAGGTACAATGGGTCGAAAGACTTGACCACTAATCAAATTTATAGGATTTTACAAAGTAAGAAAAATGATACATTTTTGAAAAACCATAAGGAATACATCTTTAATAAATTTCACCTAACTAAGGCAATTAATTGGAATAAAATATGGAAAATAAATATTGGAAACAAGTATAAAGAGTTATGTTGGAAGTTAATTCATAATGGGTTGCCCACTGGAGACAAAATAAAACACTGGTTCATTGATGAACCAGGAATGTGTGTCTTATGCGAAAATAATGTTGAAGAAACTGTGTGTCATTTATTTTTAGAATGTGACTGGTCTATTGATTTTTGGCAATGGTGTTGCATAGATATTAATCAAAATACTATTATAGCAAACGATTCGGAATGCAAATCAAAATTAATCACAATATTATGCGGAAAATCAACAATTTGGGAATATCGAAATTCAGTAAAATATGATGAAATAGATAAAATGAAAAGTAGTATGCGTTCAATTTTCAAGTGTAAACTGGTAGGGATTTTAAATTTACTAAAAGAAAGCGAAAGAAATGAATTATTGTTATATGAGCACATGGATGATCTTTTACATAGGTCAATCATGATGTAAGTTTATATGCAACACCATACTCTGAAAATTATTGAAAGTATGTTATCTGTACATCATTTTCATAAGAGGAAGATGTATCGACTATGAAACATAGATGGCGAATGGGAAAAACCCAATATGAAAGCATGGATTTTTCCATATTCTCTGTCTAATTTTTGTATTCTTGTATTTTTCAAAAAAAAAATAAAAAATAAAAAAGAGTCTGTGAGAATTTGCTTCCTAATCTCGGACACCACACAGCAGTACTATAAATGTCTAGTACCAGTGCTGTGACGGTATTAGACTACTAGTATAACTGTACAGCAGTATAATATTTGTGTTATCTAGCTCTTTCTGCAGTCCTGGTGCCAAGTTGTCAGTGATTTGACAATTGCTTTATTTCGTTATTGGCACAAAATAGGTTCACTTTTATTTGGTCTCGCAATAGCCCACTGCAATAAAACGCTGGAGGAAGCCTAAACTTATCTTTCTAGGTTTAACTTATATTAAAATCTGTTTTTTTTTAAAATCAGATATTTTAATTAATCTGTAACCTTATTTCATAGCGTTTTTGAATCGTAAGTACGGTTTACAGCTCGAGTTCAGAAGTTGCTGTACACTGAACCATGGGGAAATTGGATGTATCGCTGCTTCGTTATCTAACCCATGAGGATCTTCGAGCGTTGACTGCTGTTGAAATGGGAATGAAGAATCATGAAATTGTCCCAGTCAGCCTCGTTGCTTCAATCGCCAATTTGAAACATGGGGGTTGTCATAAGGTTTTACGAGAGCTTGGTAAACATAGACTGGTATGCTATGAAAAATCAAAAATGGCTGCAGGATACAGACTGACAAATAAAGGGTGAAATATTTATTCCATTGTCGTCAATATCATTTAAACCAAGGAAGTAACAGAGCATGGTTTCTCGTGTTCAATTGTTTTTAATCTTCGGATAATTTTATCATTTGAAATTCGATTACTGGATTAGGAAGTAATGAGTTATGTATTTGCAATAATGTGATTTCATCCTAAACAAGGCTTCCTGCAAGTATCCACTGATTTATGAGTTATTCCAGTACAGGTTTGCCTACCCGATTAATACCTTCCTTTGTGAGTTGGTAAATATGGCATTTCAAACTGTCGTGACAACATAGTTAAAGCCAACCAACCTACATTAAATTTGACTGATTTTACTAGTATAATATCTTGGATAGGATTATCGTTGAACATTGTTTATTGTTTTACAAGTAGCTGTTAACATGTCTTCGTGATATCCTAGTCAATATTACGGCAGCAGCATTAGTGCATTACTATTGTCTAGTAAAATGTGAATATCTCTTTCTTCAGGTCGGGTATAGTATTGTACCACAAGTACTTCTAGGAGGCGTGGCTTAACAATTTTCGCATATGTCATACCTAATCTCTATCTGAGTACGTCTCAAATTAAATCCTTGAATAATAGCTCTTTTAATTCTTTTTTTTTTCAGATATGATTATCTTGCCTTACGAGTTTTGACTACAAGAGATGTTGTATCACATGTTGGGAATCAGATTGGTGTTGGAAAAGAGTCTGATATTTATATTGTAGCATCAGAAGATACTCAGCTAGCTTTAAAACTTCATCGGTATGATAGCATAGACTTCTCAACACACTTGTATTTCATTAGCAATTCATTTAAACTGGTTTTGAGAATAAAATTCAGAATTTTACTATTTTGTACACCACAATTAAATTTTGAATGAATTTTTTTATGTTTTTTTGGTGGATGACGTACCTAAATGTATTTATAATATTTACTCTTTTTTTCGATTCAGGTTAGGTCGGACATGTTTTCGTCAAATTAAGAATAAAAGAGATTATCATAAACATAGAAAAAATGTTTCCTGGCTGTACTTAGCCAGGCTTTCTGCCCAAAAGGAATTTGCGTATATGAAAGCTCTATATGACCGTGGATTTCCTGTTCCAAAACCAGTAGACTTTAACCGACATGCTGTCATCATGGAATTACTCAATGCTTATCCTCTACAACAGGTAAGAAGAGAAAGTGTATGAAGGACTAAATCGAAAGTATAAGATCATGTCATTAGGGAATGGAGACCTAATGACATACATTATTTTAGACTCTGGACGTTGAGTCTTGATTAAACAAAAATGCTTATAATATAATATCTTGATCTTTTAATTTTTGGTGTCTAGATTCATGAGCTTGATGATCCGGAGACTACTTACAAAGAATTGATGGATTTAATTGTCATGCTGGGTAATCATGGACTAATACATGGAGATTTCAATGAATTCAATATCATGCTCGATGCACAAGATGGAATAACAATGATTGATTTTCCACAAATGGTCTCGACATCACATAAAAATGCAAAGTATGCTTCACTGTATATTGTTTTGAATATTTTTTTTGTTGTAAAGTGAAACAAGTTCGATTAGACGCAATGTTTCAATATTGTACATGTTCAAATGAATTGCATGTTGTTGTTTCGTATAGTCAACTTGGCGCAACTAGAATCGGAACATGATTATACAAAGTAGCCACATTAACACTGACAATTTTATTGGAGAGATTCTATTGAAACAAGTTTTATTAAAGCTTGAATGAGGAAATTTACTATAAAACACTTCAAGAAATACACAATAGAAATAAGAATCTAATTTAAAGCATTCAAGTGTTTTTATAAAAAACATTCACATCATATCTCTGATCAGTGTAGGCTAGTAATGAGCTATTGATTGAGCCATCTGCCAAATCATTAGTGGCCTATGTGTGGCAATCTCTGAAGAAATAGACAACCCGAAAAAATAAATTGTCTGTTGTGAAAAAAAATTGTTCTTTTTAGATACTATTTTGATCGTGATGTTGAATGTATAAGAAGTTTTTTCATGAAGAGGTTTGGAATCGTCGGTGAATATATTCCAGATTTTGAAAAAAGCATTCATCGTGAATCTACATTAGATAAGTGAGCACTATATATTGTATTCTATCAAGTCATTGATGAACAGTATCACTCATCTTCATTTTTTTATACAGAGAAGTTGCTGCTAGTGGTTTTTCAAAACAGAATGAAACAGAACTGGAAGAACATGAAATTCATTTTCGACATCAACCTGAAGAGGTTGGTAACACAGCAGTGTTAACTCTAAGCAAATTATGAGTGCGAAAGTGCTTCGCAGTCCAAAAAAAAAGTGCGAAAGTGCTTTTGCCGATTTTAACAAGTTAGGTGCCCTAGCCTTTCATATAACCCATTTAAAACGGCATAGATATTCGAAAAAGCGCTCCTCCGGTTAATATTATGAATTAAAGAGAAGCCTTTTCGTTAACCGAGTTCCCTTTAAGCGAATTCATGTTTAATTAAAACAAGCGAATTCATCGGCAACGAAATGACATCTGCAAACACCTGCCACGGACAAAACTTTCATGCAATGTATCACGGTGTCAGTTGCTTTCTTGCGTAAACAGCAAAGACTTTCACATTTGTTACTCCTTTCATCTAACAGACAGGAGGCCGGCTGGAAACCATATCGATCGTTTGTACAAATCCGGTGCAAAATAATCCCCCCCCCCCCCCAAATATAAATAGCAATCAACGAATTAGGGTTAGGTGCGCTGGAAATTCAACTTTTCGATTCATCCACAAACCTAATCTGATAATTATTAATTTGTTATTTTGAACCACTTTGAAAGTCGCCACCCGCTGTTTTAAAAGATAGGTTAACCTACGTTCCCTCCGAAATATTACGCAGGATACTCCCCTATGTTAATAGATAGGTTGACCTACTTTCCTTTCAAACTTTTTTCTCCGAAATATTACACAAGATCACTTTGAAAATCCTCCCGTTTCCTGAGCTAGCGTGACCTAATTTCTCATTTACATTTATATTATACTATTTCAGAGCTTACCCAAAGACAAGTAATTTTTAAATGTCCACATGCCTTGGTTTGCGTGCGAGTTAGTTTAAATCGGGCAGAAAACATCATATATTGGCAAAATGTTTAGTAATGTCATGTACTTTCAGCATTCATAAATAGCACTCTTTGTAATGCTGCTGACCTAGTATCAAATATTCGCATCACAACGCCACTTGCGAGGTTTCCATATATTTCAATTACACTAATAGGAACGATGACATCAAAGAGTTTTCTTTTGCGAAGGTACACTAAATATAACGAGGGTGATTCTTGAGAAAAACATGAATATAAAAAATAAACGAATGATATGATAATGGATCCCAAATAATTTTGAGAGTGTCTCGAAATACCAAGCCATTTGATAAATAATTTTTATTCGACCACATGCACAAATCTCACATTAATAGTAATTGCTACCCAAGTTGTAAAGTTTAGAAACCAACAAACAGAAAATAACTAACCTAAAACACAATTAAAATTCAGTCGGCAATAAATTCGTCGCCAAGACGATGCCATACAAAACAAAAAAGATTTGGTCGCGAGAGTTACGTGAGATGACTGCCGTTGTTTTTTAAGCAGAATGTAAAAAAAATTATAATTAATAAACGGGAGTTACGACGCCCTTTACACATCTGTGTATTAAACTTCCCTGGTAGGTACTTTGGTAAGTACTATTATTATTGTACCTATACACCTGTTGGAGTATTTCGGACAATTTCGAATTTAAAATAAATGAAAACCAGACATATAATAAAGACGCAAAAGTAAAATGAACATTTATTGAAAAAGTTATTATTTAAGAAAGACAACATGATCGTACAATTCCGCCAAAACCTCGATGTTCGCAAGTGAGATGATAAATAAATACTTCCCTGTATTCGATCAATTAACTTTAGCGTATCGTTGTTCTGCCAACAAACAGCTGGGTGCAAAATATTTCCGTCCTGTGATATGCTCACAAATATTCTCGATATTAATATCATACCCTCGCGTATGTACTTTCTATTAGCTCTTTAGTGATCCCTTCCATCCTTGGCCAAGTCATGTTTCGAATATGTGAACATTTTATTCGACCATATATGGCCGGCGGGATGTTAAAATTGTAAACAAATTGTTGTTGAAAATTATTATTAATTTGAGAGCGCCAAAAACATACAGTCCATACCGATGCGACTGCAATTTATATGGTCGCAATTGGTGTGGCGCGTTTATTAATAGTGTAAAATAAATTAAACGAATATCAATTATAACCAAGCCTGTCAGCGTGTTTATTTTCTGTGGGCAGGAATCGTAAAATACCATCTTGAGACAAATTCACTTCTATTATAAAATCTTAATTTTCAGTTATTATCGTTATACAAATAACGTGTGGCAACTTTTTAATTTATCGTCGATCAAAAAACCGCCCCACACTCGTCGAAACGTGTGTCGAGCTTGAACGACAGGAACATTTTCATCGACGAACTTAATTAGGGAAAATATGTATTTTATTGGGAATGCAAAATAAATGTAACAAAACGCATTTTTTGTGATATAACTTTGTATTTTCGGAAACGGGTTGCCGTGAAAGGTAAAATTTGATCTAAATTAATTGCAAAAATGTTTTATTTTAAATGTAACAAAACACATTTTGCGATATAACCTTGTATTTTCGAAAACGGGTGTCCTATGATCTAAATTAATCGCAAAAATGTTTTATTTTAAATGTAACAAAACACATTTTCGCGATATAACCTTGTATTTTCGGAATAGGGTGTCGTGAAAAGCAAAATATGATCTAAATTAATCGCAAAAATGTTTTTTTTTAAATGTAACAAAACACATTTTTCGAGATACAACTGTATTTTCGGATACCGGGTGTCATGGAGAGTAAAATGTGATCTGAATTCACCGTAAATAATGTTTCATTCCAAATGTATCATAACGCATAACGCGATATAACTTTGTATTTTCGAAAACGGGGCGTCACGAAAATTATTAATTTAATGTTTTATCTATCGTCTAACTAACGTCTGGAACACATCATTTTCGGGGAGAACTCTAGCCCGCGAAACGTCATTTAATTTAAAATAGAGAATGTTTCACGCATTTCAAAACGGAAAATCACCAGTAAGTGGACAGGGATTCAACCCTCCGGATTCAGTATTCTATATCCCCCGTGTCAGAACTTTCTGAAGAATGGAACAGAGAACCCGTCAAACCGCCGCGGAACAAGGGAGTATTTTTTGCACTAATATTTAGGGCGTGACAATATCAAAAATCGTCAAGAAACAGGTGAATTTGCAAATTCCATAAATAAAATTGTGAATTGCTCGGTAACATTTTAGCTATAATTATCGCCGGGGTATTGTTTTGTTGTAAACACGTTGAAACTTGAGGGAATTAGTTACAATTAGCGCCTGACCTCCCTCTATTAGGCCACTCGAGCACTCGAAAAAAAAAGCACTCGAGCCCAATCTTTTTAGCATTAAGTCGCATACGTAAAATATCTTGTAAAAGAAGTGCTGTTCATTAACGTCATCTCGTCTTATGACACGCAGAAATGCCTTTATAGCCGAATTATTCAATCACTATTTCAAATCAACATTCAGGATTGGCACAACTTCAGATTTGCGAAGTTTATCACCATAGAAATACATGAGAAAGTTAATTATCGTCTTAATAAATATCTGCATCACGGTATGGACAATAATATTACCATGCGCATAAAATTGGGACGGTAAATTTACAATCTTGATAGGTAATATTAAAGCCAGCGCAAATGTTAATTTGTTGCCGATGTGAACGAACGGGTAAACACGAAATATAAAATTCGATGTCCGCCGACCGACAAGAATTCATATATATATTTGTAAAAAAGAGAGGGCGGGAATATAGGATTACCCAAAACCTGGATATCGCCGCCAAAACGATCGGTGACAAGAACAATCAGCGATTACAACGGAATTAACCAGTAAAAGGCTTTGTTGCCGATTTTTTAATGTTTCCACCACGTTTATTCGGTACTCCTTAAAAATATTCGATTTTAAAAAAATATTGAATTTTGCCCACCCCTCCTCGCATATCAATGGAGAAATAGTTGTTTAAATATCGCAAAATTCCGGAAAATGCCACGTCCTTTCAAATTGTGATTACAATAAAATGGCACTTAATGGTATTTTGTGAATTTGTTGATTTTGGCAAATCTGTGACATGCAGCTAAAAGTTTCGTCTGATTTGAAAATCGTGCAGTTTGGTCACAATTCATCCAAGTGACTATAACACGTTACTAACACTTTTTATAGTCATTTTGAATTCATCGATATCATTGATAGTCACATGACCACTCTCGTTCAAAGAAACGCCCCGGGAGAAGCGGAATCCGTGTGCTTGTATAATAATCATATTATAAACAAGAATTTTGCCGTCAATGCAAAAGCTTTATCTCCTATGTCTGCATCTCATAGGTTAGAATTCCGGTAAATATCGTTATGATATGCAGAATTGAGTTACAAAAGTACCAGTATGTTACTTATTTGTCAATTTAATACTCGAAAATATTTGTTAACTTTGAATTTTTATTCCATTCAAAGTGCTATTTCTCTTCAAAATCGGAAAAAAGTGCTATTTCGCAGTCCCTAAAAAAAGTTGAGAAAGTGCTTCGCAATTTTCGCAAAAAAGTGCGCTAATAGTGAACACTGCTTGTAAGTATATTTGACATCATGCTCCTCAGGGAATATTTTCGCTATGTATAAAACATGGAGAGATATTCTCTGTTCAAAAGTTTTAAATGCAAACAATTTAACTACAATTCTTAGAAGAACAGGAATTCAATGATTTGGTAGTGGCAGACTTACATAACCAGGTTTTGCAAAAGCAAAATGCTATCGCCACCTCTGGTGTTTTTTTACGTTGATGATCTAATGCAAGCTAATATCTCAACGACATATTCTGCAATGAGGCGTGAATGAAAATCGTTTCGATTGGCAATTCAAATGTCAAATCTTGACATTTTCTTAGTTATTTGACTTTGTAGTTGGTGCATCATGAAAGAGGATTCAGTGGTTCTCAAACTTCTTAAGCTGTGTTGCATCTCTAAAATAACTAGCTAACAAGAAGCTACAAATAACAGATAGTGAGGCGAAAGTATGTGGATGGAATGTAAATAATGAAATAAATGATGAAGTTTTGAAATGTAAATAATTTCCGAAATAAGGCGGGCAAGATCAAATCTAACAAATATTTTTATTTTGCTTTGTAACCCCTCAAAAAATTGTTTACGCTCCACCATTTGAGAACCACTGATTTAGATAGTATAGCTTGTCATTACTGTTCCTATTTACTGTTCATTACTTTGGATCAAGTTTCATTAGACCTATAGAGTGAGTCTTTTACCAGCTTGGTTATGGTATATTTCAGGATGGAGATATAGAAAATAACCTTTCATCAGATGGATCAGAAAAAGAAGACACTTCAGATGACCAAGAAGAATTCGATGAAAAGGAGGCTGATTTAATAGCAGAGAATGATGTTGTTAATCGGAATGAAAACCCATTTAGCAACGATACTGAATTAACAAAAATTGCTTCAGCGAGCCCTGATGGAGTTGACACAAATGATGTGGATGAATTGGATTTGGAAGACTTATCACTTGCAAATCGCTCTTACCGTCCATTTCGAACCGAAGATAGTCATCAACACACTAACTTACATGTAAAAAAAGCTCTGAGAGGGCCAGGAAGTGGGGTAACTTCCACAACAAGTGTTTCCCAAGAACAAATAAGGCAGAGGGTTCGTAGCGCTATTTCTAAAGAAAAGAAAATAGCAATGCATAGGAGGCTTGCAAAAGGGGAATCTTCATTGATCACGAAACAAAGAAGAGAACTAAAACAAGACATTGAAACTGGTCATGATGTGAGCGATTGGTTTGGTTAATTCATTAAAAAATAAATAACTTCCAAATTGCATCCAATGTTCAGTGGATTTTTGGTCAGGTTAGAGAAATAGAAGAGTGTCGGCTATCTTGACCACAGGTCACTATAGTTTTTATCGGCTTTCCAGAAAATCTGAATTTGTTCCATTTCTTCTATGAAATTTTATTATCTGAATGTAAAACGTTAGGGATGGGAAGTCGTGGTTATTCATGTATGTGATGTTACTGCTATATAAATATAATATACCAGTAGTAGAGCACCGTTCTTAGGATCTCATTGACGCCCGTGTCTGCTAAACGATGGACGTCACCCCCTGGCCCATTATCTTATATGATATCAAACAACTGTCACATAAGTTGTAATATCAATATATTGAAGTAATTCCACGAATACCATGCATAAAGATTTCACGTCATGAGCTGATTAGAATTTTAAAATGGTCATCAACTTGGGACATAATAGCATGTTTTTATACAAAATTTCATTGCATTCTTGCAGTCTGATAGGTCAAGAGCCACTCACTGTATACATGGGGGAGATGTTTAACGGTTGCGCCATATCGTATAATATGGCCGAACCTTGTTTAAAATTGTCGCCAACATTCTAGCAGTATTATTCCCCCGATTGCTAATGTTTTATATTCAAAAATGCTGCAAACCTGGGAAAATGTTAGCTGGCGAATCCGGACTGCAGCTAGATTTTAATAAACTATTTTTGCTCTTGAACTTTGTTCCGGTCTCGCTCGCAAAGACATGAAAAATACTGAGAGAGAACATGCATTTTATTCCTTCAGTGACAAATTACCATGAACATGGTTTCAGTTAACCGCATTAAAAAAGCAAAGATAATAATATATATATACCAGTTTTTATAAAAAACTTGTGCCTAGTACTAAAAATGAAATCACCACACTAATCAGGAGACTTCACTTCTGTGGGTAATTTTGACGTTCAGCGCAGACATACAATACCTACTAACCATACTATCTCAGTTTTCCCTGTAAGCGTCGGCCCAGACTCGATTGGAGGTAATAGACAGATTATTTGACATGGCAATAAAATTTCCTAAGTAGAATTCACCGCCCATTCAAACATTACATTGCAAACGCAAAAATCCAAGGCAGTTGGTGCCTACAACATCTGATTCAATCCTATCGTTCCCAGATGACAATGTATTTATTGCAGGGAAGAATTTTAAACTCCCATCTTCGCATTTTGGGCAGCTGTGACCATTCAGATACCAACACTGCAGTCGACCTATCATTTTCTATCTGAACTCTTCTTGTATAAAATAATATTCATCTCCTCCCGAACATCGTGAATCTTATCTTCAAATTTGTTTTCAAAATAAATATTCATGAAAAATTTTGCTGATGAGGCTGTTTCAGCAATCCATGGCAAACGCTTTTGTACCAATAACTTCTTTTGCTTCTGAGATAACCTGCAAAAACATATGAGTAAACAATACCATTTAATGGCACTACAACCACAATTCCCAAAACCTGTTCACAAATGAGCTTGACTGAATCTAGTATCGTTATCGTGCTTGATTCACAGTTTAAGGCAAAATGACAATATAATGTACATTATATGAGATTCTATTTACAAAATTTTTGCATTACATGTATGCATACTCTTATCGATGTAAAATTTGAAACTATGAATGGAAAAAAATGGTCAAAATTTATTGACACAAATTTAGAATCCTAAGCACTATAAAATGAGTGTATGAAACATGTTTCTAATCCTAATGCAAAGATGAAAATAAATATAAAGCAATTCACATTGGTGTTAAGTTAAATAGCCTACATCAGGGGTCGGCAACCTTTTGTCGCTAGCGGGCCAAATTTAGGGGTTGCAACTTGCAAGTCATTGTTGGGCCGCAAAAACCGAGTGGATGATACTTTTTATAATAAGAAACAAGCAGTGATACATCTCTCGAATAGAATATAGATTTATTTCCTCATTGCATCGCATCTCAAAAAATTTCATCTGAATATTTTCGGCGCCATTGAACCCTTTGCACTTAGCATCGACTTTTCTGCATTTCGCCTAATTATAATTAAATTATGGGCTCATTAAACGAGTAATTGTGAATTTTATACTTGTTAAATTATAATATAATTCAGTCTACACTCGTCTCACAATAAATTCTGTTACGTAAAAAATATAATCGTCAAAACAGCTTTTTTGTTAGTATAATCCAGTGAAGCGCCGCCGGCTGGAATATATATTACCGGCCCGCGGGTCGTAGGTTGCTGACCCCTGGCCTACATAGATATTGAAATACTGCTGTAAGACCAGGTAATTCCATGCAAAATGGCAGAAAAGCAAGGCGGCCACTAGCTCATCTGTACAAAATTATATGATAAGGTTTCGCTTGTTGCAGAAAAAATAATTTTCAATTTTTACTAAACCCAAATTTACCGTAGATCCTCGCATATAGGCCGAATTTAAACCCGAAAAAAAGTTGCCAAACTAAGGGGTCAGCTTATACTTGCATAACTCTAAAACGCACTAAAAATTCTGCTTATACGATATACGCGCATAGTAAGTAAAACATAACAATGATGGTTATCATTCTCATTACTATTCTTCTGCAATTTGCTGTGGTGATAGCTGCGTACAATGTGTAGGGTCGGCTTATATGTTTTTTTTTTTTTATAAATTTATTGTTTTATGGTCGATTTTAGGAGGTCGGCTTATATGTGATGACGGCTTACTAACCTTACAGGTCCAGCTAATGCGGCTAAGTAACACATCGGTAGTCGAGTTTGTAATGCTTCAAACCATTTTACAACTATTTCACCAAGTATATTAGTTGGTTGATCTGAAAATTAGCATGTCAATAAGTCACTTTAATAATTAGAATGGTTATTATGTGTCCTGTATTTAACTTCCAGCTAGTTAATCGATAAAGAGATTTGAATTACCATATTTGTGTGCCACACAAGTTGCTGACATTTAGATGATACATGACATTTGATGGTCAATGTTAAAAAGGATCGCTGGTCTTTTTTACCAAAGTAGAAATGTTGTTTTGGTGGGCTTATCCCTGAGTTCACAAGGCATCTAAGACTGAGATTTGGTTTATGCAAGATAGAACATCAGGAATTCAATGTGGTGGTCCTTGATAAAAAAACTTTCAGCGTCAAATTTCCTTTCTATATCAATGAGAAACACACTCACTCAACAGAAGATGATTGAAATCATGAACTTCTCTATATCTTTGCATAACATATGCCAGATTTTCATCATCTACAAACTTGACAGGCCTCCTACTGTCTGGTGTAATTTTCTAAAAATAAATGAAAAAGAATTGTTTATGTCAGTGGTTCCCAACCTTTCTACCCTGGCGGACCGGTAGAAATAAATTAAATGTACTCGCGGACCGGCCAAAATTGAAATGACCGGAACAGAAAAGCATAACATAAATTTGCGTAATATAATGGAGTGTCGGGCACTCAATACGCTTCTAGACAAAAAGGCACACTTGAAAACATATCACACGAAAAAAAAATATCAAATAATGTGGCCAAAAATTGAAATGGGTGAAACAGAAAACAACCCCATAATTATATTTGCGTAACGAAATGCAGTGTTGGGCACCCATTATGCGTAAGAAGGACACACATAAAACATCTGACATAAACAACATGTACAAGCGAAATCATGTACAAACATTATTAACTCTAGTGATAATTTTGCTGCTGTTTCGTTTCCAATATAGGATTGCAAACGAGGCCTCAAAGAAGTTTCTGCAACACGTAGCTCTTCACCGTCGTACAGCCGATTTCTTTGCTTCGTTTTAATTAAAGCTAGTGATGAAAATGCTTTTTCGCATAACGCAGTATTGCGATTACTTAGCGATGGGTATTCGTTATCAAAAGATATCCTAAATTGTGACAGTGATTCTTTTTTTTAAATCTGGACAGTAAAGTAGAATCACAAATATTATTCAAGCTTTTTCTTTTTTATCGGGTTTATCCTCCTGTAGTTGATCGAAGTCTCAAACGAAATAAAATTACAATGACAAGTCGTCGGTAACTTGGCACCAGGATCAAAATTCTACTGTGCCTGCTCAAAAAACTGGGGAAAATCTCTGCGGTCCATGCTTTTTGCGCGTCTCGTGACCACCTGCAGGGCTGCAACAAGTTCATGTCTTACTGGAATATTATACTGTTCTTGACAGTTTTCTGGTTCAAACAAAGATATATGCATAACGTTTTATGTGGATGGTTATATTAATCAGGAAAAGCACGCAGAACAGAAAAAGCATGCGTGCCGATTTTTAGGTTTCTGAATCTTGCGAGATTCGATTGAGCGCATTCGCAATGAATTGGAGCCGAAAAAGCGAAAAGTGTGATTACTCGGCGCCAAGATGTCGCGAAAGACGTCGCCACAATGTCGCGAAAGACATCGACAGTCGCCACAATGTCGCGAAAGACGTCGCAATATGACGGCGAAGAGAACTTGCGTAATAAACCAACGCAACCTCGTCTTGGGTAAAGCGATCGAGGCGACATAAAAACAACTAAATTTTCTCGCGGACCGGCAAAAAAGCTTCGCGGACCGGCACCCGGACCGGCGGTTGGGAACCACTGGTTTATGTCATGCTCTCTCATGAATATGTTCCAAATTTTTATTTTTTTGGGGGGGAGGGATCCCATTATATTTGGAAGTAATATCACTGTTGTTACAACAGTTTAAAGCGTAAATACAAAATTGTATGAGGCACTCACAAATCTATCAAGAAATTCAACATATTGCTTCCCAAACGTATCGTCTTTTAAAGTTCGCAGATGATTCATATCTACTGTTGTGCTGTTTATTCTAGGTCTGGTTTCAAGTATTTCTCTTCCGACAGGATCTTTTTGCATTCTACTCAGCATGTATTGAAGAGCATTAGTTCCTGTCACCTCACCACATACAGCAACCATGTCTACAATTGAAATTTTTTTTTTTTTTTAAAATAGTCCAATACATACAAAACTAATAAAATGATTCATCTTCATCTTTACTTGTTCGCTTAACGACATTTGCACGTGTATTTAATATGAATGGATTTGGTTGACATGGCTCGGCGGTGTGGCGCATCGTGCTAAGCGTTAGGAATACCTTCACCACTGATTACCCTGCGTAGGTTCGAATTCTGTGCAGGATTAAATATGTGTGAGTGGATTGCTGGACTCCTCCCCGCCATGGGGTGGTTCACGGCTTCCCCCACCACAAAGTTCATGCTTTCAAAAAAAAATAACTGGCTAACTAATCACATACCTGACATGGACTGGTAATCAAACGACAGGCCATGGTTTGCCATATAACTGAGCCTTCTTATAGTCGATAAATATGTAAATCCTATATGCTATGGAGACTGCCACTCATGAATAGGTGGCTCACATAGAACCTTTTTGGCCCATCATTGCCTGCTAAATTTTCTATACCTCAACGAGATGGATAATATGAATCAATTAAAATAATTTTTTCAAGCATTTATTGAAATTAATACATTGCTTCTGATGGAAGACCAAAAAAGCAATTAAAATAATTTTTTAAGCATTTATTGAAATCATTACATTGCTTATGATGGAAGACCAAAAAAGCTATAGGATGGCTTAATCATATGTTATATTACATCTTTGTGTGTTGTTTCATGAAAATGACCAACTTTTTACCAAAATTGAACAGTTTTCAGACCCGTGATGATTACTAAATACCCCAAATCTCAAGCTGAAATATAAAAATTGAATGAATCTCACCATGTCTGTAAGGATTACTCAATGATGCAACGGCAGATCCAACAGCAAGTAACGACTTTTGAATATATGATGTAGTTATATGACCAGTATACAGTGACATTGTTTCATATCATACCTATTTAAAATTTGCTAATTTCTATATCAATCAAAATGTAACAATTATTGCTATGTTATAATTCAAGTTAAATATTTCATTTAAAAAAAAACTCCGAACAAAAACTTGAATATGAATAATATATGAAATATATACTCAAGAGTATGAGATGGGACAAAACAATTGCAGAATTTCACACACAGAAATACCAGTAGATGCAAATTATAGGAATAATTTGAAACAGTAAAGTGATGTTCTACAGTTATTGCACCGTTATTTATAGGTAAATTATTAACACTCATAAAATGATAATGTATGCATCGATGCTTACAATCTGCATCATAAATCAATTGATTATTCACATTCAGTTTAAATATGACCTATCACACAAACAATAGCTAGGATTTGAATGAGTGGCAACGGCAAGTATGTATAGTATACAAACCAAAAACGAGGAAAATTATACAAAGTGGTTGATAACATAACATCGTTGAAATACAATAATATTCCTGTACATGATGTTAGGAACTTCTCACATGACTTCTTTTCTTTGAACTGATTTATATTCCATTTTACAAAATTTATCTTCAACAACTACGTGTTACGAAAACCCATCTAATATATAGGTCTGACAACTTCTGATTATTAATTTTGATTAGAGAACTTTCTGATAAATATTATGATTCGAGCAGTATTTTAAATCATACATATCCAATAACATTAATTATTATAGAGATAGACAGTTGAATAAGATAATCAATCAGTTGCAGTTTCGTTCAAATGCTTGTAATACATTTCTATTGCTTTTTCTTGCTCGACTGTTTCAACAGATCCTGGCCTCAATTTCCTGATTTCGTCCAGCGCTTCTTTAGCAGATATTCCTTTTTGTTTTAATAAATAGCATGCCAACATTGTTCCAGTTCGTCCATTGCCAAGAGCGCAGTGTGTAACTACCGGCTGTCAGGTTTAAAAAATACTCGGATTAGAACTCATAGGTGTTTTTGAAGAAAAGTTTGCAAGTTTGTATAATAAAGTTAATTTTTGAGTTTGAACAGACACATTGTTACAACACTACCAGTCTACTGTGTAGATGACTCCATCCCTATTTGAAAAAGCTATTTTTTCACATAAAAATTTTGTACTCTGAAAAATCCAGAAATACAATGTCCAAATACTTTTCTTCACAATATTGCAGTAATTGGCTTATTTAATTTCGCAACTAGGCTTATTTAGGGGGTCTGATCTGCGATAAAATTATTTCAACATTTTGCATTCCATGCCATTATACCATGTCAACAAAACTGCTCTGGAAGCAAAAAACTAGAAAAGAATTTTACCTGATTACACTTTTTCCCTTCGTCGACAAGTTTTAAAAACTCATCTATCTGATCAATTGTCGGAGGATGAAAATCTTTTATTTGAATCTTAGATAATTTCAAATTCAATGATTTACTATTTTCCTCAGCTCCTGGTGGATATTGTTCCTTCAATGAAATAACATGACGAATTCCAACTTCAGTGAAGTATTTGTAGTGATCTATTCAAAATAGAGTGAATAGAAATGATCAATAACTTAATAATGCTGAACCATACATGCATTTTAGGGAAAAAAATTGTTAAATTATCTCTATTATCTACGCAACACAGGCATGACAAGGGAGTAAGAAACGTAGTGAATGGTTTTGGAAAACTTTTGTGTCATGTGCACATTTTGGTGCTCGTAGTATGTGTACCAAGTTAGGCAATAATTTTATTCCAATTTTCCTTATTTTAGTTCTATTACGAGTTCAGGGACTAGCCAAGTGACTCCCATACTTTTTGTACCTGAAATTATGGCCTAACTCTAACCTGGTACACATACTACGTTCCGGTGTCTGTCATCTTGGTATGCATACTTTAGGAGTACCCACATTTTTACTGAATTATGTTACAACGGCAAAATTTTTTTTCTCTCATTTCTATACGAGATGTATGCCCATTTTGCAGCTGAAAATAAATACCAAAACATACTTTATCCTAGGAACATAAGCACCAATGCAATGCCAGGCAAGTACGTTCCCAATATGGTGAACCTTACCCCTAGCAGATCACAGAGTCATCATCATTGACATTTTCAATTTTTTTCATAGTTGTCTCAATCCTCATTTCTTACCTAAATTTCCTGGGCATCCACATCCAGCCAGAAAACCTTCATCGACCCATGAGAAGTTAGGAGGTGGAGCATTTTCATGACTGTGGAGTGCCATCAGATGATTAGATTGTATGATGTCAGTAGAAAATATTACTCAAGATATATTTACATATACTATTAAATGACTATGATATACCTTAGAACAAAAAAATTCAACAAATGAGACTTGCTTAAAATGAAAAAAAGTAGGAGCAGAAAGAAAGATGAAAAACTGTACAATAATTATGATTTAAAGATCTATAAGATGGTATCGGTTTCAAAAAGTACTAGCATATATAACTGTTGATCTGTATTGAATCATGAATTAAACATGGACACATAATGTGTAATTGCTCTTCTATCAAATTTCCTAGCAATATTGTGATATACAGTGGACGAAAAGGGGTCAATTAGCTAATTATGCTTTAGTTAGACCAAGGCTCTTCAAAACTGGGGGTGGTCACTAGCTGGCTCAATGGGGTTTGCGGTAAAAACTTTTTTGACACCAACTTAGGTTAAAACAAAATATTGATCAAATTTGAAAGATTTGGAACCAGTATGAAGACCCACAATCACTGAAATATAGCAAAAACTTGATCTTTTTTGCGAGAATATTAGTCTCAACGATATTGTAAATTTGGGTGCTTCTGAAGTATGCGCACCAAGATGTCGCATAACCTGAACCCTAACCTGGTACACAACCTGAGTTCAGGTTGGGCGCTATCTTGGTGTGCATACTTCAGGAGGTCCTAACTTTGTTTATTCATTCTCAATATTTTCTGTATTATTGAATAATACTGAATTAGTGAATAGTAAAATTTGACCATGCCAAGATGAAAAAAGTATTGAGTATTATGTTTGTTTTAAAACAAACAACCATATTAAGACCTCAAATATTATTTCCAAAGATTATTGCTACAATATGCACAATCAAAATTGCCTTCAAAAAAATATTCAATACAAAAACATGTTTTCTGTAGCAGCAAAAAACTAAAAAATAATCATGTCTTCCGTTGAAGAATTCCAGTTCTATTGCAAATTACTTGATAAAACCAAAAATTCTTGTCCTTACGTTTAAGCAGCTCCAAGCATTTAATTAAATAGCTGGTTATCAAGAGCCTTGCTGAGAACAAGCCTTGTTCTGCTTCTGTGATTGATTGAATTATTAGAGGCATATTGGAAAAGTAGGATTATTTTTCAAATTAGAAAAGTATTACAGTAAAAAACAGTAATCATAACCAAATTCAAATTTGAATGGCATACACATACTTCTATTAAAAGTGAGACAAGTATTGCACCGTAATCTAAAATTCAGCGTAAAATTGATGTTACGCCATAATTATATTCTGATTTTCCTTTTTTATTACAAGTTCAAGGACTGTCTGTGTTAGTCAAGTGAATATACCCCCTGCCCATAGATTTCAGTCCCTTTACACAACTTCATGTAAATTAGGTGAACAAAATTAGTTACCTTCATATTGGTACACACACTTCTGGAGCCCCCAATGATATATTCTATTAGTATGACTGTGAAATACCTTACTTCAAAAAAGCTAAACATCAAATTTGAATACACAAAAATATATGCCAGGAGAGAAAATCGAAAATATTACTTGAAGGTATTGGTAACAGAGTTCAATTCATCTGGATTTTCTCGGATCCATTTGACAATACATTCACTATGTAGTGACAGTCTGAACAAGATCATATATCATCCATTTCCTTTCTTTTTTTTCTGTATGCCTTTTCTGAAAATCTACATTTGGTTGCACCACATTCACATGTAAAATTTTCACATTTTTCATCCCAGAATCCAGAACCATAATCAAAGCACAGCTGTTCACCTACTGCAATATCTTTCATGGCAAAAAAAGCAATTCGAGGAAAATTACTATCTTGATGATCGAAAAAGAAACGAACCGGAACCAAATTTGGCTCACAGTGATGATTGAGGTAGCGAGATACATTTCCATAAGATCGTCCATCAATACAATAAGAGCCACCCGGTTTATTATCAAGATCAAACAAGTAGAAATCATCATCACGAGCGTCACCATCAGCAATGACCTCACCAATGTATTCACAAACAAATGATCCACGTGGGATTGGTTCTAATGCTCGAACACCCCAGCCAATATTAGGAGTTCTAAATACTTGAATGCGGAATCTTACACCACCATTTTGAATTACCCGATTCCTGCAAGATCGAGAGCACTTACATAATGGGTTACATTCATAAATAAAAGGTGGATTTTTGAAATTAAATGAAGGCAATAATCGACCAGATGCATCATACCAACATTGTCCACTTTGTTTTCCACACTCACATGATGTGCAATCCTGTGTGCATTTGCATGAAGTCATGGTAGGCATAATAGCATTTACATTTGTGTATTTGTAAATATTTTTGGAAATGTATAAAAATTCATGAGGTGGACTAACAGGACATGGAGCTTCATCAACAGCATTAATGCATGAGATTGCTATATTTTCTTTTCCTCTTGATATATCAGCTGAAAGTAATCGTTCACGATCAAGTGGTTCAAAACCTTTGTGATCTGTAATTGCATTTCGCGTAGCCGCGTTCATGAGAAGTGCAACTTGGCATAATGAAGGTTCTTTTGCACATTGTGCAGGGAAGCGACCTTCATTATTCTTGATGCGGGGATTGGCACCCCATGCAAGAAGCAAAACAACACATTCACGATTGTCTTCACGAGCAGCAATATGCAATGCAGTATCACCAAGAATATTTTGATGATCTATATTACAATTTTTTTTCAAACACATCAGTAAAATCTTTTTGTTTCCTGCTAAAGCTGCCCACTGCAAGCAAATATTACCTTCTTGGTCCACAGTATGCATATTGGCATTATAATACATCAAGCATTGAGCGGTAGATGTACGTTTATGCTCCGCTGCCCAAACTAAAGGAGTCCATCCCCCTTCATCCAAGCAGTTTATTTGATTTTTGCTGCCATATTTCATTAATGTTAGACATGACTCGAGTCTCCCATTTTTGGCGGCATGATGGAGTGGCACCATTCCTTCAGAGTCGCTATGCACCAAACTTGTATTACAAGTAATTAGATATTTGACGATGTCAAGTCTGTTTTGCTGTTCTGCATAAAAAAGAGGAGTCTTACCATCTTCATCGTGGACATTGACATCTGCACCAGCAGTAACAAGCAAATGAACAATTTCCAAGCTATCACGAGCAACAGCTTCGTGCAGCGCTGTCCTCTGGTTGGAACTGTTACGAGCATTTGGGTTGCCACCTGTCCCACACAACAATTGTAGAACTTTAACAGCATCTCCTTGTTTTACAAGCTGAATTAAATTTTTCGCTTGAAATCGAAGTTTCTTTGGTAAGTCTGTTTCTAAGCTTTGAATCAAAATATCCAAGTTCTCACGATCTGGCATTAGTTTAGTATTGTCTTGAAAAAGCATAAATTCAGGAAAAGGTTTTGTAATTCCCGGAATACGAATAACACAATTAGGATAACATGATTGTTTCAACTTTTCAGGCGACTTTTCAATAATTTCTGACTGCTCTTCTTCATATTTTTTCAGAAAATCGGCACTTGGATTAACAGAGACTTCCTGAACATTCGACATAGGGCAACCACAATGAGGACAATCCATGCTATGTCTCATTAGCACTAGACAATTTCGATGAAATCGGTGTTGATGTTGGGGAGTGCTGTTGCATACAAGAAATGTGCCACCTGCACAAAAAGTGCCACAGCCTGGACAACACTCATGTTGTAACATGCGAGCTCGATGTTCGCTGCACAATCCATGAGCAGGAAGATTTTTAGAAGCTCTCATCATGTACGGCTCAGAAACATTATTCATGCAACCAGTTAATCTGCCATCAATGTTATCGATTGCCATACATGTAATTTTGTGATGTGATGGATTAAGAACATACTGGGACTTAACAACACAAATACAGAGTGGAGTGGCACCAAGCATACTCTCCATATCATGATATAGGGTTTGCATATCAGCAGATAATGATGCAGTTCCACGAACTGTTTTATAAGTTATTTTACTGGATGGTAGATTGCTTACTTTATCAACAACACTTCCATTGTTTGGCTCTGGTGTGATCATTTCATTCTGCAGTGAATTGCTTGAAAACATAGACGTATTTTTTGAAATGTTTTCAGATGAGAAATCAACACTAGAAATTGAATTACCGATATTATCCTCTCGACGTCTCTTAATCTCCGATTCTTGATTTGAAGAACTTGTAGCGTATTTGCGCTTTGACTCTATCGATGATACTTTTATGTCCGATCTTTCATCGGCCTCGTTGATATTCGAATTTGGTGTTTCTGGCCTCTTATCGCCATCAAAATCGGCTATATCAGGACTTGGAGTTATTAAATGTTCTGAGCTTCCGCTGATTTCCGAAATGGCAATTTCAGCACTGTTTGTGTGAATTGGACTATTCTCCTTTTCAGACAAACTTATATCGCTGTTCTTTGTAATATCATCATCATCATCTGAAGATATGACTATAGCTTCACTCGTGTTTGCATTTTGCAGCTCATGCAAAGATTCTGACTTAACATACAATGGGGAATTAGGATCCTTTTCAGCTTCTTGTTTGATTTTCATTCTAGCTTGAACCTGGGTGAGATCAGAAATATACTTGGTGCATTTCATAAGTTGATCATTACACTCCATTCTTGAGAGTTCAAGAAAAACTGAATCCCAGTCAACTTTGCGTTCAGTAGCAATAATTCGAACTATTGTGCGAAACTTGGACATTTGTTTATTACTGATTGGATCATCAGCAGGTATAATTGACAAGCGGCGATTTGCAAGTTCCTTGGATTCTGGATCGAAATAAGGAGTCGGATGAGATGAACTTTGCATTCCGCATAGTTTCCGTATTCTTCTTGCAGTCTGAACATCAGTTGTCACCCAGATTACAGGACATCCCCTGCTGACATATCCTTCTAAAAGCTGGATACCACTTGTCGGAATAACAAATTTAATAGGTTCATTTCTTTTATGCTCCAGGACAACTTTGAATTTCATTGAATATTTGGTAAATTTTAGATTTGAATTAGATATTGCAGCAGGAAATGATTTCATTGATCCAATTCTTATTGTTCGAAATGGAATTTCAAATTTCGTCTGCATGGTTCAAGTATTCTATCTTAGAGTTAAAATGATAAATCACTATAATTACTGTTTGACTGTGGAATAAGGTTTGAAATTTTAGTATGACACTAATAAATGTACAAAGTTCTTAGCCTACAAATAAAGTGGAAGGATTTAATCATGTAGTGTACTTTATGGCATCCATTTCAACCAGGGTAACGCAATTTCTCGATAGCATGGAATTTAGTTGTTTTGAGGAGGAAATACTAAGCATTACTTTGTATCCGAATAGTTTTACTGCTGTTTTTTACCTTTTTACTGTTATTGTGATATATATTTATAGAAACTTTATGAACCATTCATATCGAGGAAAAGACAGAGTGAAAGCTGTGTGTGACACTAGCTAACGATCCTTCAAAGATTGAAAAAAACAACGGTTTTTATACATAGTAATGAAAAAATAAAAAAATTAAAAATAGGCGTGTGGAATATATCCAATAAAGATAAATGCAGCCTGCTACAATAGGGCACAGTTTTTCAATCTCAAGATGTCCTAACATTTGGTTCAATAAAACAAACGCTCAATTTGACATGACCATAATACTTTCCCGCTGAAGTTTTTTGCTTAAAACTGAGGTACAAATTTATTCTTTCGATAATTCTGGTTATTTTCTCCGAAGAATACAATGATGACGCTTTCCGATTGCGCTTCCTATAAGTTAATTGAGCAGCGCCAGTTTGTGCCGATATGGAGGCCCTGATTGTATTGTGAAGGAGGGGTGTGCATTCACTGTTATGATTGATGTCTTTTAATAATGTGAGAGAGATTTTTGGAATCGGAGAATTGCACCGTACTGTGGTAAGCGCGTCGGAATAAAGCTTTAATATTTAAGAATTTTTTCGAATGTTTATAAAAAAGTGATAATTGTAGTTATACTGTATGTATATTAACCATTTTTTCTTAGAATTAGTTAATTACCTAGGTCCTAGATGATTAGTTAAAATTGTTCTAAATTTTTTCCTATCATTATAAAGTTTATGCTATTTCAGTATACAACCCTTGGCATTGGCAATTTGCATTTCGTTCCAAATTATTTTTTATGATTTGTTAAAACAAGTCAAATAGCAATATTTATCATAATATACTAGATGTTACCACCCAACATTGTTTTCATTGACATCATACATTCCATGAATTTAGGATCGTTATTACAGTATTACCCATTTGATTCAGATTGTTAAGATCATACAGACATAAGGTTCTTAGTTATTAGATATGACTACTGAATTAAGTTACCATCCAGCCATCTGCAGATCTGACATTAAAAAACAAAATAACTATTACAGTATTAGTGAATGAATATTTCACACTATTATTTATAGCGTCAGCGTCAAAACACTGGCACAATATATTTAAAATGAAACGTCATACAGCCATATTTGGGTCTGGTATAGTTTAGTACCACATGCACTTCTAGTTGGCCTGGCTCAACAATTTTTGCATATGCCAATCCTAACCCCCACCTGACTACGTCACCGAAAAATTATGTCATTTCGACGTCACATTGGCGTAATAAGGCCAACCAAAGTATGCGGATGGTCGTCCAAAACGCGCAGATGATCACCCGAAATCGAGCAAGCTATTTTGGGTCTCATGTAGTTTCGTACCTAACATACTTCCAGTGGGCGTAGCATGACAATTTTTCCACGTATCAATCCTAACCCCCACCTGACTACACCATCCAAAAATTACATCATTACGACGTCACAGTGACGTAATAGAGCCCTTCAAACTATATGAACTGCCATCCAAGACGCCCAAACGAGCACCCGAAATCGAACAGTTATTTCTCTCGTTTCTCGTCGCAATGATTCCAATAGGAATGAGATCGATAACGTCAGTCAGTTCTTTATCGTCAGCGCCAATGCCATTTCGGGCGATCGTACGTATATTTGGCAAGCTCTATGACGTGATTGTGATGTCGTTTTGGATGGCGTAGTTAGATGGGGGTTAGGATTGACATATCAAAAAATTGTTATGCTACGCCCACTAGAAGTACGTTAGGTACGAAACTACACGAGACCCGCTATTTCTCTCGTTTTCCCGTCACGATAGGAGAGAGATCGCCGGCGTTAGCGAGTTCGTTATCGGCGGCGCAGATGCCATTTCGGGCGATCGTAATTATACTTTCACAATCCCTATGACGTGTTTGTGACGTCCTATTGACGTAATTTTTGGATGCCATAGTCAGATGGGGGTTAAGAATAACATATGCAAAATTCGTTTTAATACGCCAACTGGAAGTACTTGTGGTACTAAACTATACTAGACCCCCATATTTGCTATCATTCCCCTTCATTTTCTGTTCTGGAAGCAGTTTTGTGCAATACTTTTATGTTTCTTTCACGATTCCGTGAATTTTATGGCTAGTGTTTTTTCAGTCAGACATAAATAATAACTAATTCATTCAAATAAGCTGAAATTATCATGGCATAAAATTATTACACTCTTTTATGATACGAATTATTTACTGGCAAGTCAAGCTTCCTCGGGTTCAGCACTGCGCGCATTTGCAGCAAAGACGCCAATGGACAACGGAGCGGCTCCAAATGCCATCTGGTGGTTAGCGTTTAGAGATTTTCTAACGCAAAGCGCGGTCGCAATTTTGCCATGTTTTAGGTTAGGTATGTTTTTTGCCCGTAACACAATACTTGATGCGGCTGTTTTCATTTTATTTAATGTCTATCGATTTAGGTACCTGTATGACAGTCAAAACGCTTGCATCAAGTTGAGCCTTTTTAATATATCTATACATCAATTAAACGTGGGTCGATATTTTAGTTAAAGATTCTGGTAAACAAAAAGCAATCATGTCAAAAAGACCCATTGATGACCAGCCGTCTACTGATATAAAGAAAGTATCAATAGGTAAAGTAAAAATGCAGGTAATAAAATATTTTTGAAGAACCAAAAAAATACAATGCAGATCTGTTACAACTGTCAGACTGTTCAATACACTGATACAAGCATTCTTCCGTCCAAATAATATTAATAACAAGTTTAGGAATCCTATGTCTGTATCAATAAGCCATTGTGATTGCATTTTATTATATTTTTAAGAAAAATTTGAAGGTTAATTCCATATGAATGTATGAGTAAGAGCATTTAATTCAAAACTTTCTGCATCCTTTTAGACATTTCAGGAACTGTTTCAATTTTTTTCGATCAGGGTTATCCACATTAAAAGGATATGTTGCAGAAAGAAAAGGAGAGCGAGCAGATATGCAAGATGCTCATGTAATATTGGATAATTGTACTGCAGACTTCACACAATTTGCGGACAAAATGTATGTGATAGGCCCTAGTTAGATAAAAATATGGGATTTTGATATTTTTTAAATAAGATTAAAATTAAAACATTCTGGGGAATACATTGATAAAAACTTGTTCGACTCCTGTTTTTAATTGGTACATTGATTTAGGTTTAAATTTTGATTCATGCGCGTCAATGTTTGTAGTAATTTTTTTGTCTGTTTTTTTGTTATTTTCATTGTCTTCTTTACGGGTAGGCTACTGCAGTACTGGTTTATTAGAAAATTTCCCAATTTGTTTGTTGGCTTGAGAAAAAATAGTTAATTCTAGTTCAGTATAATTGAGCAATATTTCTAATTCGACTGTTAATAAGGATTAACTATTTTTGTTTTACAGTCAAAGAGTTGCATATTATGCTGTATTTGATGGCCATGGTGGTCATCGTGCTTCAAAACATTGTGCAAATCATTTACATCAACATTTGATGCAAAAATTACCTAAATGTAAGTTTAGTTATGGTTAAATTTAATGGAAAAAATATGGGATCAACTGAAGAATCTCTCCCCGGACCCGCCTGGGGAGGAGATTCTTCAGTTGGACTCACCAGCTTCTTGGGAGGATTTTCCAGTTGGTCTCAGTTGGGGTGGATATTCTTCAGTTGATCCTGTTTCCCTAACTGAAGAATATCCCTTTCCCCCAACCCATCTAAGCCGATACTACCAGTTGATCCTTCATTTGACCTGGGCTAAGCAATTCTGCTGCGTGAAGCAATTCTGATTTTTTCTTTGTATAGATCTTGCAAACTATTACAAATGTCCAACAAAACTTTGTAGTTATCCTTTTGTTTTGATTACATATGATATGCATTTATGCTAAATACAACCAAACTAATCTGCCAATGTAATGATTTTGGGGGTATTTATGCGTAATATTTGGCAAATAAAGTAATGGATCGTTACCTGTTTGGATATAGTCTTTGTATATCGTGAGTATTAATTTCCCGATCTGCTCTGACACATTCTATTTTCCATCTCAACTGGACTAACTGAATAATCTGGTACTTCCAAGTGGAATTTATGAATTCATAACAATCGAACTGATGCTGTATTTTATATTTTTAGATGAAGTTAATAATTTTCCGAAAGAAATGAAAAAAATGATTTTTCAGTCGTTCAAATCAGTTGATGAGGAATTCTTAAAAGAAGCTTCTGCTCAGTAAGTTGTATTCACATGAATATGTGGACGAATTTTTCATGATTCCAAGATGTTTTAGCTCAAATTCTTAGTGAATTTAGTGAAATAGAATAGGTGAACTGCATGTGAACAAGCTAAATATATATTTTTTCTTTAGGAAACCTGTTTGGAAAGACGGCACCACAGTCTGTTGTATTTTATTGTTGGATGACACCATGTACATCATGAATCTTGGTGATAGTAAGGTTGAAGTTATAGCTTTAAATGTCAAAAGAGGACCATCTGATTAAATTCAGCCAAAAATGGCGTAATTGCTCATGATGACGTTTCAACGTAATACGTTCCATCAGATGGTGTTATTTTGACTCATTGAGGTTATTTGAAATGCATGATAATTTCAATGATATTTATTGTTCTTAACAGGCCATTTTGTGTAGATATAATTCAGAACATAAAAAACATGTATCAGTGTCTTTGAGTAAAGACCATAATCCTACTGATTATGATGAGAGGCAGAGGATACAAAAACTAGGAGGTCAAGTCAGGTATGAACCTTTACCACTTACTAATTGTAGAGGTTGTTTATAGCTGATTTTAGAATCTTGAAAGCGAACACTTTTGAACATCTCTTCTCTGTTTCAGGAATAATCAATCTTTTTCTCATGGGTGAGCTCATGATAATTTTCAAAATATTCATTTCTAATAGCTCTGTGAGCTGTCCAATGCATTGTTACTTGCTATGAATTATTAGTTCCATCAGACCTGACAAAGATGATTGCGCTAGAATATTTGATGTTTTACTCATAGTCTTGTGACTCTCACCCAATTAATGCAAACAAGGTTAAATATAAAGCTGGAACATACAAGCCTTATAGGTTATTAAGTAAATCTAAATATGCTTGATGCTGTAATTTCTGGTTTTTCAGGGAAGGGAGGGTTATGGGTATCTTAGAAGTGTCAAGATCAATTGGAGATGGTCAGTATAAAAGATGTGGAGTAATCAATACACCTGATGTTAAACGTTGCCAATTAACTTCAAATGATAGATTTTTATTGATTGCGTGTGATGGATTGTGGAAAGTTTATAGTCCTGATCAAGCTATAGAATTCATTCTTAATGTACTGCAGGTCAGTTTCTGTTTTGTTCGCTTTATACCGGAGTAAGTAAATATTCTCCATATTGCCAAGAGGTACATTTGTCTATTCATATATATGTTTCGTCCTTACACTGCTTTTGTTAAGAGTGTTTGAATCGACTAATCATAGTGATATCTATTTCACCATTTTTATTAGAATTACAGTGATAACATAGATATCCTTTTGTCAGTTTTTAGTGATTTAATTTAATTTTAATAAATTGCAATTTATCTATTTCAGGATAACTCTGTACAAGTTCCAGAGGGATCAACAAAAACTCTTGAAGAGACAAGATTTGAAGCAGCATGCAATAAACTAGCTAGTGAAGCAGTTCGGAAAGGAAGTGCAGATAATGTGACTGTTTTACTTGTGTCTGTTTCGAAACTTTAATGAACATGTTCCATAGCAGTACTGTGAATGGCTCTGTTCAGAATTTCGAAATGCACTTTTTTCATCATTCCATTGAAAAGTAAAACTCATTGTGATGCCGATAGGAACAGGATGTTTTAATGTCTTTCCACGAAAAACGAATAAGGGGAATTTTTTTTGTTTGGTTTTTCGGGAAATAAATGACTTTATTGCAATGATGTTGGGCGACGGCCGACGGCGCACAGCAACTTTGGAATAGTCTGATCTCAGCGTTTCGTTTAATGTTTTCAAATACATCTGGCCTTGACTCTTAACATGTGTGTGTTGGACTCACAATAAACGTGGATGATCAAACACTCGCCAGCAAAACATTTTTGGGTTTTATATTCATGTATGGTAATATGAATCTCTGCAGATGGAAGATATACCTGATGTGTATGTTCAGTCGCCGCACATAGCCGGTCATTAAAAATCTGGTCAATAAATCACGCCGGAAAAAAGCAATATGTTTTTAAAAAATTTCCTGTAATCAGTATGGCCGTGGTGTCATTTCATCTTCAATACACTCTGAAACGACACATTGAAAAGTTCTTCACAGGTCAAAACTTTCCACAAAATGCTTGCGATATTTATTCCTTGCATGTTTGAACGGGAAATAAACGGTGGCATGAACTTGTTGCCTATGTTTAAGAAAGTTGTGAGCCGCAAGAATATTTTTTCTGATAAGACTGTGCGGTGAACTAAGAGTATGACTTAAAGTAAATAACATTTCACGGTCAAGCAATGCTTTTGGAAAGACCATTTATCTACAACATTAAATGGTCCTTTCACGACCATTACGCAGAGCGCTATTTTGCAAAGGAACAGTGAGAACCTAGCGGAAATCACGTAAACTGATAATGCTAGGAATCTTGCCGATGGACATGATCGGGTTATGCACCTTCGTCCATCTGGACTCTTGAAATATACACAAAATAAGGAAATCAAATGAATAATGTGAGTAATGCAAAATTTGAAAATAAAAACTTTCCCCTCATTGATCACCAGCTGTGTGAGTAGTATATAAGCACGTTTATAGGAAAGAATTTGAGCCGGCGAGAACCTACAAACTAGGAAACAAAGATAAGACCTCTCGAAGTTGCGCGTTACTTCAACCAGCCCTTAGTCGTTTTTTACGGGTTTCGATACACACTGTAGGGCAAGCTACCTGTCGATTAGCGATCTATCGAATTCTGGTTGGTTTGGTCAATCAGCGAACTATAAAAATAAAACTGAACTTGAAAATAAATATCTGCAAATGTTCCAAATATTTTGAATTGATATGGCGGTTCATATCGCTGTGCTCGAATCACAGGTGAAATAAACATATATATATATATATATATTTTGAAATGATGTCAAATACAGGCATGAATCTGTCCACCTGGCAAATTTGTTCTCAAAGATCACAAACTTTTCATTATTAATCTTTGATTTGAAACTAGTAAATAAATTGATTTTTTGAAATCTGCTATATATACCTATTTTCAAATGAAATATTGTAGCTCTCTTTAAATTATCGATATAGTATAATGTATATGTAGTAGTTCAACAAAAGCGTATATATATATATATATATATGACAATGCTTCCCCACACTCTTGCAGAAATGTGCCCAGTGGATCGAATTTTTAATATTTCCTATTGATGTAGCCAATGATTTGAGGTAAAAACACATTTTTATTTCGATTTATCAGTGTGTAATTATCATGGGCGTAAAATTCGTGTTGGTAATTGTTGTTCTGGCTGTACTTGTATTCAATGAAGCAGATGCATGGTCCAGGCTGAAAAGATGGGGAAAGAAGTTGACAGGTGGAGGGCAACATAATCCAGCAGAAGTGGAGACTGGAAATGAAGAAAGCCACTACCACCAACCGCAGCAACAGAGGTGATTCATCTTCATCTCGATACATCCGTATAAAAATTAACTTCTGAATATTTTAACAATGCGTGTAATATAAAACATGTAATGTTGAAAATTACATCACAGAATTTTGATATATATATCTGTCTGTCGAAGACCGAAAATGCCAGAACAAGGCATAGCGGACCGTGTCACTATCGTCAATAGTGTGCGACCCTAAAACGCTCAGCAACTCCAATCAGATCATATTTATATTTTACATCAAATTGAAATTCGCGTTCAACATTTTTTGTACCTCTTTAATATATAATATTCAGAAAGTTTTCTTATTCATGCTATAGTTACTACAGTAGCCGACGACGAAGAAGAAGTCGTTCATCTTACAGCAGGCGAAGAAGAAGTAGACGGGGGGACATTGAAATTGCTGAACAGGTCAGTCAGTGATACATTTGAGAACCAGACTAAATTAAAAATTAATACTGGAATTTTGATTCAAATAATGTTGTCAGAATTCAAAATTTTACGCTACTTTCCATAATGGAGAGAGAGAGAGAGAGATTTATTGTTTGCCAACCATAAAAACAAGTATTGCAACAATAGTAAAAACATAGGTAAAGTTATTCGGTGTAGACCGGGGACTGCGATACGGCCATCAGAGTCAGCGAATGCGATAACCAAAGCGATTCCAACTCTTAAATTATTTCTGAACTCCAAATTGTAGAAAAACATTTGTAAGAAAATTGAACAATTATTCCATTATTATGAAATAAAAAAAACTGAACGTGAAATGTTCTATACAGGAAAACGAAGAGGAAAGTGAGTCCACAAATAACTTACCCGACTACAACGAAAACCGGCAAATTCTTTCTGATATGCTGGAGTTTATTATAGGTGAGTATAGCCCATTACGAACAAACCCATTAGAACAATTTGAGAAGATTTTGACTTATTACATTATCGTTAAACATCAAAACGCGACTGAGAAACTATGAATGAAACTAATGGTTTAAATAAAATGCACGAATTGATAGATTTTGTGCCTTTAAAGTACACATTAAGATGCCTTTGATCTTAACATTGGCGGTTAAGTTAACCACGAATACCACCGACGTTTTTTGCGATGATGAAAAGTTTTCTTCAATCTTTGTCCATATGTCCGTATACATTAGATTTATGCTTCATTTCACATTTTAGACGACGCAACTAACCACTTGTTTGAAGATGAAGAGCAAGTTGCGTCACATACTATCTGAATATGGAAAAGACATAGCGAATAATCGGGATAAAACAACTCGGAATGGCATCATGAATATTTTTATTCTTATTTTATTGAATTTATTTTAATCGGAATATATATATACAGTAAAGCATTCGTCTGACCGTAAAACAACTCGGAAGTCGGAATGGCATCATGAATATTTTTATTCTTATTTTATTGAATTCATTTTAATTAATCGGAATAAATACAGTAAAGCGTTCATCTGACCGTTGTAAAATTCGATATACCATGTTCTCATCTTCGAGTTGAGCCTGCAAACTGTACAGTTTCCTGCAATTTTAATTAATTTTGTTCCTAGCAAAAACAGGCGCAACAGTCGACGGTCGTCACACGGTACGCGCTTGTTATGAAAATTTCAACTACAGGGGATTTCCGAACAGAAATGAAACCATTCACTACCACTAAACTTGAAAGCTGTAAATAGAAAATGTTTTATCGACATTGACAACTTCAGCTACACGCAGGATACCGACACATGCTTTGAAAAAAAATGCTTATTCTATGTATAGTAAAATGAGTAGGGTAGGCCTCAGTATATTATCGAGTTACGCAAACCCAATAACGGACATTATCTAATCTAAACGATCAAATAATGATAAAAACCGCGATAATGAAATCTAATATTTCGCATACTGATTACAGAAACTACACGCAATAACACAAATAGATAATTTTTTATGTTCCACTTTTGTAATGTGGCACCAAGTTTACTCTAAATTACAGCCATGACAAATCCACCTCTCTTCCTATCTTGCTTTTAGTCGAGCTTAGAACGGAATATCATATTTAACAGGTGGTAAGAAAAGATAGTAGGAAGGCTTAATAGTGACGATTTCCCATCCGATTACCAGTCCATGTCGAGTTACCAACCAGTTACTTGTTCAGAAAGCAAGACACGAAATTAGACCATCCTACGAGTCACTGCAAACGGCAATTTGCAGGGGTTATGCCCTCTCCCCTAAAAGAAATTTCAACATTTTTTATTCCGATTTTCTAACATTTGCAGTGAAACGTAAATTCGTACGCATCTACCGACACCATTTCTTGAACAATTTGCTGAAACTGACTTTTCCTGGCTTGCTATCAATATTCCTTTCACCAAATTAACCAACCAAAATAGATGAAAATGCGCGCATGTATAAATCTTGGATAACTTCAATAGCAAAGTACGATTAAGTCTGTCGAGAGATATTTTTAAGATATTGGTAGATATCAGTGAGTGCTTTTATCTATCCTTGTTCGTAGCAAAAGGCACGTGCATCGTATTACGTCAAATTGCCCAGTCAGAATTGTCAAGTTAGATGCATGAAGATGTGGGCTAGAGAGAGAGAGAGAGAGAGGGATTCAAAGTGAAATAACAGTCATCGTAATAATAAAAAACAAGAGAGCTATGCTCAAATATATGGGCACCCAATGGCAATAAGTTTGATGACGTCATAGCGAGAAAAAAAAGTAATAGCCTTCTGGAGAAAAATTTTATCTTTAACCACTGAAAATTTCAAAGCAATTGGTCCAGTATTCGAAGAGAAAAGCGATTTTTTAATGATAATGACGAAAGAAAATAACATTAACAACAAAATTTTGAAACGATCGTTATGGCCACTAAACGTGTCCAATAATGACAATTATTTATTTTGGTACAGACAGGAGGGAGTGATACGACCAGGCGGTCTTGGAAGTGAAAACCCATCCCTTCACGCTATTATGTTTAAGATTCACAATTTCAGATGACTAAATATAAAGGTGGAACATACTAGAATTTAATAAACGGAATGGTCATTTTTGGACACGTAGTGGACATAACGATCGTTTCAATATTATGTTGTAGTTGTTCTTGTTCTTTGACACGTTTTTAAAAAGTCGCTTTTCTCTTCGAATACTGGACCAATTGCTTTGAAATTTTCAGTGGTTAAAGATTAATTTTTTCGCTAGAAGGCTATTACTTTTGTTTATTCTTAAATTTTATATGAATCCTATGAGATATGATATTTCATACAAAATTTCGCGGTATTTATTCTTACTCATGGGAACACTGTTTTACACTTATTTCAAGCGGTTTCGCGATCGATTGTCTTGCTCAGTACTACAGCTACTGTAGGTCGGTACTGGTAAGTTGCCATACAGGTACCGTAACGCAGTGAAATTGACTTATTCCTTCCGCGGTATTACTAATGCTGCAATGCAAGTTTTATAGCCTATCGTATGCGGAACGGAATATCAGACCTACAGGTTCGGTACCGGTAGCTCAGTACGTAAGTACGATACTGGTACTGGTGCCGGTGTCTTACCACAATGAAATTACCGTAACTTATACTTTCACGGTCCTACCAGTGCAGTAATGCAAGCGTTGTAGCACTTGTAGCCTACTATATTTGTTTATTTTGATGAGAGTCTACTGGAAACAACATAAAATTTGAAAGGGAAGAATTGTTCTGTGATCAATTATCTGTCCTAAAGTGTAAACAACATAAAATTTGCAAGGGAACAACTGTTCTGTGATCAATTACCGTATATGGCCTACAGTGTACAGGTAAGATGCTGGCTGACTGCTAACCGGTACTGGTAGCTCAGTACGTAAGTACGATACTGGTACTGGTGCCGGTACCGGTGTCTTACCACAATGAAATTACCGTAACTTATTCTTTCACGGTCCTACCAGTGCAGTAATGCAAGCGTTGTAGCACTTGTAGCCTACAATATTTGTTTATTTTGATGAGAGTCTACTGGAAACAACATAAAATTTGAAAGGGAAGAATTGTTCTGTGATCAATTATCTGTCCTAAAGTGTAAACAACATAAAATTTGCAAGGGAACAACTGTTCTGTGATCAATTACCGTATATGGCCTACAGTGTACAGGTAAGATGCTGCCTGACTGCTAACTCAGTACCGCTTGACACGTTTTTAAAAGTCGCTTTTCTCTTCGAATACTGGACCAATTGCTTTGAAATTTTTAGTGGTTAAAGATAAAAATTTTCTCCAGAAGGCTATTACTTTTTTTTTCGCTATGACGTCATCAAAATTATGTGACTCTACGTGTCCATATATTTGAGCATAGCTCTCTTGTTTTGTTTGCAGAGCAAAAGTAAGATATGAGACAATTAAATAACAGATAAAAATGGTAAGCAATTATAACAGTATGAGTTGTTATAACATCAAAATACAATGCAGGGATGAAGTCTAGCATTTTCGTTATAAAAAAATATGAATACAAGAGAGCAATGCTCAAATATATGGACACGAAAACTATTTGCAATAATTGCATCACGCTGTTAAACCGGCAAATTGCATTGATGAAACCGCGACCACCATATTTCATAACATGTTGAACACTATTGGAAAGATTGTAATGCTTCTTTATTAGCATATTGATGTTGTTTACCGCAGAGCTGTAATGAAAAAAGGCTAAAAGATGAGCATAAACATTGCAGCTGTGCAAGCGTACAAAAAAATGGAATAAGTTAATTTGACTGCAAATGCAGTAAGAGTAAACATGTAAATAAACTTGATATGATTTGGCACATACTTACGTCATTGACTGTACAGTGGTCATATATTTCATTCTCACAGCGATACCAGACTTGGAATGGTACCTTACCGGTAACCAGACAAGAGGCTGTGGTTCGCAATATGGTTAAGCCGTTCTATAGGCTTTCCTCTCCATCGGGATAATTATGTAAATCTTATCCTTTTTGTAAAGTCTCTTCCTCTGCATATTTCTGTATTTACTGATTTATGTACACTAACCTGCTGCACATGTTGGAATTTTTGCGAAGTTTCTTCCTCTGCTTACGGTACCATACGTATTTATGCAAATGTTGTTTCCAAAAAAATGTAACGAAACAGCGAAAAATTAGAAAGGCATAGCAGCTGTGCAGACATGCTGGCTCATTACAAAAACTTAATTTCAATGCAGGCACACACTCTAAACAAATATAATTAATGCAACTAGTACAGTAATACTGTACTAGTCTACCGATATCGTACCTGTACAGCTGTACCGGTACGTACCGTAACGGACTACGGTACCGGTGTTGGTAAGACGGTACGTAGACCTGTAAACGGTACCGGTACGTGCCGTACAGGCCACAGGGACTGTCATAGCTTTCCCAGCTATCGTACCGGTACCGGTATCACTTTCGCTTAACACGGGACCACAGTCTACAAATACTGAAATATATGGAAAGTGAACATTGATTGATTGATTGAACACCGAGCGAAACAGTACCGGTAGTTTAACTTAACCTCAAAAACCTTTCATTGCGGGTACCGGTAACCCCAAACATCTCGATTCCCCATAAACAACTCTTAGCGGAGCAAGAATTACGATCGCTTCTCAGTTGATATGTAGGGCTGGGCATTTTCGAATACCTTGTGATTTCAGAATCGAATCGAATAATTTTTTCGAATCGAATCTCGAATACTTGAAAATATATAATTGTAAGCGACTTTATTATAGTAATTGGTCCTCTCAACAAATGAATTACTGAAGACATAGAATAAATCACTCAGACAAATTACTGAGCGTTCACACAGAATAACAAACACGTTTTATCAACAACTCACTACAGAAAATAGTCATATGTTAGAATTTCGTTGAAAAAATATGACTCCAATGAAAAAAAAATTGGGGATTTCACCTCGACCATTAGCGGAAAGATAAAAACAAGATGGCGGCGATTCGAAATTTAGCTCTGAACCGATTCGAATAGTTTACTATTCGATTCGAATATTCGATTCGAAATGCCCAGCCCTATTGATATGCCTTCGCGCAATCGCCACAAGGTGTCACTATTTTTTATTCTGATCACTTCTTTGAACACAAAAAACGAATCTCTCGAAGTCCACAGGAAATTTTAAAATAAATAAAAATAATAGCCTTCTGGAGAAAAATTTTATCTTCATCCACTGAAAATTTCAAAGCAATTGGTCCAGTATTCGAAGAGAAAAGCGACTTTTTAAAAACGTGTCAAAGATCAAGAACAACAACAACATAATATTGAAACGATCGTTATGTCCACTTCGTGTCCAATAAAGATAAAGAGAACCACTGACAAGATGAGTGGTACATAAATATACGTATATGAGAAAGATTTGTAAAAAATCTCGAATACAAGTGCTAGAGAAATATATCAAGTCAAAGGATATTAATGCAGAACAATTTGGCTTAAACACAAATACAATGTTAAAGTATGATTTAGTGCTGGGTTAACTATAGTGGTGTACAACTTATGGACCTCCTGAAGTATGCGCACCAAGATGGCGCCCAACCTAAACTTAGGTTGTGTACAAGGTTAGGGTTCAGGTTTTGCGATATCTTGGTGCTCATACTCCAGGAGTAGCCTACCCAACTTTTTTTAGAATTGGGATTGAGTAAAATGAACATTATGGTTAGCATGCCCTAGTCTGAAAATGCGATTTTTTTTACATTTTAACAGGATGTACTGTAGACTTGATATTACTCTAGGACAGCCAAATACCAAGAGCCGCATTTCGTACTTTATTACCGCGAAGAGCCGCATTGTAAACAAGAACACACACGTGATCTACTAGAAATCTAGTTTATTGTAAATGTCACTAACCAACATGATTATGATAGAAATTTACAAGCCATTTATTGTTATGCATGTTACTTATTGGGACTTTGACATTCCTTGAACAAACGCGTCTCGCAACAAAGAATTTAAATGTGACGTAATAATGGACGATTGCGAGATAAATTGAATGAAAGTGTTCATCTTTTAAAGTTCACAAATACATTTGGCCTTGACTCTTAATATAGCCCGGAAGATAAGAGGCCTTTTGGGCCCAACCTTGTTTTCGGACATATAGTTTTTTTTATTGTGATTATTCATCTTGGGGTCATTGCCCCTCATTTCTACACGGGTGTAGAGTTTGCAGCCTTGAGCAATTTTTTTACGGCTTAATATATATTTGTATTAGTGTTTTTCGTCAAATCTGTGTACCATAATGGCGCACAACCTGAACCCTAACCTGGTACACATACTATGTTCAGGTCGCCATCTTGGTGCACATACTACGGAAGCACCAAATTTACTAGGGAATAAAATCAATAACTTTTAGGTATTTGTTGAAAAAAATCGTACCGAAAATATTTTCAGACGACCAAGCTTTGGTTCGCGACCCATAGATAAGGATGCTAAGTATGAGTACTTACAAGTATCCGATTCTTATCCGATTCCTCAATTTTCGACTGAATCTCGATTCCGAATCTCGATTCCTCGACATAGCTTACCGAGAAAACATACCCGCTTAAACAACACTAACAAATCTAACAAGTTAGCGATGTTCGAAAATATGAACACGGAAGCTAAGTAGTATGGGTTTTCAATCTGTCACAGTACACAAAATCACATACAAAATAAACGAATCCCTTAGAGCCCACAAAAGATCTTGAAATAAATAAACGTAATAGCCTTCTATCGAAAATTACAATTTTTAACCAATGGAAATTTCCTAGCAATTGGTGCAGTAGGTAATGATAAAACATATCTTTTCATAACAAGAACAAAAAAAATGAATTGAAACAAAAATATAATAACAAAACGATTTGAATGTCCACTTTGTGTCCAAAATTACTGTCATAGTAAAAAGTTCAATTCGTCTTCGTGTAAGCTGGATCGGAATTTGGATACGGAAAGCTCCTCTGAGATAAATCCCCTTTCTGATGCAGCGGGTGTTGTTGGGACACAGGAGTACTTTTGGATGACAACTGCGATGTTTGGATACGTTTTTTTTCTGTTGCCACCATTGCAACATTTATTCCTGGGTCGCAGATATGACAAGAGTTCTGTCATTCAAATATATTGATATCTCAGCTGAAGCATCCATCTCCCTGGTCAATTCATCAATGTCACCGCCAGTCACTTCAGAGCTACCCATACCATCACTGATCAGATTTTCAATACACGCTCCATTATTTCTATATGGATGAGTTATTTCGTTATTCCGGTCTGTTGGACTGCAGACTGTTCCATCTCTGAGGTGTAAAATTTTCTACTTCAAACTACAAGTTTTTTTTAGATTTCTTGATACCCATTGCTCCAAGTAAATAGGAGTAATGAACGTAATAGATAAGAGAAACTATACAGAAATGGTCCAAATGTGGCTTCTGCCCTCAACTCGCGCAAACGAGCGAGAAGAACAATGTAAAGATATAGTTAAGTTTGCGACGTTGTAGGCTTGTAGCAAATCCACATATCAGTTTATACATATATATATGTGAAGAATTTGCCACAAAACATTATTTTGTTTTCTATCCAAGTTTTAACCTCAAGAATCGATTCCAATGCACCGGAATCGATTCTACTCGATTCCATGAAGAATCGATTCTGGAATCGAATCCGGAGTCGATTTCGCCATCCCTACCCATAGATAGGGAAACACTGTTGAAACATACGCGTAAAATAAAGAGTACTATTTCAAAATACCCGCTATTATTGCAATTAACAATACAAGCCTGCTAATGCAGTCGGTAGTGGTTCAAGTGGATTGCGCACAGTTTGTGCGCAAATATACACACGGTGGAGAACAGTCAGTTATTTGTTAGCAAGGATTGTTATGCAGCGGAATGATCACGACGATGCAGTGAAAGATAATGCTATCACGAGAACACAAATGAGAAAATTGCCACATTTTATAGTATATCCCTGGGATAGAATGTAATTCATGTTTATGTCCAACTTTTGTAATGCGGCACCAAGTTTACTCTCGATCACAGCCATAACAAATCCACCTCTCTTCTCATCTTGCTTTTAGTCGACAGCTTAGAACGGAATATGATATTTACCAGATGGGAAGAAAAGGTAGTAGGAAGGCTTAATAGCGAGCGACCTACGATTTCTCATCCGATTGCCAGTCCATGTCGAGTTACCAATCAGTTACTTGTTCAGAAAGCGAGTCACGCAATTGGACCGCAATTAGGCTTTTCAAACTACCGAAGACTCTCAACACTTTTGCTTCTCCTCTACTATAAAAATACATTGATATTATTTATTCGCATTTCCGTCTGTTTGTTCGTGCTCCCTAATAACCGATCCGTGGCCTCCAAAAAGGCCGGGGTCCCCGTTTAAGAAACCCTGTCATAAACTAAAATAGGCGACCGTGCTTCTCTTGCCTGTTGTCATGCTGCCACTCGAATTCAGCTACAACAAAAAATTCACGAAAACGGGTTTTAGATTTTAGGATTTCATTATTATTCTCGACAATGAATGATATACGGGTGATAAAATACGGGAAAATAAAATGATTACTCCAACAATATGATCATGTTTTGTAACTTGGTTTGACAGAGACCCGAGAGATCTAACTACAAATATCAAAAAGTGAGGCCAAAAAAGTTACACACCAATATAGTCAAATGTGCTGTATTTACGATAATAGATAACAGGTTTACCAAAAAGCATTGCATGTAAAATAAAGATCAATTCAGCAATATCTGCATAGGACTTGGTGATATGCATCTGTTGATGATTTTATGTGTTTGTTTCGGAAGTTTTTAATGACAGAATTAATTGTGAATGTTGGGGATGTTTCAAAAAAAAAGGTTGAATGGAAAAAAGTTTTCACAAAATGTCAAAGTTTGAGAAAGGTAGAAAAAATACTCCCACGTTTTCTTCATTTGACAACCACGCCACAGAACTTTTCCGATAAATATACGCAGCAATTGCGAGAGACAGAAATGCCAAGATGGAATTTCATCGCATTGCAAACCAATATTAGCGATTCTTAGATATATTCGCGCATTCCCATCTGAACTGTATGAAAAAGATTATACATATCTATTTTGCAGTTAAACACTTAAAAACTATGTCAGATAAGCGCATATTATCGAATATTATTAAAGGAATAGTACAATGGGAAAAACATATAAGGCGTTACATTCAGTAATAATCTTAAATAATCAAATCAAACAAAATAATCAAATAATCCTATTGTAGAATATATATTGAAAAACATTTCGTCACGCAAAACCGCAGTCCAAAACTTTTTGTCTCTGACTGAGCTTAGATACCAATTGGCGCTCATGTAAACTGATAAGAGGCAGGTTCCATATTGAAACGCCACGGGATGAAGCAGATAATATGAATATCCAACCTCAAGCTGTCATTTGAGTGGGTACTGCTGTTTTTATTGCAGATGAAACTGATTTTTGTACTTTTACTGGCATATCAATACTGGCATACTGGATATCAATAAACCAGTTGAAAACCAACACGCAATATTACCAAACTTACTTCCAACACGCGGTTTGAATGAATGAAAAAGCTGAAACTAGTATTCTTTAGAACAGCATACTAATTCTATGGGATGAAATCATACAAAAAAACTCGTCAAAAACGTATAGGTCAATAAACAGGTGGAATTCGATGCATGTGCGCAAAAATGTGCGCGTTAACACGCACAATCGGAGCACTCAAGAAAATGTGTGTGATGTACTAGTGATCAAAAGGTTTGACTCAACTATGTTGGCATAGCAGGTGCACATCTTGGTTTCGCATACGCATACCCTTTATCTTCACAAGGATATATTAATTTGGCCAAAGTCAATGCTGAATCTGAAAATTTCCAGTTCTTCCAAAAGAAAACACGTTACACATCGTTAGATAACAGTGGATGGTTTTACATGGCCTTGTTCGGAGCGAAAGACGAGGTCGAATGTTCTAATCCATTTACTAATAAAATATTTCCCAAGTCCCGAAACTTTAAGCAGGAAAATGAAATGCCCGCGGCAACACAAATGTAGCTTGAAAAGTGCAAAAGAAAGTGGCTAGATGCTGTCGATGAATCTTGGCTTATATTAGTGAAATAAACTACCATTTATTGTATTAAAATTGAATTTCTAACATTGTAAGGAGATTCAATGTTACTATTTATTCCAAACTAACCCATGTAGTCATGAAATAATTGTTTATATTAACAAAAAGGTGCTCCCGAAGTAGTCGTACCAAGATGGCGCACAACCTGAACATTGGAGCGGAGCGCCTTCTGTCGAACTAATTCACTAATATGATGTGTGTGTGTGTTGGTGTTACGATAAGCTTCTGTGATCAAATACTAGCCGGCAAAAAATTTTGGGGTTTGTATATATTTATATATGGTAATATGAATCTTTGCAGATAGAAGATATACCTGAAGTGTGTATTCAGTCACCGTACATGGTCGGCCGTTTAACAATCTGGTCAATAAATCATGCCGGAAATAAGCAATATGTTTTTAAACATTTTCCTGTAATCAGTATGGCCGTGGTGTCATTCCATCTTCAATACACTTAAAACGCCACATTAAAAAGTTCACCACAGGTCACAATTTCCCCCACAAAATGCTTGCGGTATTTATTCCTTGAATGATTGAACGGGAACTAAAACGTTGACATGAACTCATGGCACATGGTTTAAGAAAAGCTGTGAACCGCAAGAAAATTTTCCCAAATAAGGTTGTACAGTGCATGACGTGAGAAGAATGCAATTTCACGGTCAAACAATTCTTTTGGTGAATCAAATAATCCCCAACATCGATAGGTCCCTTCCACGACCGTCACGATATTTTCCAAAGGAAGAGTGCGAACCTAACGCAAATCACGTAAACTAATAATTCTGGAAATCTTAATCCTAAGACATGACCGGGTTATACACCTTCGTCCATCTGGACTCTTGAATTATAAACTCAATAAATTGATCAAATGAATAATGTGAGTAATGCGAAATTTGAAAATAAAATTTTCCTCCTCATTGATCCCCAGCTGTGTGAGTAGTATATAAGCACGTTTATTGGAAAGAATTTAAGCCAGCGAGAACCTACTAACTAGGAAACAAAGATAGAACCTCATGAAGTTGTCGGGTCAACCAGCAATAAGTCGCCTTTTATCTTGTATCTGTCGCTTCGTCATCTACCGAATCTGTAAATTGAATTCGGGTTGGTTTGGTCAATCAGCAAACTATAAATTACGTTACTGAACATGAAAATAAATATCTGCAGATGTTCCAAATATTTTGAATTGATAGGGCCGCTGTGATCAAATCACATGTGAAATAAACATCTCTAGAAATGATATCAAATACAGGCATGAAGCGCGTGGACTTTTCATCATCAATCTTTGATTCGAAACTAGTATGTAAATTGATCGTTTTGAAATTTGCTAAACATCATTTAAAATGATTTATTGTAGTCCACTCAAAATTATCGATATTAAAAAAAGTATATATATATATATGACATTGATTCCCCACACTCTTGCAGTAAATGTGCCTAGTAGATCGAATTTTTAATATTTTCAATTGATAGTTAATGATCTGAAATAAAAGCAAAAAACACAATTTTTATTTATAAGTGTGTAATAGTCATGGGTGTAAAATCCATCTTAGTAATTGTTCTCTTGGCTGTACTTGTATTTAATGAAACAGATGCTTGGTTCAGGCGGATGAAAAAATGGGGGAGAAAGTTGACAGGTAGAAGGCAACATAATCCAGTAGAAGAAAGACATGGAAATGAAGAAGGCCACTACCAACCACAGCAACAGAGGTAATTTTATGAAAAAATAATTGAACAAGGTGTGCTAGTAAACCGTCTTCATCTCGAAACATCCGTATAAAAGTTAAAGTTTCAATAATTTTAACAGTGCGTGTAATAAAAAACATGTCCATCACGAACATTACATCATAAAACTCTGATCTATATGTCTGTCGTGCGACCTTAAAACGCTCAGCGATTCCAAACATATCAGATTTATATTTTACATTAAATTGAAATTAGCGCTTATTCGCGTTCAACTTTTTTGTACCTATTTGATAATTCATTCATGCTATAGTTACTACAGTAGCCGACGAAGAAGAAGAAGTAGCAGGGTAAAAAGAATACGGTGGGACAGTAAAATTGCTGAACAGGTCAGTCAGTGATACATGTGTAAACCAGTCTGAATTAAAATTTATTATATGGATTATTATTCAAATCAAATCTTTTAATATTGTTTTATTGAAACATGCAATAAGCATTATCGTGGAATAAAGAGACCGAATGTGAAATATTCTATATATACAGGAAAACGAAGAAGAAAGTGAGTCCACAAATAACTTACCCGACTACAACGAAAACAAAAGTCAGCAAAGTTTATTGTAGGTGAGTGGCCGATTACAAACAAACCCAATGACACATTTGAGAAAAATTTGAGAAGTTTTGACTCATTACATTATCTAAATTAGGTGTCGGCAACCTTCTGTCGCTCGCAGGCCAAAATTAAGGGTTGCAAGTCTTGGTGGGCCGCACATATTTTTAGAAAGGTAAAAACCGAACGGATGAGTCACAATTTTTAACTCAGATAAGAAGTTGAATTTTTAGATTTTATATAGCGCGCCTGAAACATCTCGTGAACTAAACTCAGTCGTTTTACTGAAAAAAAAAAATACAAATGGCATTTAATGTGACATTGGTTGTTGCATTACGCTTGATAGCTTGTCACACAGGCGGTACGCTGGATGAAGCCAAGATTAGAACATTTTCTTTGTAAAGTTCATTTTTGAAAATAATTGTTCTCACGCATAAGTACTCCCAAATATCGATCTGAATTTTCTCGCATGGTTCGTCACTTTTTATAAAAATCAAGCAGTCTCTCAAATAGAATATGGATTTTATTTTCTCATTGCATTGTATCTGAAGAAGCTCCATTTGAATATTTTCCGCAACCGTATCTACCTTGGCTTCATGTGTCCTTCAATTATTTTGCCGCCTCGAAACTGGCAACGGTATTGTTCAGTTTCGTTGTATTGCTTTAAACAGAGGGAGCTTTGTTTTTCCAAGCCAACTTTAAATGGTTTATCTTTTTCTTCCTCCTTTGGTTATTGAGCTTTATAAATTTGGAATATTTCGTTTCATAATGATGTTTATCTTTGCATAACACTTGGGCAAACTCACCTAACTGATTCGCTTTGCATCTGTCGCTATGATGTTTTCCAATCTTTTTTGATAGCAACTTATGCATAGCAAATCAGGTAGATGAGTTTGCCCAAGTATTTTACAAAGAAATCGGGCCATAGGTTGCCGACCCCTGATTTAAATCGTTAAACGTCAAAACGCGACTGAGAAACTGAATGCAACTAATGGTTTGAATATAAGATATACGAAGTGATAGATACTGACTTCTGTGAAAAGTTTCCTTCAACCTTTGCTCATTTGTTATACGTATACATTAGATTTATGCTTCATTTCACATTTTAGACGACGCAACTAACCCCTTGTTTGAAGATGAAGAGCGAATTGCACAACATACTATTTGAATATGGAAAAAAAGCGAATAATCGGGATAAAACAACTCAGAATGGCATCATGATTATTTTTATTATATTGAATTTGTTTTTATCAGAATATATGTATATACAGTAAAGTATTCATTTGATCTAAGTGAAATTCGATATACTGTGTTCTCATTTTCAAGTCGAGTCTGCAAACTGTACTTGTCATTCTAATCGGTATGGTACACAATAGAATATCGACTTTCAAATTTAGGTTGAGTATCCCTTAACAAGTAGATGAATTTCCCGTTAGGTCATGCCCAGGTCGAAATCCTGCGACTCTTGACTTTCTAAATAGAAATGAAGCTATCCACTACCTAATATGCATCTGAAACTTGAAAGCTTCAATTAGAATGTTCTATTGACATTGACAACTTCAGCCAATCCCGGATTCCAGCACATGGTCTGAAAAAAAATTCCGATGCTTATTCTATGTATAAAATGGGTAGGTAGACCTTAGAATGTTATCGAGTTACGCAAACCCAATAACGTATACGGACATAATATGAACTACCATTGATAAAAAGGCGACAATGAAGAATTTGTTCATCACATACAGACTATTGAAACTGTACGATGGACTACTCAGCCAGAATAAAATTAATACACGTCTGCACTTGCTTTTCAAAAAATCAAATTAGGGCAGGGTAAAATACAATTTGCAGAAATTAGACTAGTTTCTGTCTGTCAGTTGAACTGCAATGTAGTAGCACAAATTGATAGAAGTTTAATGAACACTTTTCTGATGTGGCAACAAGTTTCACAACCATGACAAATCCACCTCTCATATCTCAGAAAACATTCCACCATGTTTTTAGTCGACAGCTTAGAACGGATTTTCATATCAGGTCGAAAGAAAGGGTAATGAGAAGACTTTATCTGATAAAGGCCTACGTTTCCCCATCCGGTTACCAGTCCATCTCGAACATAAGCAGTGCCGTGGCAGACTTTCGCAGACTTTTCTTGCAAGAAAAAAATTCACGTATAAAATATTTTAAATGAGTTCGACCCATAAAGAATGTGTGAATGAACTCTACTGTGATCGTGCAAAATAGCTTGCACAGAGTCTAGTTTGGAGCGAATTTCATATGCATATAGTATTGCGGATTACGGTAGTTGAAAGTTTCATATGATGGTGACTTGTGGAGGGTAGATTTGAGAAAGACTACCGCATTTGCTCGTTTTATAGCCCGGGCCCATATTCTTTTAACCAAACTCACTAACCGGGCCCTTAATCGAACCGGCCTGTATTCAAGCACAGGCGCTTGTTATTGATATACAAATCTGCAAAAAAAGAAAAGTTTTGCGACGCCCTATTAATATTGAAACGACGCTCTTGGGCGTCGCGACGTTTGAGAACCACGGTGTTACGTAATCAGGACGCCTAAGGCGTGAGTGTTATCTACCAGCGCTTAAAACTCAACAGCGTTGTGACAAAAGCGCTTCTTATTTCCCATTGTTCTCTACCACTGAAAAAATCAGCTTTTACATCGGGCGGGTATTCACGCACCGGCCCTTATTTATTTTTATGTTCTGTCCACACGGGCGGCTATTCGAACGAGCCCTTAATCCAGATCGGGCGGTTTAACGAGCATATACGGTATGTTAAAGAGGTACAGAGCTCAGTTTATAGCAAATAATTTCGAATAAATACTTTTCATATCTCAATAGTTGCTTGTTCGGGCCAATTTCAGAGAGAAGTTTTGAGTAAACACCATCATGCTTTTATACCGTAGCGTAACGCGACAGACGACACTGATGTACAATAGATGTTTAGTTTGAGCTCTGCACGGACTTTGCTCGAGTAACTGGTACATCAAGTTTGATTGAATCATTCACAGCGTCTGCGGCGCCGGCCACGTTTCCGTTGCGGCCGCGTCTCTAAATCTCGGAATTGCCTTTGATTGTTCAGTGAAGGGCGGGGTGCTCAGTTTTTGTTTTCCATGGAATAAGTTACGGTAAATCTGCGTAGCAGGCTTTTTATAATAATATACGCCTGTGCAACGGTCTATGTTGTCTTTCGTGCATAGATGATTTTGCCGAGTAATTTCGAATAATTCAACCAATATATCAAGAATCATGTCTTATGTCGCTGAAGAAAGAGGACGTCCAAACACGCTTGATTATAGAATATACTATAAAAACAGCGAGGGGCAATACATCTCCCCTTTGCATGACATTCCATGGCTGGTTTCGGAAAGACCACGAGTGTACAATATGGTCTGTGAGGTTCCAAGATGGACGAACAGCAAGATGGAAATTGCAACAAAAGAGAGTCTAAATCCAATTAAACAAGATGTGAAAAAGGGGAAACTCCGATATGTTGCTAATTGCTTTCCACACAGAGGATATATTTGGAATTATGGAGCAATTCCACAGACTTGGGAAAACCCAGGACACAAAGACAAGAATACAGGTCAGTGTGGTGACAATGACCCAATTGATGTTTGTGAAATTGGATCAAAAATCTGCAAGCGTGGTGAAGTTATTCAAGTAAAGGTTGTTGGAGTTCTTGCCATGATTGATGAAGGAGAAACTGACTGGAAAGTGATAGGAATCAACATTAACGATGAAGACGCTCCAAAAATAAATTCAATTGGAGATGTTGAGAAGATGAAACCTGGATACTTGGACGCCACTCGTGAATGGTTTAAAATTTACAAGATACCAGATGGAAAACCAGCGAACTGTTTTGCATTTAATGGAGATTATAAAGACCGTGAATTCGCTGAAGAAACAATAGCTGAAACTCATAGTTTCTGGGTTGAAAGTCATTCCGGAAATTTGAAATGTGATTTTGCCATGGAAAACATTTGCTGCAGTGACAGCAACTTCAAAATTGATGGTGAAGCCACAACTAAAATATTAGAAGCTGCACCGGCACTTGGCGAAGCAGAAGAGGTTACTGATGAAAAAGCTGAGAAGTGGTACTACACCAGTTTGCTTCAAGGTCAACTTTAATTTGCCAAAGGAATTTACCTTCTGCGTGGAACTGCTGCTACTATCTATGATTAAGCAATTTATGGAAGTTGTAGAACAATGCCAGGTGCACGCTAAATAATTCAATATCTACGCAATGCACTTTTTACCTTTTGTTCAATTCATAAAAAACGAAGTCTTGTAAATACAGATATTTCGCTTTGGTGATTGTCATATTATTTGTTAAAATCGAAAGTTGATCTTTATATTTTCGATTTCTGTATGTCGGATTCTTGTAGACAAATTGGAACATGTGTTTCTGTTTTGAATAAAAGTAATTAAAGCAATCCAAGAGTTTTCTATTCTTTGATAAGCTAACTGAACTCGACCATTGGTTGTCACACAGGCGGCACGCTGGATGAAGCTAAGATTAGAACATTTTCTTTGTAATGTTCATTTTCGAAAATACTTGTTCTCACGCATAAGTACTCCCAAACATCGATGTGAATTTTTTCGCATGGTTCGTCACTTTTTATAAAAATCAAGCAGGGATACATTTCTCAAATAGAATATGGATTTTATTTTCTCATTGCATTGTATCTGAAGAAGCTCCATTTGAATATTTTCCGCAACCGTATCTACGTTGGCTTCATGTGTCCTTCAATTATTTTGCCGCCTCGAAACTGGCAAAGGTATTGTTCAGTTTCGTTGTATTGCTTTAAACAGAGAGAGCTTTGTTTTTCCAAGCCGACTTTGAATTGTTTATCTTTTTCTTCCTCCATAGGTTATTGAGCTTTATAAATTTCGAATATTTCGTTTCATAATGATGTTTATCTTTGCAGAACACTTGGCCAAACTCACCTAACTGATTCGCTTTGCATCTGTCGCTATGATGTTTTCCAATACTTTTTGATAGCAACTTATGCATAGCAAATCAGGTAGATGAGTTTGTCCAAGTATTTTACAAAAAAATCGGGCCATAAGTTGCCGACCCCTGATTTAAATCGCTAAACGTCAAAACGCGACTTAAAAACTGAATGCAACTAATGGTTGAATATAAGATATACGAAGTGATAGATTCTGACTTCCGTGAAAAGTTTCCTTCAACCTTTGCTCATTTGTTATACATTAGATTTATGCTTCATTTCACATTTTAGACGACGCAACTAACCACTTGTTTGAAGATGAAGAGCAATTAGCACAACATACTATTTGAATATGGAAAAAAGCGAATAATCGGGATAAAACAACTTAGAATGGCATCATGATTTTATTTTTATTTTATTGAATTTGTTTTAATCAGAATATATATATACAGTAAAGTATTCATTTGATCTAAGTGAAATTCAATATACCGTGTTCTCATTTTCAAGTCGAATCTGCAAACTGTACAGTTAGTTGCCTGTCATTCTAATCGGTATGATCCACAATATAATATCGACTTTCAAGTTTAGGTTGAGTATCCCTTAACAAGTAGATGAATATCCCGTTAGGTCATGCCCAGGTCGAAATCCTGCGAGATTGAGGTATTTAGATCATTTTGGAACCTAAGCAAAAACATGCGCTACAGTCGGAGGTTGGCACTCTTGACTTTCCAAATAAGAAATGAAACTATCCACTACCTAATATGCATCTGAAACTTGAAAGCTTCAAGTATAATATTCTATTGACATTGACAACTTCAGCCAATCCCGGATTCCAGCAAATGATCTGAAAAAAAAATTCTGATGCTTATTCTATGTATAAAATGGGTAGGTAGGCCTTAGAATGTTATCGAGTTACGCAAACCCAATAACGTATACGAACATAATATAAACTGTCATTGATAAAAAAGGCGAAAATGAAAAATTTGTTCATCACATACAGACTATTGAAACTGTACGCTGGACTACTCAGTAAGAAGAAAATTAATACACGTCTGCACTTGCTTTTCAAAAAATCAAATTAGGGCAGGGTAAAATACAATTTGCAGAATTTAGACTAGTTTCTGTCTGTCAGTTGAACTGCAATGTAGTAGCACAAATTGATAGAAGTTTAATGAACACTTTTCTGATGTGGCAACAAGTTTCACAACCATGACAAATCCACCTCTCATATCTCAGAAAACATTCCACCATGTTTTTAGTCGACAGCTTAGAACGGATTTTCATATCAGGTCGAAAGAAAGGGTAATGAGAAGACTTTATCTGATAAAGGCCTACGTTTCCCCATCTGGTTACCAGTCCATGTCGAACATAAGCAGTGGTGTGTCAAACTTTCGCGCTACTCGGGGCGAGTTTCTGATAATGCTGCCCCTTATAAGTTATACCTAGGGTTACCACATTTTTTGGACTTCAAAGCGGGACGCCTCCAAAGACACGACCTCTTAGCTGTGATCCTGTAACTTTACAGTTTCCGATTTTACTACATAGGCCTACATTTAAGGCCATCCCGGCTGTCTTCATTGACCATATTGTCATCGAGAATTCATGCGCATATTCTCTGTATAAATATCGGATTCAGTTCGAAAAATAGAAAGGAATAGACGCTAACGATACAAATGATCCGAATTTAGATTTTTCTATGTACAGCAAAAGGAATAAAGCATAATGAAATAGTCTGCCGTTTTCAAGCATTGGGAATTTACTTATTCGCTAAGCATGCTTTTCTGTAGATAACACTTTCTCAAGAAGACGTTGCTCAATGATATATTCACGTGAACGTTCGAACAGGACCAATTGGAATTGATTTTACATGTGATACGTTCGCTAACATAACGGAACAAATAAAATAACGCATTCACCTTCAGTAAGTAGACTAGCGTTGCGCTACACGGCAACAACAGTAACGAGAACATGTTCGTGTATTATGCTGGATGGCAGAACGCAAAAGCGGGACTTTTGGTTGACTTGTCGGGACGGCGGGACAAGACGCTAAAAAGCGAGACTGTCGCGCCTAAAGCGGGACGTATGGTAAGCCTAGTTATACCTAACTTCAAAAATAATTTGGGGATAAACAAATTATAAATGTTGTTATACACGAGAATAAATATATAAGTTAAAGGCCAAGTGAGAGTAAAATGCTTGTAATAGTATCATTTAAATCAGGGATGTGCAAAGTGCGGCCCGCGAGGGAAAATTGTGCGGCCCGCGGAGAAATGCCAATTTTGAATGGTGTGCGGCCAGCTAAACTAGTTTTTAAATTAGTTTGATATGGTTCCCTTTGCGTTGCAAAGCCTATATACGAGTCCAATTTATTATCTATGCCTATGACGTTACAAGGTCCAAACAGCGAAGCAAACAACGCGATTCACAAAGCTATCACTTGTCGAGCAGCGAACAATTTGAAGGAAAATGCGGAGCAGACCCTAATGAATTTGTATGAACGGGCAATTGAAGATTAGGCAAATGGAAAGCAGTTTGAAAAAATTTAATATTAAGAGATACAAAAGCAAAATGAGTTTTGTTTCCAGTTTATCAGTTGATTTTGTTCAAATCTAAAACTAGAATAAGATTTAACAGCAAATTATTTGGCAATGAATCTTGTCGTATTTTACCGAAAACATCTCAACCAAGATAACTTTGCAAATTTGAAAAAAGTCATGGCTTCAAATATGGCACTTTTCGGCTACATATTTTGTTCTAAAATGGGCGTCATATCGAATTGCCCGCACTTCCATTAAAGCAAATTTGGATAAAACTAGTCCGGAAAAGAATCCAGCAGCAAATTTCTCACTGAATTCGTCAACATTGGGTGTGACAATATATTTGAATTACAGTTTTAAGAAATTTATGCGTTTCAACCTATCATTTCTGTAAGGACCCTAATGATGACGACATGAGATCAATAACAAAAAAGACACTATTTCGTGCCTGCAACTAATAGAAAGCCTATGTTAAATGAAGGTGCGGCCCGCGGGTTTACCCAGTTATTGATATTTGGCCCGCCTGTGAAAAAGATTCCACACCCCTGATTTAAATCATCAAACTGAGCAACAAACTCACTCCTATAACGTGCTGCCCGGGTCGGTTTCCCCTTTGCCCCCTCCCGACACACCACTGACCAATGTGACCATAAGACTTTTAACCAGTTACTTTTTCAGGACGCATGTACTTTTATCCAGAAATCCTCTTGTATAATATTTCCATTAGATGTATTCGTTTTTGCAAACTCAAGGTTAATTTGACAAACTGTAGAACTTATGTCAGGAGTAGTTAGCCGACCCATAAGTATTGGCAAGCGTCTTGTAATATCTGCAGATTACAATTTTACATTGCAATAACCGTTACATTGCATAACCGTTTTCAATATTGATAACTACAAAAACGAAATGGGCTGGATGTAAGAAACACGTTACGTGCGTCCATGTTGACCATATCTCGAATATGGGAACAATTAATGGCCATCAAACAAATAAAGATATCTCATTAAATAGCATCGCCGTCGTTTTTAGTACATTGTCAACCTAAATTCACTAATGCGTATAATGTATTGCATAGGCTTAGTTCGTTTGTATAAAGGTGGTCCGCCAAATGTTTGGTCATGCTTTACCGGTCCGTCACTTGAAAAAGGTTGCCGACCACTGTGTTGAAGGAACACACGGATAATATTCAGTATATGCTTGTACAGAGATCAGTTTATAGCATATAATTTCGAATAAATACTTTTCATATCTCAATAGTTGCTTGTTCGGGCCTATTTCAGAGAGAAGTTTTGAATAAACACCATCATGCTTTTGTACCGTAGAATAGTGCTCCGCAACCGGTGTGCCGCGAGACGATGCCAGGTGTGCCGCACAGGAATTGCAACTTTTCTCTTTTGTTAATTTTACGTTAGTCTACTTCTCTACTAAAGTGAACTTGCTTTTACGTTAGCTTGAGCGACACCAATTCAAATTCCTGACTTCCCCACTATACATTTGTGACGTAACGAGGAGTACCCCTATATGTCAAGCAGATATATTGCAATCATTGTCGAGGCTAAAACATAGCGCGTGTAGTAATCGAATATAAATAAACCTGAAATGTGAGTTTGCAGAATCATTGCCCATAGTGGTCTTTGATTGAAAAAGTCAAGGAACGTTAAAGTTTAGCAAAATGGATAAAATTTCAAAAAGAACATCCAAAACATCTGATACTGAGCAACATATTGTACCTAGCACAAGCAACGTTATAAAAAAAACTTATCAAAAGGAAATACAGGGAAGATTACATAAACTATGGATTTTCTTGCTGTGGTAACGGAAATGCTCCAAATTCAGTCTGCGTTATTTGTGGGGAGCAACTTTCAAATGAAGCAATGGCTCCGAGTAAACTGATGCGCCACTTAAATACGAAATACGGTTTCGTGTGAAATTTGGCGAAAAAGCACTCAAATCTAATGGAGCAAAGATATGACAAGTACTGGTACTTTTTCGCAATTAACAATGAGCGATACGACTGGATCCGAAATCCTTTATCAACTAGTGCTGAAATGTCAACAAAAGAATTACCCCTGCGTATTCGAGAAAATTTCTTTGAAGTAAGAAATTACAGAACGTTAAGACTCAAATTCAGTGAAATTCCACTCGATGTGTTTTGGATTTCAATAAAAGAAGACTACAAGACAGCTATGCTCAAATATATGGACACGTAGCGCCACCCAGTGGCAAGAATTTGGATGACGTCATAGCGAAAAAAAAAGTAATAGCCTTCTGGAGAAATATTTTATCTTTGATCACTGAAAATATCAAAGCAATTGGTCCAGTATTCGAAGAGAAAAGCGATTTTTTAAAAATGGAGACGGAGACAAATAACAACAAGAGAGCTATGCTCAAATATATGGACACGTAGAGTCACATAATTTTGATGACGTCATAGCGAAAAAAAAAGTAATAGCCTTCTGGAGAAAATTTTTATCTTTAACCACTGAAAATTTCAAAGCAATTGGTCCAGTATTCGAAGAGAAAAGCGTGTCAAAGAACAAGAACAACATAATATTGAAACGATCGTTATGTCCACTACGTGTCCAACAAAGAGATGAGAGCTGAATTCACGGCGGTACCGGAACCTAACGTAGGTGCGGTACTGAGTTAGCAGTCAGCCAGCATCTTACCTGTACACTGTAGGCCATATACGGTAATTGATCACAGAACAGTTGTTCCCACTGCAAATTTTATGTTGTTTACACTTTAGGACAGATAATTGATCACAGAACAATTCTTCCCTTTCAAATTTTATGTTGTTTCCAGTAGACTCTCATCAAAATAAACAAATATAGTAGGCTACAAGTGCTACAACGCTTGCATTACTGCACTGGTAGGACCGTGAAAGAATAAGTTACGGTAATTTCATTGTGGTAAGACACCGGTACCGGCACCAGTACCAGTATCGTACTTACGTACTGAGCTACCAGTACCGGTTAGCAGTCAGCCAGCATCTTACCTGTACACTGTAGGCCATATACGGTAATTGATCACAGAACAGTTGTTCCCTTGCAAATTTTATGTTGTTTACACTTTAGGACAGATAATTGATCACAGAACAATTCTTCCCTTTCAAATTTTATGTTGTTTCCAGTAGACTCTCATCAAAATAAACAAATATAGTAGGCTACAAGTGCTACAACGCTTGCATTACTGCACTGGTAGGACCGTGAAAGAATAAGTTACGGTAATTTCATTGTGGTAAGACACCGGTACCGGCACCAGTACCAGTATCGTACTTACGTACTGAGCTACCAGTACCGGTACCGAACCTGTAGGTCTGATATTCCGTTCCGCATACGATAGGCTATAAAACTTGCATTGCAGCATTAGTAATACCGCGGAAGGAATAAGTCAATTTCACTGCGTTACGGTACCGGTATGGCAACTTACCAGTACCGACCTACAGTAGCTGTAGTACTGAGCAAGACAATCGATCGCGAAACCGCTTGAAATAAGTGTAAAACAGTGTTCCCATGAGTAAAAATAAATACCGCGAAATTTTGTATGAAATATCATATCTCATTGGATTCATATAAAATTTAAGAATAAATAAAAGTAATAGCCTTCTGGGGAAAAATATAATCTTTACTCACTGAAAATTTCAAAGCAATTGGTCCAGTAATCAACGAGAAAAGCGATTTTTTCATAACGATACCAAGAAGAAGACAAATAAGAACAAGAACAACAAAAATACCAAAACGATCGTTATGTCCACTAACGTGTCCAATAACGTGTCCAATAAGCGCACATTTCCAATGCAGTATTGAAGTATTGCTCCATTTTTGCATAACTTATATGTGCGAACAAAGCTTTTCCTTTTTATTACTGATCAAAAACGATGAACGGTCCTACATAAAAGATGTTGACGGCGAACTTCGAGTTGCTCTTTCACGTATTGATCCTAATATAGAGCGATTGTGCTCTATATACAACCACAAATCTCTCATTGAAATATGAACATACAAAGTTACACTTTGTTTTTTGTTTTGTTTGATGTGGTGTGCCGTCGAATTTGGTAAGTTTTATAAGTGTGCCGCAAGGTAAAAAAGGTTGCGGAGCACTGGCGTAGAGCGACAGACGACACTGATGTACAATAGATGTTTAGTTTGAGCTCTGCACGGACTTTGCTCGAGTAACTGGTACATCAAGTTTGATTGAGTCATTCACACCGTTTGCGGCGCCGGCCACGTTTTCGTTGCGGCCGCGTCTCTAAATCGCGGAATTGCCTTTGATTGTTTAGTGAAGGGCGGGGTGATCACTTTTTGTTTGTCAAGGCATAAGTTACGGTAAATCTGCGTAGCAGGCTTTTTATAATAATATACGACTGTACAACGGTCTATGTTGTCTTTCGTGCATAGAGGATTTTGCCGAGTAATTTCGAATAATTCACCCAATATATCAAGAATCATGTCTTATGTCGCTGAAGAAAGAGGACGTCCAAACACGCTTGATTATAGAATATACTATAAAAACAGCGAGGGGCAATACATCTCCCCTTTGCATGACATTCCATGGCTGGTTTCGGAAAGCCCACGAGTGTACAATATGGTCTGTGAGGTTCCAAGATGGACGAACAGCAAGATGGAAATTGCAACAAAAGAGAGTCTAAATCCAATTAAACAAGATGTGAAAAAGGGGAAACTCCGATATGTTGCTAATTGCTTTCCACACAGAGGATATATTTGGAATTATGGAGCAATTCCACAGACTTGGGAAAACCCAGGACACAAAGACAAGAATACAGGTCAGTGTGGTGACAATGACCCAATTGATGTTTGTGAAATTGGATCAAAAATCTGCAAGCGTGGTGAAGTTATTCAAGTAAAGGTTGTTGGTGTTCTTGCCATGATTGATGAAGGAGAAACTGACTGGAAAGTGATAGGAATCAACGTTAACGATGAAGACGCTCCAAAAATAAATTCAATTGGAGATGTTGAGAAGATGAAACCTGGATACTTGGATGCCACTCGTGAATGGTTTAAAATTTACAAGATACCAGATGGAAAACCAGCGAACTGTTTTGCATTTAATGGAGATTATAAAGACCGTGAATTTGCTGAAGAAACAATAGCTGAAACTCATAGGTTCTGGGTTGAAAGTCATTCCGGAACCTTGAAATGTGATTTTGCCATGGAAAACATTTGCTGCAGTGACAGCAAATTCAAAATTGATGGTGAAGCCACAACTAAAATATTAGAAGCTGCACCGGCACTTGGCGAATCAGAAGAGGTTACTGATGAAAAAGCTGAGAAGTGGTACTACACCAGTTTGCTTCAAGGTCAACTTTAATTAGCCAAAGGAATTTACTTTCTGCGTGGAACTGCTGCTACTATCTATGATTAAGCAATTTATGGAAGTTGTAGAACAAGGCCAGGTGCACGCTAAATAATTCAATATCTACGCAATGCACTTTTTACCTTTTGTTCAATTCATGAAAAACGAAGTCTGGTAAATACAGATATCTCGCTTTGGTGATTGTCATATTATTTGTTAAAATCGAAAGTTCATCTTTATATTTTTGATTTCTGTATGTCGGATTCTTGTAGACAAATTGGAACATGTGTTTCTGTTTTGAATAAAAGTAATTAAAGCAATCCAAGAGTTTGCTATTCTTTGATAAGCTATCGGAACTCGACCACCTTTGGACGACTGCTTGACTTACACAGGCTTGTTGCAACCCTACCTAACCCATTCTTTTAAATTTTTTTTAACTTGCTCGAACATGTTTCATGACATTCCTGTCAGTTCATCTGATTGGAATGCACCCAGTCAAGACAAAAACCCTGGTCTAATAGTTGGGTCTTTACGTGATGATTTCCCAATAGTATAGAAGCCTCGGGTGTTTCGCAAAAAGATGTATAGTATTAGGTGCCCACATCAGAGTGAATACTATTCGATACACTTTCACTGTTTCGATCCATAACACATGTTTCTATTACATTTCATCCATATGCATGCCACCCGCTTTGATGGACCTTATTACTATGCTATCACAATCTTGTATATTTGCTATGCCATTGCCCAAAAGCCTTGACCTCCCAAAAAAATGTGCCTAAAGGAGTAAAGGACAGTGTATTGGCGCTTCATCTACATTCAAAAATACAATTTCCATGAACACACACACCCTTTATATTATTTACTTGGTTTAGTCCAATGCTACAGACTTCACGTTATGAATGTCAATGTAGTTAATTTTCCCTTTTGCTGGATCTTCTTCAAATCCCAAGCCTTTTGCTGCATTGCCCTCTTTTCTTTTTTGCAAATTAAATGAAAGTGTCTGGTTATATTGGGTTTCAAGGTTATTAGCAAGTTTTTTAGATTCATTTTCATCTGGGGCCATTGTCGAAAATGTTTTGTTATTGTTTTGTAATGTACCCCAAAGTTTCCTTCCTTGTGGTGGTTTCCAAACTCCAGTTAATTTACTGAGCAAGCTTTGACAATTTGTTTGAGTTAATGAGGTTTCTGCTGAATCTTTGGATTTAGCACAACCAAGTAATCTGGCAAATTTATCCTGCTGAGCAGATGATGCTAGTTTGGCCGTCTTCCATTGTCCAAGCTTATCAGTATCTAGATGTTCTTCACCTGTGACAATCTGCAGAGACATGACAATATTTTTACATTTGATATTATTAGGTCTGAAAACTAAAGGTTCTCATCAGGGAGAAGGTTGTATATGGGGATAAGATAATTATAAGTGGTATTGCAGTTTCCAAATGCAAGCCAATCACATAGAATTGGTCATCATTTTCATTATTTTGATTTGTCACAGCAGCTTTCTTAATGAATATTAATACACAATTTTCTCTGATATTTGCAAAGATATATCTGTAAGATAGAAGGTCAAGAAAAGCTAATGTGATACATACTTGGTGCCGACCATCTTTTTTCGGTTTGTCAAGAACATCATTTCCAGAAATATGACCTAAAATAATGAAGTATTTTATTGTATACCAACCTTAAAAATGCCTAACACTATATGTTCGTTAGGCAAATACTTAAAAAAAACTTAGTCAATTTACCATATTTTGATTTCTTCCTCTTTTTCTTCTTATGACTCACATCATTTTCAACAGAAGATGAATCTATTTTAAAATAGTTTTATCAAACTTATTCTCCTGAAAATTATTTAGTTAAAAAATGATAATGACTGGATATTTTATATTGCCACTGACAACAGGATAGAATTTTTCCATATCACAAATACTTAAATATATTCTTAATAAACACTCATTTTTAATCATTTACCTTTCATGTTCGCAACAACTGATGCTTCAGATGATGTCATTTCTTTGTGCATAGCTTTTTTCCGTTTCTTTTTCTTAACTGGAAAATCAGCTGAAGTATCATCTTGCGTGATTGCACTGCTTTTTCTTTTACGCTTGTTATTTTTCATTTCATCGCTTACTGATATATTTGATTCATTTTGCAGGGACGTACTCTTACTGTCCAGATCTTCCGTCCCAGTTTTACTGGCAAGAGTTTCATTCGCACCCGAAATAATTAGGTTGCCTGAGGTATTTTCTACGTCCTTTTTATTTTTCTTCTTTTTCCTCCGTTTTGTTGTATTTTCTAATGTTATAGATGTTGAAGTGTTTTCTGTTTCGTTTAATTTTGACTTTTTCTTGTCATTGAAACTCTCATTGACAGTAACAGTTTCTTTACTTTTCTTCCTCTTCTCATTTTCAACAGTCTTTTCAACTTCAGTTGTAACGATGCCTATATCATTCCCCTCATTTAAGTTCTTTTTTGTTTTTTTCTTCTTTTTGACAGGCTTTTTCTCTATAGCAATTTCAGCATAAGGTATGTTACTATCCACGGCTGTGTTATTGACTCCAATTATATCAATTCCTACACCATTCTCCATTTCTTTTAACTTTCTTTCACTTTTTTTTTTCTTTTTGATGGATTTCTTAATAGAAATTTCAGCCTTAGTCATTTTACCATCAAGGGTAGTAGTTTTCTCATTATTATTCGCATTGGTTTCCACTTCCATTACGCCATTTTCTACATCTTTAAATTTCTTTTTTTTCTTCTTTTTGATGGGTTTCTCAATAGGTGTTTCAGTCATCTTATTATCATGAACCTTCTCCACTTTATTGTTTAGTTTCTTCGTATTTAATTTCTTTGTAACAACCAGGCCCACAGAAACTTCATTTTCACTTTTGATAGTGCTTTTGTCCATACATTTTTTATGTTTTTCCTTTTTTGGCTTCGATACTTTGTTTTTCTTGCTACTTTTTTCCTTGTAATTTTTCTGCACACATTCAGCATCTAAATCTCCAGTTTGTTTGAGCTGCATCTCTTTTATTCAAAATCAAGAGGTGAGTTTTAATGAATTTCAGAATATACTGATATAGCAATGCATGTCAAGTTATCTGACGCCTGTGAGGTAAATGTAAAATGTTGCTTTTGAAACATTCACACCACGCATTGAGAATTATAAGACTATTTGGCCAGATTAATCCCCCGGGATATATATGTAAATCTTATCCTAATCCCAAAAAGTGACCAATATTCATATTAAAAAGGATGCTTTGTCAATGCTGTTCCCCTACAGCCCTCTTGTTCTCTCTATTGTACGGTATGCTGGTATGTTGCATTGTTCTGTGTTAGTTTTGCCGACACACCAACATATCTAATAACGTATATTTCCGACTATCATACAATACCGGTACCTATTTCAGTATTTTGTGTAACCACATGTCCTGCACTGTTTATTCCTGCAACCTATGACCCCGACAAATCACTCGGCTTTTTGAAACTCTTGGTTCTAACCTTTTCTTTCTTGGCCCACTTTCGTTGCATACAAATTCTGTGGTCCACTAACTTTCTCATGCAAGGGCAAAAACTGCAAGAAAAACGAGAATCTTTCTGCAAAAATAAATATTTTCACTATTAATAATTAGAATAAAAAGCGGCAGCATCATTCATTGCTACTACAATAGAAATGTGACTATAATGATACAAATGAAACTAAACTTTTCAATAACTACAGTAATTTTTAATAGGTTCGTGGCCCACTCGAAAATGTCTCTATGGCACATCAGTGAGCCATGGCCCACTGGTTGAGAACCAGGCGTCTATAGGGACATTTCCCCGACCTTTAACCCCCGTGAAATTCTTCCTATACTTTACCATTGCAAAATTTTCGGGGCTATTTTAGGAGTGCTTTTGCGAGTTGGCGCCTGTAAAATGGTGCATGTGTTTCAAACCATCATTATGATTCATCGCATACAACAATCTGTTTTTAAAAGTACCGGTAAATTTTTTTTAGCCTAGTCTATCACAGCTATTTCTACACTATTTTTTTTTATTACTGCAATTAAATTAAAACTCCTAGGAAGACAGAGTGATCATTGAATTATCTGATTTAAACTTAAGTTTCCGAAACACAACTGAAAACTAACAAAAAGAGTTCAAAAACGCGAAAACGAGGTAATGTTTACAACCACGCTTGAAAATCTGTCTGAGTGAAAAAAGTGTCTGAGCGGATGCGAAAAGGGAGCACTGTTACGTCACTTTTTGCATCTTGTTAATTGGCCAATGTCACGAAGTTAACAAGGAAGTCGATGCTCGGAGAAAGGTCCAATAAACATCTGCCCGAATAAAAAACATACAGTGAAAAATGTAGAGAAATGAAATATAGCTTTTGGTAGAATTTTAGAAGCACACTACATTACAGTACATGATTATGCGGTCGAGATAAGTGTGTAATTAGGGTTGGGACCCCGGGAAATTCCGATCCCGGATTTTAAGGCTTTGTTATCCACATATAGATACTCTCACAAATGGCAGGTTGTCCCATTTTATTTAATACTTATTTTAAAAAAAGGCCATCCACGCTCACAGTTTGAGTCAGTCAGACTAAGTGGAATTACTGTGCGAAATTGTTCTCAGATTTTACCAAGAAAGTAGTATTTGACTAGTAGAATTGCCATTATTGCCGACTTATTTAATCATCATTTGAAACCAAAATAGCATTCAGGGTTAACGCAATGACTTTGCAGGGTTTTCATTCACTATTTAATACAAAAATAAAACAGCCACAATAGAAAAGTAAAATCAAGAAGGTCAACTATCCGCTCCATAAATATCCGCATTTCGGCGTCAGAAATGATAATATTTTTAGCTCACAATTGGGACAGTTAATTTACAAACGGTGACAAGAAAGATTAAAGCCGATCCAAAACATGAAAATCGGGAGAAAATCCCGAATTATATCGATATTCGACAATTTTGTTAAAATTATTCGATTCGATGAAAATATATACTATTTTGCCCACCCTTGCGATCTGTAATCACGCTAGTAATCTGCAGAAACGCGTGGTAGTCCAAACACTCATGCAATGAAACTTAATAAATCCTAAAATTAGAAAATTGCATTACTTCACGAAAGCGTGGTGGAATTGACGATAATTTCATATCTCGAACACAAAAACAGTTATATCTTTTCGGATAGTTTCGAATAAGCGTTTCGACAGAGTAAATGCTAAGATCAAATTATGCTCGGTGCTTGCACGAAATTCATAACGTGAAAAGATACGTCCAGCGGCAAAAATTGTTTATAATAACTTTAAACTTATTTAGTGTTTTTAGCGATAATAATTGATTGTTGTAATGAAATACAGTTTGTTTGCTTCTTTCATTTCTCTCGCAGGTGCCGACAATAACACTATTGAATGATTTTGGCAATGAGAGAAACATATTAAATTGTAACAAAAATGAATTAGGCTGTGAAAAAGTGAGAATACATGTGATAATAAAAAGGGCGTAACGTGGAACAGAAACAGCGAGCAAAACCGAAGCGTGTGATCGGCGGTGCGTTTGAAGACCACGTATTACCCGTGCGGCCACGCAACTTTCGAAATATTCTGAGGTGCTCCGAAGACGCTCTCGTTTACATTAATGTAAGAAAACGGTTGTAATATGGGTAAATATTAACCATTTGTTCGCGTTCGACTACCGTACTCTTCATGAGTAGAAAATGGTCGTGTTTTGTGATAGGTGCGCCGCGATATAAAAAAAAAGGTTGGGAACCAATGCCCTAGTGCCTAGATGCTCTGATGTTTCTGCGTCGATATTACAAGAAATAAATACGCGATATAAAAAAAGGTTGGGAATCAATGCCCTAGTGCAGGGGTGGGCAACCTTTTTCGGCTCGCGTGCCAAAATCGGCTAAATTTAACGACAAAATTCAAACAAAATTTTTTTTCGCATTTGTTTTCGACTAGGTCTTATTTAAAATTTGGTAACAAAAATTAATTTGTCTCAAGATGTTATTTTATAAGTTTTGCTCGCAGAAGCAATCGATTTCTGTCTAAAGCACAAGACATTCAAACAATATATAACGATATCATATCAGTCCGATAACCTACATCCCCATTAAACATCGGTTACAGCCAGATAGCTGAGGACTACACGCGCCACAATATCGCGTTGAGAGAATTCCATGACGCATCACTCAAGCGTAACGAGAGAACTGTGTAACATAACTAAACAGCGACGAAAACAGCGTGAGCGAACTATATTAAGTTAACTATGGTAAAGGTCCACTACACATTTACCACTACTGCCAACTGAAGACACATCAGTTTCATTTCTCGCAAACTTGCCCAGACATTGCTCTGCTCTTCTCCAAAAATGTAGACATGCTTCACTTGAAACACCTTTCCTGGAGTCGACGCTTCCAGTACACAATTTTTCCATGCTGAAATTCGTTTTATTCTCTGAAGCTCGAAATTTGCCGTCGTCTATTTCAACCAAATCCATCCCAGAGATCACTATTGCCACAGATAGATTTTTCTACTGTCATCGTAAGATCAAAAGACCCAAGATTTCGGATTGGTTATTTATTGATACGGCAACTGCAAACTTAAAACTCAACACAGCAAAATCAGAGGACATAACAAAACACAACAAACCTTCAGCCCAACGGCCGGAGAAAAAAGATGCACATAAATCAAATTGACTTGATGAGAGAAAAATAAATTTTATTTGAGAGAAAGAAAGAGAAATATTTTATTTCCACAAACGATGAAAAACATTATAAAACAATATCGACAATCTCTATAGAAGTAGGCTATAGTAGCCTATATATAGGCCTATCTAATTTATGCATTGTTTTGTGTAAAACGTTTTACGTGAGTAAACGAATGCTTTTCAAGATATGTGAATTGCGTTAAAACAGCAATTTATGTTGGTTTTGCACATAATAAAAATTTTTGGTTTAATGACTGTTAAGCGTATTTTAACAAAAACTTCTGTATCTATTTTTTGCTGAGCTCGCGATGGTTTCTCATTCAAATAGTAACATGTGTTTATAGTATATATTCCCCTTTCCTAGCAAATTATTTATAGGTAGCACATTTTATCAGTTTCGATTTCAGTCGGCTGTGCGAGTATCGTATTTCTATGGGTCACTTGTATACTTGTTCGACATTTACTTCCAAATCTTGTTTAATAATGCAATCCTATGTTTACGCAATCACCCAACTGGTGTCAAAGAGTTTTGCGAAAACTTATCTACTGTACGAATATCTTCGTAGCATAAAGATGAAAACGTTGTTCCTGATTCCATCGAAGAAAGACCGTCATCGTCTTCTTCAATGACATCAATGTTCATGCCAGTATAAATTATTCCATGCTGCGGAAGTGCGACATTGCTATTATTACTAAAATGTCGTGCCTGGGATGACATCGATCGATGGTGATAATATATTTGACTGGATGGGGGTTCAACCGCAATGGAGGGCATTCCACTGGCTTGAATCAGCATTCTTTGTTGGTAATTTCTGTTGTGTTTTCTGTACCAAAGTCCAAGGATGATAGAAATGATAGCAAGAGCCACAATGACCATCAAAATTGCTAATAATGGACCTGTATTGAAATAGAAAAAAAAAATACAGAAAAGTTTACTGCCATACGTAAAGGATGTGTCGATTACGTTATCAAATTGTACGCGCCACATTTCACCAGCAAACGAGCCACTACCATTTTTGCCCAGGATACCGTCTATTTCTACCAATTTGTGGCATTCGGACTGGAGCCTTAATAGATATGCTATAATTGTCACTATTTTTACTGGGATAGGACGTGTATTCTGGCGAATTGTAAAGTAAACCCCATCGCTCCATCTCGGGTCTATTTTGTAAATATCTAAAATTAAATGAGTGTAAATCATGCTCAGGATGATTTATAGTCTACAAAACTCAGTATCCACATCTAAGTAACTACTTGTGCAAAATCTCGTTAGGAGAAAGTGCGATAACGCTTAATAAAAAGTCAATTGATTCACGGAGTAGAAATTCACAGCTTACTTGATGCAGCGCTGATACGACTTGGCTTTGTATTTCCTCCCTCCGGAATTATCCCACCTGCAAGAATGAAAATATCGAGTATCTTTATTTTACTTCCGTACACTATTTTTTTCAGATTTACCATTGCTTCCATGTCAGTTTGTTTCGCTTAAACAACTCAGTACTGCCGCTATGTTTATATACTTTTTTTTCCAGTAAAACGTATTTAATTCACTCATGTGGTTATTCACAGCAGAGGAAAGTATACAAATGACAAATCCATCAAGAACTTGTTTTGTTCGACATCTAAAAATGTTATTGTTCTTCCCTAAATTAGGTATTCAGCAAATACCTCCGATGGTTTCGTTGAATCCAGGTGTTTCTTCGTTAATCGGGTTGTAATTCATGGACGCGGTTGCCTGCATAAATTAATAAGATGAATATTTTATGAGATTTCAAGGAAATTAAATATTAAAGGTTATTATTTCTATACATTTTTGCTAACATATGTGCAGCGCCTTGCCTTCATATGGTTGGAGTGAATATTTCACAAAAAAATATTTTTGTTAAAATTGATAAAATAATAATTTTTCCCATATATATCAACACTTCGAGCTACATTGGGAAGGTGTAAAATTCAGTTCAATATGAGTTTTTATACAATCGAAAAGAAGGGGAGTTTTTCAATTTTGAATTGTCGAAAATCCGCTTCGTTTTGTACAATTTGTCATTTCTGTGATGCAAAGAAGAGCAGAATCATGATCTGTTCTATTTTACAGAGTAAAAAGCTGAATGTGTCATGATTCGAATGCAAAATAGATTCAGAACGATGTATTAATCTATTCAGAAGCACCAGTTATTATCCAAGCCGAGTGGTCACAGTTTTTACTGAAAACATTGTATACATTGAAACTAAATTGCACTTTGTTTTAGATAAAAATGCAATCAAACAAACTAACTTCACAAATGAAATATTGTGGAGTCCAGCAGTCCAGCGGCACCCAATTTTCTTCATATATTTCTCCGTAAGCTGTAGAATTTATATTTAAAGCCACACATCTCTGTTCTACATTGTTTGAATATTTATTGATATCCCTCCCCATCCACGGTTGATAGTCACCACTCTCCAACCAGCCATCTTCACAGTTCAGCCATCGGAATTTGTTTTTAAAAAATCTGAAAAAATTTATGAGTTGCCTATTTTCTTCATCACCAAAGTTCTCAAGTTCTACCATTTGTACTCTTAAATAAGCTTAATAGCTAATAATTACCGGTCACTAAGTCCAATCCAAAAAAATATGTTCGACTCGTTTCCTTTCGATGCAGTTGAAGTTACATATTTTTGTGTTTCCTCATTTTTCACAGTAGCCAAGATTCCACTATGATTATTACAAAATTCAGTCGCCTCCCAATACGCTGCTTCCCTTGTAAAGTAAAATATCCAACTTAAAAATGAATATAAAACCACAAAATGAATTTGGGTCGTTTTTGAAATAGAACTAAAAATTTATTTGTTGGAATATTTAAGCTATGATGTAAAAATGTTATATACAGCATAAAACGTTGACATTACCCTCGCTCACTCACTGTGGGCTTTGTGGGCAACCATCATATTATCACTTACCTATTTCTGACGAATAGATAACAAATTGCAGTGTTATTCCTCAAAGTGTAGTTCTCTGGACAGTCCAACTTGCCTACCTTGATTGAGAAAGATAAAGACGGACAAATTAACAACATAAACAAAATTGTTGCTTCAGGAATCATTATTCAAACCAATATATCAATCTATACCCGAACTAATGCTATGAACTGTTGGCAGGTGTAAGTAATATTCTAAAATTCATACGTCGCTCAATTTTGTGCCCGCGTTCGAATGAATAATTTACTAGAGCAATATGAGGACTTTCAGATGACACGGTTAAGACGATAATATTTCCTAAAAATGTTTTTGAACAAGCAAGACTTTCAAATTAAATAGAAATATCAAGCATCGTGTTGATTGATTCGAAAAATAGAGTAAAATATCACTCTCTTATTTTAAACTAAAATTTGTATTCCCTGTTTACTTTATTTCAGGGGATCCAATTATATTTTTTCTCTGTGCGAACCCAAGGTTAAGCTGTAATCTGTAGCGGCCTATCCATTCCTAATACCTGATATAGTATACTTTATAGAAGAGAAAGGTTTGATTTAATGATCCCACTATACCGTGTAAAACATCTACTCTCGTTGTTGAGATTTCGATTTGCGGCAATGCCACAACTTTCTATTTACAGAAAAAATGGGTTTCAAGATTAGCATTTTTCTCGCTCGCCAATGAGGAACTCTATTCATTGTTAAACGATTTGGTCGAACCTTCCTATTGTGTCGAATAATATATAAGTGAAATAGCAATTTTGTTTGCTGTTGCCAGTCGAACGATTGGAACATGTAATTGAAAAATGAAAGCTTTGAGTGGCTAACTTATTGGACCTGACTGTACAGTATACATGGAGTAGCAGGTATTTCGGGATGGTACCCTGCAACGTGAAAACGGCTCGCAAAAATATGGAATAGTTACATACACCATAATACTAGAAATAAAATATGACATTCAATAAATACAAACAAAATCAAATAAGTTCAAAATGGCTTTGAATTCAAACAGAAATGTCAAAAAAATTAGAAATATACTTCTGAAAGTTTGGCGATCAGTCGCCTGCCTCTGACGTAAATAAATGCAAACAAATTCAAGGACTGTTGTATTAAATCCTGAATTGCAAATATCTACGTCAGGCATGCCATACAAGCTATGCCTAAGATAATATTGACTCAAACATATAATATACATAAAGTGTGCAGATTTACTAACACGATTTACTATTAATCAATTCAGCAAACAGCGATAGGTATAACAGTAATAGAAACAGCTTTATCCGATTTATCTCGTTACGAACTGATGCTGATATATTTTCGAAAAACAATTGAGTTGATATACTGAAGACTTTTGTTATCAATAAAAATTGCTCTTGACGTTAATCTATGTTCTAGTTGATGTATGGTTGACTCAGTGAGTAGACAGTTGCGGAATACTTTTTCTACGTCGTTGATCTTCTTCGTAAATTTGTGGATCTTATAGAATTACTTATAGTTAATGTGTGCTCGTACTTTGAGACATACAGCAGATTGCATTTGAAACTCATCTTTTTCACGATGCAATGGCACCATAATCCTATTCCTCTGGGTTTGGATATCGATAAATATAAACTACGGGCGTGAGGTAAAGCGGTGAACATTCAGAAATTTACAAAATAAATTACAAAATTGTAGTAGCCAGTATATTCGGTCGGTATCAACTTGAATTCTATAAAACAGGGATTTGTAAGAAAGTTTTTCGAGCATACTTTTTTATACGAATCAAAAGATTTTTATCCAAGACTCTTCTAATAAACTATGAAATCTGACACAATATGGAAAACTTTGTTCTTGACATCTGTAACATTGGCACGGATGGGTCAGGTAATACAGCCTAGTCCTTATTTCGAATGATATTTATTCTAAACCAACATGATACCCTCAATATAACATATAGCTTGGTTGATTTCAAATCGCAATGAAAATTCAATCGAATCATTTGATATAAGATATTTTGATTTTGAGAATTATTCAGAATGTTAGAAATTAAAGGTGCAGTTCCATCGACTGAATCAAAAATATCAAAATACATGTAGTAATGCTATCTGTTTTATCATATCCAAATTTATAGCGTTAGGAACGTATTCGTAGTGAAAGTTTTCTGTTTTGGACATTCTTTAACTTATATCCTACGATATAGCACCGAGTATCACTTATAGTACACCACAATCCATGTGTTATTTTTGCTTTCATACAACAAGTATCGGAAAAGCTTGCAACCAACTGCCCCCATCCCCACAAAAAATGGGGCGGGGGTGGGGGGGATTGGGTACTTGTCCGGGCTATAAGAGTCATTGCCGCGATCAGTAAAAAATAAGTGATAAATCTTAACTAACAAATGAAATTTTCTATTTTCAGGGAATGTATCTGTCAATTTCAGGTCCAACATTACTTTACCTTGCTGATCACTTCAATGTGGACGTTTCTGAAATTTCAATTATGTTTACCTTGAGATCTTCTGGAGCAGTTGTCGGAGCAGTATCGTACGGTGTCATTATGAATCGTTTTTCAGGAAAGTTCAATCCATTACATGCATTCGGTGAGATCGTGCATTTTTAAAAAAATTATCTTAAATATTGAGATCAAAATAATACATTGTTACTTTTCTTCTTGCGATTTGGAATGCATATAGCCTACATGCACTCACATTGAAGTTTTAGAGTTGTATCTTAATTATAAGTCTCATAAAGTTTTACCATGTTCTTGTTTGGTGAGTTAAATGATTAGTCGCGTTTTTACTGCACAAACGAATATTTTTTAATATTCATCAAGGTCCCACAACTGCACTGCTCGGTTTGATGATTCTTATAATACCGTGGTTAAATTCACTGGCCGGATTGTTGGTTTCGGGATTCGTTGCTGGATTTATGTTTGCTTTTGCGGATGGTGGTAAAATAGGCTATTTTATGTTTGTTAGATAATTATTTCAACATTAAATTTTTCATCACTTTATTTATGTATATATATGTTTAAATACTATATATATGTTTAAATAATCAAGCTGGATACATAGATAAGAAGTTTTCCGCTATTTGCACTCGCTGCTCTTAACATTTGAAAGGGCGGTTGAAAACTTATAAAGCGGGTTACAAATTCCTTTTTTAATTACGAGTATTATGTCAATTAGTTGGTATTGCAAAGTATTTGACTAAATCTACTATTTTAATGACTTTAAGAATACGTTATGTTGTCATAGCCATGCAGTCGCTCTATTTACGCATTTGGGGCGAAGAACGTTCAAGACCATTCATACAATCCTTTCACTTTGGAATAAGCGTCGGAGGATTAATAACTCCCAGCATAGGTAATCATGTATACATATACTATTTCTTGTGACATTGAGTATTTTGCATGATCCATGCTTTGAACATATGTAATTTCCATTTTGTATATAGTAACTTGTAAGGGAGCAATTTTTAGAAATTGTAATAATAACTAATATATATGTACGAAACGTATTAATGTGAAGCAAAATAAATATACTGAAATCATCATCCAGTGATGAAGCATACTCAGTGATGAAGCATTTTTCTTTTTATAAGAGTTGTACACGCTGAACTGCGTCGAACAACGCCAGCTAAGTTGCAATGCAGTTAGTTTTGTATTCTTTCTTTTCAAGCATCTCCGTTTTTGGAAATGGCCAATAGCGACCAAGGTACCGATCCAAATTGTCCGGACTCTTCGAAACATTTTCAAGACTATACAGGATTTTCAAGTTCTTACCACAACACCAGTACCACTTTTCTCCCACCAACAGGTTCCTATTATGTGCATTACATTTTTTTTTCTTCATTTTTTATAATTAGACTTTATAGTGAATCCACTAAGCCAGTGGATCCCAACTTTTTTTTTTTGAATTTCTTCCTTCGCCTATTTTGGAACGCTTTATTCCTTCCTCATTGAGAAAAAAAAAACATTTTATTCATTGAATTTTTATAGTAACACAACGGTTTTCTTTTTGACTTTCCTTTTGCGACCTCCTTCTGTCTCTGCGCTGTTTTCTCCTATAAGCCTTTTTTTCCTGCCACCACCTACTTTCTTCACTTGACCGGTCTCCAGTCGTCCCCTTTTTTCTGATAACCGGGCCACACAATCGACACAGTTAGTAGTCTGTTTCCTCCGTCACGGGCCGCACAATCGACCTTGACCTGCCCACAGGGTTATTTCTGCCTTTTCTTTTTTTTCCTGCCACTTTCTTTTTTCTCTTGACCGGTGGTACAGTCGTACATACCGGGGTCACACAATCGACCTTTTTAAGGCGGAACGCTTTTCCTTCCTCATTATGCTAAAAAAAAGAATTCATTTTATTCATTGAATTTTTATAGCAGCACAAAGGTTTTCTATTTGACTTTCCTTTTGCGACCTCCTTCTGTCTCTGCGCCGTTTTCTTCTATAAGCCTTTTTTTCCCTGCCACCACTTTCTTTTTTCTCCTATAAGCCTTTTTTTCCCTGCCACCACTTTCTTCACTTGACCGATCTCCAGTCGTACATACCGGGGTCACACAATCGACCTTTTTAAGGCAGGCAGTTAAGTTTTTCTTTCTCTACATCTGTCGGCTTTATCCCCTTACCTCTATCCCACTCTGCCTGGGGGTTCGGTCGCTCTGTTCGTCGGCCCTTATTCACACCCTGGCGCATGCATCTTGTCTCTGTCACTTTTCTTCTCTTGACCCCTGTCATTCCATTTTCTAACCAGGGCACCAACTCCCTCAGTTAACCTGGGTTCTGTCTGTGCTTTTCATTCTCTCGACCTCCCGCATTTTCCCCACCTGTCACCCGCTTTCCTAACCACTGCCTTAGTTTTAACCTGTGCCTTTCACTCTTTCGATCTACCCTGCGCAGACCATGTTACCTTCTAACTAGCTTACTACTTCTCAACCCAGTGGGTTTCGAACCCGTCCTCGCATCTGGCTTCATGTTTACCATACCAACACGCTTCCTTTGCACCACCGGTACCGATGGGTGCAGTCTTGATTAAAATCTTAATTAACCGGTTTTATCAACGTCGTCACACTTGGTTACCCGTGGCGAGGCTAATTGGGCAGCAACGTGCTGTGTCGGTTCGTAGCAGACGTTAATTTTGCACTATCGTGTGCGCTTTGTTTAACTTAGTGGTTCTCAACCTTTTTCGATAAATGCCTCATTTTGCTTATTATGGAACTCTTTATTTCTTTCCCACTTTGCATAAAATTCTGTTTTCGTTTTTGTTTGTTCAATCTGCTTTAGCTTAGGATACGTGCAACTCGCACTCTGGTTAAATATTTTGAGTATAGATTACGATAATAATGAATAGGTGAACAATACTTGTAAAACTACTCCAAATATTAAATGATTTTTAATTAAATGATTAAATGATTATTTCCTCCCCAAGAACATCAAAATTCCTCTTTGGAAATGAATTCCCATGTTGTTTGCCCTAAGATAAACATGAAAGTACGTTGATCCATTCTTACCCTGTAAAGTTTTCAGTAGCCCAGATTTTCTGGACTCCCAACGTGATATTGCTAGTGGAGTCTTTACTACTAATATTGATTCATTATACAAAATCGTTTGAATTTCGAGATCGAATCAAATAGGTACTGGCTGCTGCAGTACACGTGTCACTTTGATGACTACAATTCTACTGTCTGCGTAAAACAGTTTTAATAGCATAATGCATTTATATGTTTTTATTAGTAGTTGTGTTCTAACTGTTCCCATGTAAATTTTTGATTTTAAAAAATAATTCTTTTGCTACCACCAAAACCTGAAAGCACCGTCATCGTAACATCATAACAATGTTTTTCAGACGAACTAAATCCAGTTGCCTGGAGTTACGTCATTGTTGGAGGATTTTCTCTTGTTGCATCGATTCCTCTTTTTGCTTTCTCTTTTTGTGGACTCGATAGAAAAATTAAAATGCGGGAGCAAGTACAAAACCAGATCACAAGGAAGAACCGTTACACGATGTTTGGCCCATTCTTCTTCTTGTATTTTTCTTTTATTTTCTTAACGATATGTTGGAAGCAATATATACCAACTACATTTATTCGATATCAGTCTGCGCGTCAGGATTCACGGTAAGATGACTCGTAGTAATATAACAAACTAACTTTGTCAAATTTGCCGCTTATTTCAACTAAAATCCATATTTCAGGTTACGCAAGCAGCTAATTTGACCTCTTTATTTTGGTTTGGAAACTTAGTAGCAAGATTTGTTGCTATTGTATATTCAAAATATTTTCAACCGCGAACAATCATCATATATGACATCTCTCTTGTGCTACTGTCCATGGTGAGATTCATATTTTATTGATCGGTTCTGCTACGAGCCAGCTGTGACAGTGACATATTGAGATTATATTTTATAAAAATATGAAAACCCTATGTTTACCAACCTTTTGTAAGACGAGTTATGGAAAATAGATGAAATATATAATACCAGTAGACTGAAGATAGCGTGCGTCGGTAAGAACAACTTTGGAACAAATGAAATTCGAAAGTGCGTGATTTTCACCTACACTGGTAGTTTCACTGAACTTTTTTTTTATCCATTTTCCTTAGTATACAACTGATATGGGAAAGATAAAAGATTTCTAGACACAATGGTAGCTCCTAAACGAGTAATACCGGTAAAAATTACTTTATTATTGTAAATACATAACTTCAGATTGTGATATGCATATTCGGAGAGTACATAAATCTTGTGCTTTGGATTTCTACTTTGTCCTGTGGGATCGGAGTTGCAACAATTTACGCGACAGGTAAATGATGCTTCCTAATTCGTTTATTAAAGGTTTATGCTTTATACTGTATATTTGACTGACGTTTCGACACAAAGATATGTCCAGTTGAATTTTTAAACTGACAATCTGGTTCTCCAATATCAAATTGTGATGACATAATCGAGTTCAAAAGAGAGATGAATATGAAATGAAAGTGATGACTATAGTATGGGCTCATTTTTCCTTCAAATTACAACATATATTGTATAATTGTTTTTACTTGGTTTCTGATATAACCAATATTATTCAACAGGTGTTACTTGGGCGTCGAATGTGACTGATGTATCGGGAAGTTATATGTTTGTATTTTTGGCTGGAAGTAATACGTCTTCTATGGTTACGTTGCTCATTGCAGGAATATTGTTTGATGTGGATCCGTGGAACGTAGTAAACACATTATACTAGTTTCTTTTGTATTAATAACGTTTTTACAGCCTAAGTCTGCATTGTACCATGTGTGGTATTTCGTTAATATTTGATCTGTTATTTCCCCCAGTTGCCAGATTGCGAATATACTCATATGAGACTGGCATTCCACTAGAAGCGCTTCAGCGTACTTGAATTCCTTCTCTTGGTGCGTTCGTTTCACGGCTAGTCTAGTTCCAAACGCTATCCCTGTGAACGCAACCCACATAACGCAACACCAAATTCGGAACCATCGATCTTGTGATATTCAGTGAGATTGTGGTCATATATTCCTTGCACAAGACGGGTCAAATATAATTGGTCGAAGAAGAAGGACACTCATTCAAGAGTTAGAGTAGTCTATCACAGGAACGATTCTGACCTACAGCTTACATTTGCTCCAGCTATATCTATCAGTCTTCCAGGGTCTAACCTACCACATTCTAAGAATTTATGTGAAAAATCTCTAATCTCTTAGTTATTTTGACGCAGATGCATAAAATGCTTTGAACAAAAATAATTTTACCTTTCGACAGATGTACTTAATTCTCTCTGCTGCATTGACGATTGGTTTCGTTTTTACTGGCATGGAGATTGCAGCTCGCCGTCATGAAAGCCGAATAGCAAGCGTTTCAGAAAACAATCAAGATTACAAAGTGGATGTTGATTACAAAGTTTCTATAACAGACAATATTCAACAAACTAGATTGTGAGATATATTGAACTCGAATGAATCTCTTGAAAAATCATAACAACAGTAACGTTACTACTGCATCTGTTGTAGTTACATCGAACACTTTCATCGAAACCAAATACTTACTTTGATTATTTTACGACGTTTGAGGTACATATATGCTTTACACACTCTCGTTAATTTTACGATATTTAATCGACGTGCGATGTAAGCGCGATGTTAGCAACTACTATCTACGATATCGTAATATGAGTCGTAAATTCTCGATTACATCACGTAGGGTCGTAGATTTACAATCAGGATTCAGTATATACAATTTCATACGGTGCAAAATCAATTTGATTCCGATTTCATTTTTTAAGAATAAGGTCTATTTCTCAATGTTTATCACATTTTATATCTTTCAAATTTTGTCTTATAAGAAACCTTTGACCTCTTGCTAGTCTCTAGTCTATTTATTATCCATATAATTCCATCACACAAATTGAACCAATTGCTGCGGCCACGATGACTAAACAATAGTCTTTTTCAATTGGTTAAGCTGGTCGAAGCATTGTTCTATGTCGCTACATAACAGTCCGAATATAACACTCCAGGTATATGAAAACCCTTGGTAATTTAAATTGCAACGATAGCAGTATTATTTTCAAGTTAATCGAGTCAACGTTGTTGGAAATCGGTATAACTGAAATTACTATTCAGTAAATTCAGCGTATGAAAACGTTATTGTTCGAATTCCTCAATTTCCCATGCAAGATAAATAACAAGTGGATCTATAAATGCAAGTATATTTTGAACATATTTGACTGATTTCAAATCACACGAGGCCTTAAAGTTACTTAAACTGTGTAAAAAGTTTCTTGGGGTTTATACAATACTTTGCGACTACAACCAAATGCACACAGGATGGCGTTTACTGTACTGCATTTGCCTTATTTGGGCGATGGCAAGCTCTATTGAACGACAAGGTGACTTTGGGAATAAATTTATTTTGATCCAAATATGCCTGTCTCTTAGCTGTGAGGACACAAGCCTATTTAATTCACACTTCGGCGAATAGGACCAAAATATATAATTGCACGAAATTTTTAGAGACCAGGACTAGTCTATAACAAATTTTATTTTTCATGGTAACAAATTGGAACACGGAGCATGATATTTTGCGACCACTTTCATTATTAAATGCGCAATGATTAAACCATGAAAATATTAATTTGTATTTCAGTCGTTTGCAAGTCGTAACTTAGTAAGCAATTACCGATATATGATCACTTTTTAATGTTCGCGGTCACAACAAAGGACAAGTTGTTTGATAGCTCCCACGAGGCCGAAAACTAATTGCTACCCCGCGTGGTAAACTATACTCTCGCATGCAATAAACTGACGTTTTTGACAATTGCAATTTCGCGACTAATTAGTGACTCACGAAATTTAGACGAGCTAGTAGATTGGAAAAGAGTTAACGAGACTCCTGGCGACAACAAAAGTTTGAAAAAAGGTTGAAGTCGGGATACTTGGAGACATTATTCTATCAATCTAACTTTAAATCGCAATACCCGCGTACGACGTCTTGTAAACAAGCACATTATCGAGTAATGTTGATATACTAGCCTGCTGAATTCTTTTTGTACTTGTTCATTAGTGAAATACCTTGATAAGTACATGGTACATTTGAGTCATAGCGTCAAAATATAAACACTAAGCATGCCATACATGTCGTATTTTTGTAAACTTGAAGATAGCATGGTTTAGCTGAATCATCAAATATAATATATATATACATGATATTTTCAAAAAATTTTTGCCCATCGCGAATGATATCGCTAACATTAGGGTAATAGATTCCGATATTTGTTGCAAGGTTTATGTATATGTTCAAGTTGTAGTCGCAAATGTATAGTAAAATACATAAAACGACTGATGACAACGTGTTCTTAACTTTTGTGGAAAGGCTGCAAATTTGACCTTGAATTGAGAAGTACGTCGCTTTAAATTAAGTATACAAATAAAAACATCATATTATCGACCAGAATTATCTTATTAGACAATCACAATTAATGATGATATTATTACCCCAGCTTAATCTATTTACACGAACTAATCTTGTTTAGCCACGCTCAGCAAACATTCATTATCATAGATATATCTCGCATTTTAGCTATCGGAATGAGGGTCAACGAATGAATGATGATTTAATAAGACTATGAACAATTCGTGTAGCTGTCATGTTAACACCTCAAAACTATACAATTCAAACCTTAAATTGTAAATTTCTGTTAGATCATCCAAAAATGTTTGGAACATGTGGATGGGGAGTCGGTATGCATTTCAACACTCGGGAAAATATAAGTTAAACCTAAGACGCACGCCGAATCACATTTATACACCAACATGACAATTTGGCCGGTTAACGTGACTTATACTGAAAAGTTATACTATTGGGGAAGCATCATTTCCGTAATTTACATGCGAATGGGTTTTTGGTTTTACAAAAAATTTATCGACGGTTTATTTATGATTTACTTCACTTAGATTGTTCAAAAATGCAGGTCTGACTAGGAAAATTGGGTTATGTATTTTTTTTTTGATGTAAGAGCCGGAGTTCGAATTTTGAGAGACAATGATAAGCAGCTAGCTATTTTTGAGTTAAACTTGTTGTTAACTTCACACGACTCGTGTGTATGATATATGGGTGTTAAATTAATTATATTTGCTCGGTCTTCAACGAAAAATGTTATGTTTGTTTCTATATGTTATTGTTGTATCTATTGGTTGCTGTATGCCTAGTGCATGTAACTAATGATCGGTTGCGATATGTTCTTCTCCTTTCTTTTTGACTAAAACGTATATTCAAATACGTATAAAGTAAAGTTTCATATTTTAAAGGCAGGTCATAGACAATGACTGAATTTATTGCTTATGAACAATATGTAACAAAAGCATCAAAGAAAATTCCACAGCTGAAAATGTGGCACAAACTTGAAGGCACGAACACAAATCAGAATATATATATACATAAGAAAAACTGAAAAAAAGATAATAATAATAATTATATATATAAGGTTTTAGGAAGCAACTCCCCATGGTCGCCATAGAAAATCTTCTGATTTTGGACAAATATTGAAGGATTGAGTTGATGAAAATTCGATGGATGAACTGCAGGAGCTTTCAGGTGAAAAACTGCGATTTCCGTTGCTCATAGTACAGGCGTGCGATGACATCGAGGTCCAAACAGGACATTGGACAGGTGGACTTTCCGGGTTTGTATTATTTGGAGAAGGTACAACTTGACAGCTGTAGGCTTGCATGCTGTTTTCCACTGGTCGAAACCTGCACATTTCCAACTCGTCAAATGTTGAATCAGTGCCACTCGGAGATGGTGATTTTGACGACGCTGAAGAAATAGGTGATACTGGAATCGGTGAATATTTTCCCGGAATGTTGAATGGAATAGTCGGAACTGGTAGTGTCTTCTGTGGACCATAACGTCCTATGTTAGACGGTACTACCATATGCGATGCATTTACCATCGGTCTTCGATATGGTTCAAATCGGCTGTCTCTTCTATCTTTGAGTGGAGGATATCCTAAATATTCGCATTTCATTGCTGGCTTCTGATGACTTTGCGTAGACTGCCGATGGTAACCATTTGAGTCCGAAAAGAGTGTTCCTGTTAATAAACATATTAGAGTTTTAGCTTTATTTTGAAATTATAAGACTATGTTAAGCAGAAAGTAAATCCGAGATAGTTTCAGTATGAGATTGGAGTAAGAAAGATACCAGTTAGTCACATTCGATTTTTCATAAAAGTTTCCAATAAATCCACTGGAAGAGTAATCACGCACAAAATTTTGTGAGCATCTAACAGAACTAATACTGGAGAAAATTCTTTATAAAAAAATCTTCGGATATTATAGGGCTGTCATGAACAAATGTTACTGGATCTTACCTTCCGAGTTTTTTGCTACAGTAGAGTGTTTCATGTTTCTGAGATATCGAACCGTCATTTCGAGAATATCTGCTTTTTCTAATTTGTTCGGCCTAGATTCTTCACTGACAGATCTCAAGACGATACTTTTTAACTCTTCGAGACATTTGTTTATTCTTTCGCGTCTTTTCTTTTCCATAATGGGCTTGTTAGTCTGTGAAAAATAGCAAATTTCATGAATAAAAAATCATAAATCTTTAAAAAATTAACTCACGATACGTGTGAATGACTATTTACTGTATATCATTTAATTATCACAAAATTCATAACTGTAACAACAAAAATTTGAAAATATACCTTGCGCCTAAGTTCTGCGCTTGTGAGTCTTCTTTCAGCTGGCATAGTGACGAATATAACTTATAATATCCAAATGATCTATTATATCCAGTTGTATTTGATGATCTATTGAAAACGTTGCAAATTGTTCCTTAGTAAGTTGATTGATAATAAATAAACCGATATGATTTGTAATCTTGACATAAAGAGTATATAAACTATTGGAGGTTCAAACTTTTTTCTCATTTAATGACTTCCTTTTTTCTGATTTCGAACGCGAGCACGTCTCTCGACCTTATGCTGGATCTGCGCGTGTGCGTCGTTCGCTAATAGCTTATCTGTTTCAAATTCGGCGATAAATGACGCGATTTATCTGTAATTAAAATAGCTAACAATTACATAAACGTGGACGCTGGACAAACATTACATTTGTAATGATAACAGATACTATTTTGAGTCAGCCTTCTTGATGATATTGTAACAAAAATCATTTGTTCAAAATTCATTGTTACCCTGGCAATTATTACGTGATTGAAAATGAAAAGACTATTGTATAAACATTTGCGCTTGACCTTAGATATTGATATTTAATATTTCATATTAGGCGAAATATTATCGGCATAATTATTAGCAAACTCGGTGCAATCGACCGAAAAAGTATTTTTGCCAATAATGACGTAAGAATAGAACATAGAGAACGATGACCTTATACATCAAGTAATAAAATAAAATTGTATTCCAAACTAAATTGGAAAAGCACGTTTCGATATTCTAGAATACGATTTTACAAAAACGAATGAGATCAACGTACAAGTGCTCTTGATAAAAATTATGAAAGTTTAGAACATGAATGAGACATGAGTTACGTAATATTATGTAATTCTAAATCTAATACATGTAAAGTTTGTTTGAGGACAATTTATGTTTAACAATTCATTTAAGAAAAAACAGCAATGATATAATTATGTGGCATCAATTTTCAAATGAGCGTGCTCAGTGAAAGTTTATTTCAGAGAGTACTACACGTGAAAAAATTCTTGGAAAAACTCACATTTTCAAAACAAGTCCTAAAATTCCCTTTGATGGATTTGTTTTTTATCAAGGTAAAGGCAATCGCTGCATGGGCGCTAAATACAACCTTGAACCATTTTATAAAGCAATTGAAATTAAAATAGATATAATTACAGGTTGCCAAACCTTGTAGCATTGACTGATGGATGAAGCGAGTTGTGAATAGAGTTTGTGATAGTTAGTTGTAACGTAGACGCGCTTTGTAAATTACCTCATTAAAGCTACAAATGAACTTCGCTATTGTTACAGTTTCACCGCGTAAGTTGAACAAAAGAAACACAATGTCTGAAGCCCAAACTCTGGCGCTTTAATTGTTATTGAGAGACAGTGTTTCATGTTGAATGTACTCACTATGATTGGAACCAAATATGAATTTTTGCTCACGTCAAACGACCTACCCTTGTGCTGATTTTCAAGCAATAAATGCAAGAACAAAAATATTTCCGGCTTCCACATTTTAACGAATATGCTGCGGGATAACTACACATGTTGCAACAATTATATTCAAATTTTAATTGTAAGCGAATTTTTCGGTATATGGTGAACTCGTGGGACAATTCATAATTATCATCTTAATTGGATATATAATTCAATAACGGAAGAATTGATGGAATAATAGGCGATTGTTTTAACAATAATTTGTTTATACTAAATGCGTGGAAACACTAACAACCATGGCGATTATTGCGACACGAAAATTTGAAGTAAATAATATGATGGTGCTGAACACTGGAGTTACATTTGCGAAAGATACGTTTGAGCTTCAATCACAATTTTTTTTTAATATGATCGCAAACGAGTCCGTATTACATATTTATCAACAGTCCCATGTTCAGAACAAATCGCCTGAGCTATATATTCAAACAATTTCACCATAACGAGTGACTGTGGAAATGTCTAGAATTTTGAAGTATTTTTTTTTTAAATTGGGGTTCGAATCATATGCTTTGGATTATGGTACAGATTGATAAAGTGAGCATATGCAAAAAAGGTTTCTTTCCCACGAGAGAGATTCCAATACATGGATTTCATTCCAAATCTGATACTGTTAGAAACAAGTAAAGTAATATCATTAAAAATATTTTAATGTGCCGATCTCCGACTGGATTCTGTATATACTACAAATGCGATGACGTGTGCGACGACACGATCGTGTGCTTGTATATTGCAAAACGCTGGTGAATTGTTTTTTAAATGGCATTGGCGACACGTATAAACAATTTAACAACCTGAGAGATGTTTATATCCCTGTCTGACTGATTGAACATTAAAAAACTTAATAGAGTTGCATGATTATATAATAAGAACTTCTATATCGGATGCTATAAAAGTCACGGTAGTATTCATTTTCCTTAAGACTATGATAATTTTCGAATGAATTTATGAATTTAGTATAAAATAACAAAACAAGGATGGTGAATTCCAATCGCAATAATTACCACTGCTTAAACTGCTGTGGCAGCATTAAGTCTAGACTGGAGTCAAACGCCAAATTTTCGGCGCCAAATATTTCCAGGTGTTTTATTGGATCATAATAGTCAGCTGCGCAACATGGTTTTACCCACTTCTCTCCCGTGCTTCCTGAACACCTCATACAGACTTATTGGTGCCATGTTTTAACCTAACCCCTTTTGCGGGAAAATGTGTAAAGATGTGCAAAGCTCCACGCTATTTTTCAGTATGTGCTTAATTCAACGTGATGAATTGTCACACAGAACACGCTTAATTTTCTGTTAACATTCATTTGAGTCGCGTATTATTTCACACATTATGGGGTAATTTGTTTCACAAAACACTCTGTAACCAACAACCACCGCCCTAGTATGAATCCTAGAATTCCACGTTATACAAGAACATTTCTCCTAAAAGTTGTTATAATTGTTGGGATATAAATCATTAATCAAATGTCTTGTTGAAGAAAACAATGTCAAATAAGATATAATATTTACTCAATTATATCCACAACAAGTGTATGATTGCATTGAAAAACAATGCACTTGAATAATAACGATAGTATCAAGTGGTTAACACCAAGATTGGGAAATCACCTGATCGGATAATGTCGTGGATGGCACAACTTTTAAATGCGTTATTTTGGCGCCATTTCAAGTGATGTAAATAATATTGCAATATATGGCGGATGTAAACGCCTAATTTCTAATTACTGAAATGCAAACTTTTTAGAATTTGTGTAAAATCTATAAAACAAACATAGATAAAATATGTTGATAGGAAAAATATGTCTGCGTTTCTAGAACAATGTCGCAGTTTTTTCATTGTCCATGTGAATCCGATTGGATAGATATGATTAGAAATATTTTAATGTAGCCTACTGTTAAATTATAGGAACAAGAGTTTGTACGGCCAGAAGTTCAAATCAAGTAAATTGATATACACATAATAGAATATACATATTCATTATAATGAGATAGTCGAAGCTACATATGCACGAACACGTGAAATTTAGTTATTTATATTATCCAAATCGAGTATGTTGTACATTTACGATTATCATGCTTGTCATGCGAATTAAAATTTTACACTTTCAAATTTAATATGATTTAAAACTAGTGGTAATGTTCTTGTTGACTAATTAACTCGCATGATACAGTATTAATAATGATATTAATTAGTTTCGTTGATAAGAAGTAAATTGTGCAAACAAATTAAATATCGCGCAAAATCTTCATTACAAAGTTGTTATTTTATCTATTATCGTGTTAGTTTAGGCACAAATTCTTGTTCGTTGTTTTTCGTTGCTTTTCGTATCTTGATTGACGAACTTAATAACATAGAAAATGACGAAAAAACAAATAAAAATACTTGGTGGTAGTTGCCACAATACGCAATTAACTACCCTTATCTACTTTACTCGTTGTTTATACCTACACCACCATCTCACCCTTGGTGGAAGAAAATGACAAATAAACTGAACCAGAAAGATTTTGGCCTTCCGAAATGAAATATATCAGGCAAAGCGTTAAGTATTTCAAAATCTCTATGTTTAGTAAATGGTAAACCTAATTTTTAAGATAAGGATATAATACTTAATACTGCACTTCATTTATCAAAGATGCAAACTTACTTGCGATTGACTTGTGGTTCTCGGCCTTAATGTTTACTAAATTTGATACCATATTAAGGTGAATGTTTTGGATATTTTGTAATTGAATTAAAACTTACGTGTACTTTATAGATGACAAATTTTAAATGACATCATTAGTTGTAAACACCGAACTAATTTTGCCAATTTGTTAACGATGGCTATTTCCTTTTCTACTAGAAGAACCAATTCACTTGACAAAAGAAGTCATTCTCAGGGCGCCTCTATGTCTACCCATAGACGTACGGTGTGCAGTTGACTGAGCTCAGTGTAAACAAAATGTTGGCGACCAAACGGTGTGAGATAAACAAGCACGACATAATTACTCTGTTTACAGAGTCGTCAGTAAAGAAAATGTTGGTTATATCGAATAAATTATTTGGAGTAATTAATGTGGCGCCTGATTTTGAATTAATCCCTTCCTATTTCATTGTTCATCTCCCTTCATCCCATTTCATTATGTCTGAAAATAGTTTCTCACAGATATGAACGTTCACCCAGCAGAAGTTTTTACTAAAACAATTAAGTAGAATCTTGGAAATTATCAAGTATGTGAATGCAATACTTCGCGCGAAAAACAAAATGTTTTCAAGTGGTAATGAATGTGTTACAATGTGGGCAAAGAGCGGCCCGCGGGTGATGCCGCTCGCACATGTTTTTCGCACTTCATTTAGAAATTGCATTTTTATTTATTTTGGATATCGGCACATGATAAAAAGGCAAAGATTCATTCCTTACAATAAGGGACATTCTATACTTTCGGGGCAGTGACAATAATATGGGATGGCCCAAAAACGGAACCCAGGAACATAGGGCATGGAATTTTCCGGTTTGTTGGGTGACTCTCCACCCAAAATGAATGGGGTTTTCTGCGCCTATTATGTTTCAACAAGTTCGCATAACCATTAAGCCAGAATGAAATACGAAACCTAAAACAACTGGGATATACAAAGGAATAGCACATGGAAATATAAAGCTAAATTTGTAGAACTCAAATCAGATATAGTTTGAAAAAAGAAACAAAATTGATTTGCAGTTCAGACGACTAAACAAACAACAGCGTTAGCATGGTATTTATGGATAACTTCTCTAGCTTTCAATTAATTATAATGTGATATTTTGACCCCATTTACTTGAATCCCTTACAATTTGTACTTGACATTTATGTGGAACATAAACTCAACCATCAAACTCAAGTTTATCGCGTTTGCCTTATTATATCTATGTGGAGGTATGTGTGAGTGTGTGTGGATTAATTATTATTTCAGGTAAGTGAACATATAGCATAAATGATTGGTAAATGAATGGTATTTATAGCACAAATGGTTGTTAGATGAATGTGATGTTACCGTATATTGCTATTTCGTAGACAGTCTCAGAACTGCCAGTCGCTCGTTCACCCTTCAGCTTCAACGCCCACGTGAATGAAGATGCGTTAAAAATCTCTATATGTTTTTATTCGTAAATTTCCACAACACACAGAATATAAATTTTAATTTAATAATGACTGGGTGGAACCTGTTATGTTCTTAAAACTGATGTAATTTGATATCTACGAAAGTCTTTGTTCGAATTTTGGGAAAAATTAACTTTGTCATGATGATTTCAACATGAAATGGGGTACATTTGGGGGTTAGTTGCTATATTATCTCCCCATCTTACTAACTGGAAGTTTAAAGATTTGGCACCCTCTAATAAATTGAAAATATATAGAAAAATACAATACACAATGCTAAAATTAATGATATATATAGGTCAAAAAAATATTCACATGTATATGATCTACAATGAGACGAGACATTGAAGTAAAGAAGAATTTATAGAAAGGGTAAAGGTTGTAAAGTAGAATTACAGAAGGATGGCGTATTTTTATTTTAAAAATTTTGGTTTGGACGGTTAAAACATATTTTCAATTTGATGTATTTCGCTACGCTAAAATACTCAATGCTCGCATTATCGCATTGTTACGATTTTGTAGACCTAGTTGGTCAATATATGCTTGTCCCATGTCGGGAAGAAAAAACGCGTTGCGACCTAGTTGGTCTATATATTTGTCCCATGTCGGGATGAAAAAACGCGTTGCGACCTAGTTGGTCTATATATTTGTCCCATGTCGGGATGAAAAAACGCATTTTTAAGTTTATGCCATCTCAGGGCTTTTTTGAAAAAATAACGCTTTTGGATACAATTTTTGTTAAACGAGCTTATTATTTCACCGTTCTATGTGACGGCTTTGTAAATAATTAAAAGTATGACTCGCTCGAATCTACTTTTAGAAAGCATTTTAATTCAAACGAAATCTATTTAATCGAAAAGAAATTCTAACCACAAATATTCAATAATATAAATCTCTTAAAAGGTATTTGAAATATGATTATTCAAAGTTGTTACTATTAATTCATTTATAAAAATTGAAAACCGAATGAAACGCCATGTATATATAAGAAGAAAAAGGAGTACTTTACCTTAGTATTAGTGGAAGAATGAAAAATGTCTGTCTCAATGAGGAGAAAAACCTGCAAATCATGAAGCAAATTGTAGAATTACATGCTCCTGATCTGTATATCCATTAGGTACGCGCGACAACTCCTATCTCTATTATTCGGAATAGAGCGCGTAATTTACCGTAAAACAGTCCATATAGTTCATTGTTTTCAACAGTTCGTTTTTTGATTAGGTTTTTCACCTCGAACATATATCATGTTCTAAAAGAGTTCATTTCGATCGATGTTCAATACAGTCCATATTCATGATTTTAACGTTTCCATAGTCCGTTACCATAGTTCAACTGTTTTCAATTGAGATTATTGTCGTTTCATAATGTTTTTGATTATTTCGGCTTGTCAGCAATTTGCTACTTCAATCGTTGTTCCAGGCAATTTGAATCTCCCCGACGTTCGTAAGTTGGTCGAATTTGATTTTCGCACGTATTATAGAGACGGTTTCTCGGCAATTGTTGAAAGCTTCTGCTTGGTCAGCTTTTTGGTTGATTCCGTCAAAGTGTTGCTTGTCCTGGTTGTTGTCCGTTGATCTGGTCCGTTTCAGAAGGTTAATTCAAGTCGGTTTTGTCACCATTTATAGCATATATAATTGGTTAATGAATGTGATGTTACCGTATATTGCTAATTTGTAGATTGTCTCTGACTTGCAAGTCACCCGTTCACCCTTCAGGGTTCAACGCCCACGTAAATGAAGATGCGTTAAAAATCTCTATATGTTTTTATTCGTAAATTTCCACAACACACAGAATATAAATTTTAATTTAAATAATGACTGGGTGGAACCTGTTATGTTCCTAAAACTGATGTAATTTGATATCTACGAAAATCTTTGTTCGAATTTTGGGAAAAATTAACTTTGTCATGATGATTTCAACATGAAATGGGGTACATTTGGGGGTTAGTTGCTATAAACACACATCACTTCTTTTTGGCAGAACTTTTTAATTTAAATTCTGTACACTTCAAGCTTTACTTAAGGTTTTGTTTGCTCTCTTAATTCTATAATTAGTTCTTATTTATTCGTTTCGTCAATTATTCCATCGCCTGTTATGCTAATTCCGTTAGTCGAATCAAACTTATACTATTACATTTATTACTATTACGCCCAGGGAAACGCTGTTCAAAATATTCGTTGTTTACTTACGACATCTAACGGATGTATTTATTCCTCGGACAGCTAGATACAAAATTTTTATATTCTACTTAAAAAATAATCTTTTGAACTGCATGTGTTGTAGTTGTCAAGCAAAATATTTATTTTAAAATGTGATAATTTTTTGTGCTGTGTAGAACATGATAAAATTTTATTTCTATTACGTCACAGAGTCAGAATTTGAAGCGTGGAACTTGAAATTTGCCACGGCATCGCCGCCTTTCAGGGGATTCCCCGTATTTCTTGCCACATCACTGAGCGCGCTGGCAATCCCTTTCAATTTTTCGCTGGAACTGGTTGTTTCTGAGTTAGGTCCGTTACAAGGTTTTGAACTTTTTGTCAATTTATTTTGAATTTTCTGTTTGGAAACGATGTGGAAATGGTCACTACTCTTCGGGGCGTTGTTCGCCACCCAATTTTTAGCTTTCAGCGGCGTCGCTTTGGCAGCTGAGGATCAAGACGAGGTAGAGGATGAGGGAGCTGTAGATGACGAAGAAGATCAGGTTGATGATGAAGGCCAAGTGGAAGACGATGAAGCAGAAGTGGAAGACGATGAAGGAGAGGTGGAGGAAGATTCTGAATCAACTGAAACTGATGTAGAAAAAGAAGATGAAATAGAAACCCTAACTGCCCATCCTGACACTTCTACAGCCGTTATCTTTTCAACAGGCGAAGAAGTGGAATTGGTGGCCGGAAAAATGTTTACTTCATACATTCACTTTGCAAACACTGGTTCAAGAAATTTTATCATGACCAGCGTCACTGGATCATTCAGGTACCCTCAAGATTATTCATACGTCATCCAAAATTTCACTTCGTTACCGCTGAACAAAATGATTGACGGAGGCAAAGAAGGTTCTTTTGTTTACCAATTCTTAGCCGCAGAAATGGCTTCGGGTCGTCCATTTGGCTTAGTATTGAGCCTGAACTACAAAGACACGGAAGATAAACAATATCAAGACACTGTGTACAACAAAACAGTAACGGTTCAAGAGAATGAAGAAGGTGTCGATGCCGAGACATTTTTTATGTATGTGACATTAGCTGCTCTTCTTGGACTTGCACTGTTTGGCATGTATCATGTCGTTGGTTCGAAGAGTAAGAGAGTGAAACGAGTAACAACCTCCGCTCCTGTTGAAATGGGCACTGGGGATGGCAATGTCGACTACAGTTGGATACCGCAAGATACATTGAAATCTATGAACAAGGGATCTCCATCTCCTCGCAGATCTCCGAGAAAACGTACTAGCAAAAGAGCACCCGCAAATGAAGCAGAATAATTGAGATATCAGATGTCACTTTATATAAACAATAAAAAAATAAAACTTGGGCAGTTGCTTGATAATGATCTAGCAATTTTTGCAATGGAAACAAATATACTAACTTTTGATGAAATAACTGAAAAGGAAAGAAATTTTTAATAATGGGGCCTTATCTTATTTGCAATGAAGCGATACGTTATGAAGCACAATTAAACATTTTTCTATAGTCCACACATTCGAAAATGTTGCCTATTGCCAGTCATGATTAGTTTTTTTTCGTTTTTGAACTTGAAATTTGAATGGCTTGTTATTATCCAAGTTTTAGATATAAAAAAGCTAGTTTAAAAATATATGTTTGCCAAATTCATTTTGAAGAATTTTAACTTATTCAAAGCTTGTAAAATAAGTATTGCAAAAATGAACCCATGAATTGCCATATTTATATCTAGTATTTGACTGATGACTCCTTTTTTTCAAACATTATTGGGGACTTTAACTGGAACAAATTGATTGGAACTATCTATGAGGCATAATTTGCTGTAATATTCTCCAATTTATATGGAGTTCAAATATGCATGTGCAATGAAATATCAGTTGAATTTATCCTAAATCTGAAGCCCTCTAGTAATATGAAAGCAGTGTGAAAATGATGCATGTTTCTAGATTTATTCAGGAGTCTTACTTATTTTTGACAATGGCTTTAAATCCTTGGGTGGCTTAATAAGTAAAAATTCCATCATAGCATAGTTTAGATGAAGCTTATGTACCGTAATTTTTCTGTGACTTTTGACTTTGCTCTGTTGTAATATTATTCATGGACAGAATATTGAAGTTTCATAAAATAGAATTTATTAAATTTTTTTGCCAAGTTTTCCCGTCATTGTTAAGCATAGATAATTATTGGCAAATTGACATTTTAGCGAATGACATGCTATTCTTTGTTATAATATATTAAAATTTATTTGGTTTTTGTCTTATATGAAAAAAAATATAGAAATTTATAATGCCCGACACTGAATGAATACAATAGTGGTCAGTCATATACTTTTAGTGTAGATGCTCATCAACAATTGAACAATGACAGTTAATTGCTTTTCAGTGTAATTTTTCTTAATTTTTTGTGAATTATAGATAATCTTTTCAATTAGGTGAATGAAGCTGGTGTACTGCATTATTTTATAATTACGGTTAGGACGTGTTTCTAATTATTGAATATTTGCTAAAGTTTATTTCAATTCTTATAGCAATGTCCTTGGTTGTATTTCAATGATTTCTTATTCAATGTGGTGTAAATTAGTCGTTAGAAGTTTGTGAAGCACATAATATTGTTGCATACATTATCATTTCAAATTTCCAATTGGCCACTTATGGAGCGAATTACCGTACTATTCATTTTGGGTATTGCTTTGTGGTAATCTTGCTGCACAAACTACCTATTTATTGAAAATGTCGATTTTGTTTATTTGTCCCGAGAGTTATACAAACCACTGATTATATTTAAATTTGGTTGTAAATCATTGATATCCCTAGACAAATTTCAGTTTAATCATAGTAATTGCATTTTTTCTCTGGGTTCATGAAAACTTCATTTCTCGATTCTATGTATTATCTGATGATTTGTCAATGCTATGTTTGCTCGGAAATAATATGGTTTCGATTTGTTTGAATGATTTATCATGACTGCTTTCCTTGTTTCCAGATTCTTTTATACGTATGGTCCAAACAAAATATTCAAATAATAAATGGCAAATAATTTAATAAAAGTTATTGTTGCTGGAGTGCAAGTTGTTGGAAGAGCGTTCACGAGGGCAATAAGGAAAGAATTTGCCGCTAGTCAGCAGGCAGCTGAAAAGGCAGGAGGGGGTGAAAAAGGGACTAAATCCGCTGTCGCGACGGGATTCCATGGAATATCATTAGACGAAGCGAAAAAAATATTAAACATTGACAATATACAGGACTCTGAAAATGTTATAAAAAGTTATGACCATTTGATGAAAGTGAACGATAAATCAGAGGGTGGTTCTTTTTATCTTCAATCTAAAGTATTTCGGGCAAAAGAACGGATAGATGCTGAACTTGGCCATGAAAATGAAACTAAATCTGAACCAAAATCAGACTCTGAAACAAAAACGTGACAGCACTACATAAAGTTTGATTTTCTACATTTTGTGTTTTGTTATTTATACGCTATACCACATTTAGTTTGATAACTATATGGCCATGCATAATTACTAATTTGTTATTGGGGCACATGTTCTTGTCTGCTAAGTAAGAGTAGTAGCGGAGATGATCTTTCATTTGTCATCTATTCAATGAGCGACTGCATTATGCTTCATGATTAAATTGCCATTTGTTATTTCCTTCTGTAGATTTTGAAACAAACTAACAATCACTAGATACAATAACTCAATTATTTGTCGTTAGCATGTAATTTTTGTGTTTTCATTTTTTGAAAGGATTGCCATTGGTATTACACTAGTATTGTGTGCTATTTGTGAATATCTGTGCCTGATTTTGTAACTCTCCCTTCTTGTCATATAAACCTTTCATAGTTTTTCTTGATACAATGGATACTTCAACCGATCAAGATCAGGAAAATAGTATAAAATTCATTCGAAAACTCAGGAAAAAACTTCGTCAAATTGAACGATTAGAAAAGACGCAGAGAGAACTGACTGATGAAGAAAAAATTAAGGTACCTACACCAAATATTTTGAGATAAATGTGTTTAATTTCTGCCGATTATTTAGGTAGCAATAAGTAAACTCTGCTCTATGCTGCCTTAGAATGGTAAACATTATTTTGTCCATACATTAAAATATTGGAATATTCATTTACGTTCATTTCCTCACTCAATAATAAATTGTATAAATTAAGGCGTTGGAGATTAAAAGACTGGCCAGGGTAATGTTGCCCTTAAATATGATTGTATGACGTGTACCCTTATACCTGGTGCTAAATTCGATTTATAACTTTGTCATATTGCAAATCCGCTATGAAGTTCATCATTATATCGCAGTTTATAATTTTATTAAGCTAAACAGCTATCTAGTGAGATTTTGAGTAGAATATAACTGGTGGAGAAAGATTTACCTGAATATTGGTCAATTAATTCACCCTATGCAAGTCACAGTAATTCTTGACACATAATAAACCTTCCTGAGGTTTAAGTCTGTTATTAACTATGTGAAACGGTATGGTGGCAACCTTGTTTCTGTCCTTAACATAACCATCCAACAGTCAATCATTTTAGCTTTTATGCATTTATTCGAGTCAACTTGTTTAAAAATATTGTTTACTGTGTAAAAGAAAATTCTAAAATCGGTCATAAAATGTTTTAGTTGCTTGATTTTGTTCAATTCAGCTCTCTTGCAAGCATGACATAAGATCCAAGCTTCAACTGATCCTTTCAACAATAAATGAACTGAATATATCAATCGAATCAAATAATCAGGAGAATGAAGATGAAGATGATCATGATGTGATAATCGTTCACGAAAAGGGTGATCTTCAACCTGAGATTAAAAGGTTAGCTATTGAATCTAAAACATCATAATTCCATACTGTGCATTCAAGTTCTTTTTTAGGTGATTGTTCACATATAATGGATACTGCTGTCAGCCATGTTTATTGAGCCTCAAATTAAATTACATATTTTATGTCTTCTAAAAGTCATTGTACAGATCAAAAACCTCGAAACGAGTTCTAAAGGTAGCGACATCATACCCATAAGATCTTGCAAACTTCCATATGCACTTGTTTAGTAATCAGTAGAAATCATCAACAGATGCAAAACTGTAATATTGCTTTATCTTGTCTATAAGATGTTTGTTTGTGGATCCAATATCGACGATATCAATATATTAGATTAAAAATATTATTTGTGATTCATGAGAGGATCATGTGATTTACACATTTTCATTTTATTTATGAGAATGGAAATGAGATTTATATTCTATTTACGGCATTTTGTGTCATTCAGTCCTCGTGATGAAAACACATGCAACCTGTTTGCTACAAATTAAAAAAAATGAATGTTTAATGAGCAGAGAGATTATGTAGAGGAATATTTTTGTTTTTATTGGTTTGCTTACTTTTCTCATCTTACCCATAGGTTCTCAAAGCCCTAGGGCTCTGCGAGCTATATTTTAGTCATCAAAATACTGACTTGGCTGTAACTATCATTTTCACTGTCCAAAGAAGCAATAATAAAATTTGATAACAGTATCGTTATTCAAATATGACATAAGTTTTAATTTAAGTTGCCATATTTTAATTACTGCATTGTTGCCACATTTCTACACTACTTCAATAGGCCTAATATGTTTGTTGAATTATCAGATTTGTAGGGCTTCGTAAATAATAGTCAACGTCTTCACAGGCTCTACAACGCTTACTATTTAAGAACCTCTGATCACACCTATTTAACCATTCTAACTCGGGTATATAAACTTAGGACTTGATTTGAAGGTATAATTTTTTGGTGTGATGATGAAATTTTGTGTGATTTTTCTCTGAGATATTATATTTTTTGCTATATTGAAAAATAAGTTGTTATAAATTAATTTCAGTGTTAGTCAACCAATTATCAGTACCAGCAATAAAAAAACAGAAAAAGTTATATTGGAAGAAGCAGCACCTCCAGAACAAAATAAAAATGAAGCAAAGGTAGAGAAGGAAAGCTTTGATAAGGGAAAAAAAGGTTACTACTAATATATATTGCTGGAATTGAAAATTTATTTACAAGTAGCCAGTACTTTTATTTATTCATTTGCTGAAAAAATCATTGGATGCTGTGGAATCATTTTATAATGCTTGAATATATGGGGCAAAATTTTTTACCCATTTGTAATGAATGTAGTTGATTTCGCTTATCTTTCTAAACTATTTCATGCGTTCCAGATGTCCATATAATTTTGTTTTGGGGAAATATGAAACTGATAGATTTAGAATCGAATTTGAAAAATTTTGTAGCTTGACTATATGACAAGATAAGTTACTCAGGTATATTTTTTGTTAAGTTCTATTAAGGAAAATTATTCTTTCCAAGTCTGAGTGAATTTCTAATCCATATAGGGCTACAGTTTTTGAATTCGTACATCCACACCTTCAAGAATTTCAGAAATAGGAGTCACACAACATATCGCTCTATTAATAAAAACCAACTCTTATAGATGTAATTTTTGTCAATTTCTAGTTCAAAATGTGAGATCTTGTCTAAGAAGATTCTGGAGGAACTCGACATTTGAAGTAACAGAGTTGAAAGGTCATAATGACTCAGTAAATTGTGTTGACGCAATGGATAACTGGATTGTAAGTGGTAGGTAAGTGAACTTCCTATAATTTTTTTTAATTTCGTGGTAATAATTTGGTTCCTTCCATGATCTTTTTCCAGATAAAAAAAATGGAACGTTCATAAGTTTCTAAATATTTTTTCGTTTGATATTATATGCGTATCTTCGTTTTTTCAGTCGTGATACATCATTGAAATTATGGGATTCAACTTCAGGAAAAGAGTTAAGAAGTATGGGAGGTCATACTGGACAAGTTACTGCTGTCAAAATACTCACAATTCCCGAAACAGATGAGCTTCGTAAGTACTCTGTGCAAAATATAGAAATTGTGTAGTTTGTCACTCCTAGAGACCGATGAGACCAGTGATCTTGTGATGCTGTATTTCAACCTGCACACCGACACAGGCAAATTAGGTATCAATAAAATGTAATTCACTGACTTAAATAACTCTACTCGTTAAGAAATGCTCCAGATTTTAAAAATCTAATAATATACCGTATCGTTCTATCTTCTAATTAATTTTTTTTCATTTGGAATTGATTTAATTTCCGCTTAAAATGAGGTAGGTTTTTTTACTTTTTTTTAATGTAGGACTAGAATTTGCATAGAAAGGAAATGAACTTTATATTAATCTTTCATTAACTTTGATTGAAGTCAGTGTGTGATGGCTGAAATGGCTGAAAGAGTCCATCGGTTATTAAACTGTTATACTCCATGATCCCTCCTATAAAATGTCTAGTTTTTCTTTCAACTTGTTCCCATCAGTCATTTATGCACCATGTTTAATAAGAAGTAAGCAAGAGCAAAAGAATATGTTCATTTTACAGAACTAATTAACATATATAAGGCAAACCTTTGCTCATGGCCCCAAAAGAACGGTTTTTTGTATGGGCTTGAGGGCTGAATTTGAGAGACTCTAACCTAGACTAACTAGAACTGAGATTTTATATGTTTAACCCATGTTGCCATTGTAAATAAAGCATATTGATAAATTGGCAGTATGCCATTAGTCACAAGCACTAGGATTTACTATTTATTGCGAGGAAGAAGAAAGTTGATAGGACGGCTTAATCATATGGGGAACCAGGGCCTCTCGTCAGGTTACCAGTTCATGTTGGGTATGAGATTAGCTAAGGAATTGTTCATTTTCATGTGTATGGACTACTTGAGTTTATTCTATGATGTAGTATGTGTTCTACAAAATATGACGGATTCTTTTTATCTCACATTCAGGAAGAAGCATTGATCGATCAACAATAGAAATATTTGCTGATATCGATGAAAAACAGAGTGAAGATGAAAAGATAGTTATCAGTGGATCAACTGATTGCTCGATTCGATTATGGCTCCTTCCACAAGGATTATTTATTAAATCAATTTATAACTACAATCCTGTTTCTACAATTCTATATATGCCAGAAAAAAATTGCGTAGTTGTAGGTATATATGTTTATACTAATAGTAGTGACAAGGCTTACCTAGATATTAATAAGAATCAACAGATTTTGGTAGTACAGTATTGTGATGGGATAAAATGCAATAAAATAAATGAGACACTCAACAGTGAATTTGAATATGTGGCATCGTAGAATACTTTCAAAATATGTGACATACACTGTTATAATCTGTACTCATAGCCTCACATTGGTTACTGTCAAGGGGGCCTATAAGTGTATAAATAATAAATTAGCTGCTTATGCTTTTGTCTGCCTTTTTAATGTTCAGGACTGTAAATCTTTTTTGTCTTGCTTGGGCTGCATCTTGTATTCTTGTGGGAGTTTAAACATTTACTCTTGAATAAATGACATGCTTTTAGGATAGGATCATCCAGTGGAAACTTGACTGTCTACAATATTTGTTCGAACTTACAAGTTTATTCTTCGACAATTCATAAAAATCGAATCACTAAAATAAAGGTATGTTTCTTACACGATGGAAATAAACGTCATTTTGGTTGTTTTCTGAAAAATTTTTCCCCAGGTTTCTTTTACTATGCCAGTAAAACTTGTTATGCCTTTTTCTATTTTTTCCTACCAAGTCGTTGGATATTCAGAAATTATTTTTCCACTCGGTTCCATTTCAGTTCGACATTGCCTACCCCATTTTATTACACCTTGTTCGAAACATGGGATTCGAACCCGAAGGAGGGATGAATGATCACATAATTGAGATAATATAATGTTTATTTTTATGAAACTATAATTATGAGAATTTTTATTTTCAAATGTTGCTTTCGTTTCCAATTAGAATAAGGGTGCATTCATACTTATTTATACATATAATTTCAGTGTAATGACGATCAGCTGTTCACATCTTGTGATGATGGAAGTTTGAAAGTCTGGAAAATTGAAGTGGTAGATGCAGAGCCTACACAGACAAAACGGTCAAAATTTGATGATCTGGACTTCAATATAAAATCTGATGAATTTGACATCACTTTGAAATATTCATTCGATAATCATGACTCCTATATTTGTGATAGATCTATTCATTCTTTCTTAGTTCGTGACAATTTGCTTTATTTCGGAGATGATGGTTCTAATATTAAAGTTTGGAATCCAAGATCAGGTAATAAATCATTAAAAGTAGGCGGTACATACCGATCTATACTACACATAGGCATCGAGAAAGAGGCAGTAGTTAGAAACATGCTACTCCGGTTAACTAAAAATATTTTTATAATGTAGGATTTGACAAAGCATTAGCAAATTATGTTATGAAGAAACAGAAGGAACCCACCAATGTTATTTATCTTCTCATTTGCGTAATCATTCATCATATTGTATTCAATTAGACATTTATTATATAATTATATCCATTTTTATATTCACACTTCACAGCACGGGGTTTCAAAAATGTTCTGCTGTACTTGTCACTCTTGTTCGGCTAAAGTACTACCTGAGGACATAAATTGAATCTGACTTCATAAGCTTTCATGATCATGGTCTTCTTCCAAAGACTCTCAGCATTTGTGGTCTCCTGCTCTTTTATAAAATACCTGCCGAGTTTTAGAAACCCAGCGTTAAGCATTTGCCATACAATAGGCATCTACTCCAATTCAGAACATGGGGCAGGGCATACATTTTTGAGATACCGTTCACAACATTGATATTTGAAATGTTATGTTTCCCATGTTGTGGCAATTGAGGTAGTGGATGGCAGCACTAAATAGATTTAAGTCCGAAATTATTTTCATGATTTTTACCCTTATCCTTTTTTAAATTTTGCATCAATTTAGATGTTCTGTCGAAACTTCGAAATCACAAAACAAATGTTCCTGGTATTACAGATGATATTTGTGTATTGAATAACGATGTATTAATATCTACCAGTTATGATCTAGATTCTGGACATGGATCATTGAATAGTAAGAAGTTTCTTTCTATCTTGTCTTCATGTTGTGAAATTATCATTTGAATAAAAACTGTATTGTTACATCTGAAACTCTATGCTTATAATATGATGGCTTGGGTTTTCATATTTATCTCTTGAGAGAGCCACCAATGAAACAACTTGGTATACCATGGCCTTTTGTTCGGTTACCATATTGGGTATTGGAATAGACATCCTGTTATTTGTTCCCAATTTATGGACATGATGCTGGAGTAAACCAGTGCTGCCAGCCCGAGGGTTGTGTAACTTGACCCACAATGACAATGAGTCCAGCAATATGGTCGTACACAAATTCACCACATGATTTTAATTGGCGAACATATGCAGAGTAATCTGACGTACAATGGCAAGCGTGTCCAAATGCTTAGTACGGTGAGGCAACTGCCAATGTGGTACAAATTCATTTGTAAAAGTTTGCTAGAACATGTTTCTTATTATTTTTAGTTCGTTCCTTACATCCTGAATGCAATGGGGCTTACATTGGATCTTTCAATCATGAAAACATTGCACGATTGTCTACGTTCATCTCATATTTTACTGGTGATATCAAATACCTTGTCACAGGAGGTGAAAAATTATTTCTCTGGAAGTTCTATGAACCTGGAAAGTGAGTATTAGGATGTGTAGTAATTGCTTCCATAGCAACATCTAGTATTACTGACCATCTTAATGTCCATGTAAGCATTTTGTGTGGATCTCGGCAGATTCTATTCATGTTCCAGGGTTGGCTGGAAAGTTTCCCTGCAACAGAACACCTTACATAATCTGATTGAAACAATTTTGAATTCATCGAATTTGACAATTCTCTGAACGCATACGATTCATTACAGGGTGTTTTCATCAGGGTGTTTTCATGTTAATAAATTGCGTCCATGCTATAATTTTTAGGCAATTGGAAAGTGTTGGCAGTGATGAAAATGCATCTTCTATAAAAATCCGCGGACAAAATATTACGGAATTGACAAAACCAGCAACAGATTCAGATGTTCCGTCTGAAGACGAGAGCAGTGGTGGAGAAGATGAAGGAAAATGGTTCTGGCAATGGTCTAAACCCAAAACAGACAAGTCTAGGAAATTGAGTGACAGTAATCAAAGTGATACACACTCAGAAAGTGATGCTTCCAGACATTGGAAAGATGAAACAACAATGAATGCTAGCTCGTATTCATTTTGGGACTGGTGCTCTGTTGTTTGAAGAAGTTTTGTAAACAAATGACTTCACCGAGTAGTGGTTATTCTCTTTCATATATCGATGTTGATTGTTGCTATTTGACTGCAATAAAAATTTATCTTTTTTTAGTAACAAAATCAAAACTATTTTTGAACTTTTTGAACACTCGAAAAGATGTTTTTGGATTTATACTGCTATCAGTAATGAGTCTTATTTAATCATAATTAAGCTATTAATTTGTTGCGGACATATATAAACATACAGGGCTCAAATTTTTTTTATTTTGCTTTTTGTCTTAAATGATCCTTCATTTTCAAAAATCTTCATTTATGTTAAATTTATTATGGGTATTAAATTTGACAAAAGCATAAATTGGTGGCATTTCTCCCACTGTGGCATCACATATTTTCGTTACCTATCACTGAGCCATCCTTATTCTTGTAATTTTGTACATGGCTTTTTGATATGAGAGCTTATATACGAGTGTAAAACAATTTCTATCTATGGTACTGAAGTTTGACAATTACACTATCACATCTCCTCTATGGTTCGAAGTATGACATTCAAAATAGTTTGTAAAATTAGTTTTATTACAAATATGAATTGCACTGTATATATGCCATTGCAATCTTATGCCATTGTTCTTGTGCTATCGTCGAAGAATAAGATAAAAAAAAAGCCCTGGCGTCCTAAGGCGTGGGCATCGCAACACGTAATGTCCAATATGACAAGAACAAAAGGTGCCATCAAGGGTATATATATATATTGAATTGACTGTGGATACGTGTTGGGGTGCCATCTTCATGATCACCTATTCATACCATGTTTTTCAAACTTTTTACAACACTAATTTCCGCCATCTTTGTTTCTATAATTTTGTACATGATTTTTGATACGCGAGGCTATATATGGGTGTAAAACACTTGTTTCTCCTATGATTCAAAGTGTGCCATATAGAATAGTTTTTGTTTTCAATTTCCGAATAAATAAACAATGAATTGCACTGTATATACACTCTTATGCATTGTTCTCGTGCCATCGTTGAAAAACAAGAAAAAATGTTTTTTTGTTTGTTTCACAAGCCCTCGGCGCCCTTATATAAGTCCGTGGGCATCGAACCTATATTAACGCTTGACTAAGAACGTCTCGCCGCAAATTACCACCCGCTTTAAAAGTAAGAACAAATGAATGGTGCCATCGAGGGAATGTACTTATTGGAATCACTGTGGGCACGTGTCGCGTTACCATCTCCACGGTCGCCTATCCAAACCAGGGTCCTGGGGTCGAGGTTGGCATGTTTTCACGTGAGTCGTATTCACATTTCAAGCACGCATTTTGTGAGGGTTGATCAATGTCGCAGTGAGAATAAAAATGTCGAACACTCTATGACTCTGCTTTTTGTATTACAAAATGGTAGATATCGCCTAGTGGGGAGACACCCATTTTATCGGGACAAAGTTTCTTGATATCCCACAAAGCAAGAAAGTTAAATGCATGGTGTTTCCTCGGCATGAATTCCTTGCGCAAATATGAATTTGCAAGAATGTGGTATAGGGGAATAAACCCTATCTGCGTGTCCGCACTTCCGTGTTATTGAATTGATGCAAAATGTTCGTATACTGGCAAGTTTCACAATCCAAATACAGATATATTGAAATACACTTAAACTTAACGCATATGATGTGATGAAACCAAATTTCTAACTAACAAAGAACGAATGCTTGGGCGTGGGAAAATATCATAAAAGGTTTGAATTAGATCAGGGTGGTCCAAGGTTTTCGGCTCCGAGGGCCACAAAATTATATTTGCATTGTTCGCGGGCCACAATAGCGTCAACAAACAGGTAAACAAGGCAATACAAAACAAACTCTATCACTCAACTTCGCTAGTTGCCCCATACAGCCATAAGACTAGTCTATTCAGTAACATTAGTGATGTAATTCTGATTAATTTTATGACGAAACAATACCAAATACGATTTTTTGATTACTCTCCGACTGCGACGGGGCCCACAAATAATGAAGCTGTGGGCCTGGGTTTGGACCACCCTGAATTAGATCAACGACCTTGTTTCAGACAAATAACATGCACTATTAACAATACGTGGTGAAGAATATTAAAATACCGTACACAGTAACTATCCTACTGTCCTCATGTACTCGCTACAGTGGGATGCAGTTAATTATTCTTGAACTTTGCGGAAATGAAACCGTGCTAAAATACGCTTTACGTTTTAGATCGATTTCATTTAAAATTCTCGTTCAGAATATTATCATCAAGACCGAAATACCAGGTCCACATGGCACACATAAGCATTCATTTTTATCCCGCCGATTTATATCTATGTCTCCGTTCGCACGAGTCGTCGTCATAGATGGTGTTTATTTGCGTTCCAAGTTGTTCTTGCAGATTGCTAAAAAGATTTGATAGATATGCTCGTCATAATATTTTCACGCAACTCACCTTGTGACGATTTGTTTTTTATACAGTAGGTATTTATAAAATGCTGCGCTCAAGTCTGTTAAAGCTCAATTCAAATTTTATCAGATGAATGTCGAAACGCATAAAAGGGAAATATTATGAGACAGGCACATTTTTGCAATTGTTATAAATATGAATTGCACTGTATATACACTCTTATGCCATTGTTCTCGTGCTATCGTTTAAGAATAAGATAAAAAAAATAGCCCTCGCGTCCTTCTAAGGCGTTGCATCGCAACGCGTAATGTCCAATATGACAACAAGAACAAATGGTGCCATCAAGGGTATATATATGTTGGATTGACTGTGGATACGTGTCGGCGTGCCATCTCCATTATCACCTATTCATACCAGGGTCTGGCATGTTTTCACGAGAGTCGTTTTGCAAAATGATCAGTTTTTGGATTAAACATGGTAGATACTGTGAATTACATACGTTTTACGAATGCGAGGTTTTCAGGACTGATGGATTTAATTCAATTGCAAAATGCCCTGTCATAATCACGTTTCTGCGTGAGTTATGTCGCGCTATGATGATGTCACTTGCCTGCGTCATACAAATAAATTTAAATCCGGATTACTTACTCTAGGATTATTTACTCTTAATGAAATAACAATTTTTTTATGTTTTCCTCAAAACCGATAAAATGACTTTCTTTACAATTTTGTTATTAGCGTGAAGGTATGCTATTGCCTGGCGCATTGTGCAAAATCAGAACGCAATGATTGCAATCTTAGAAGTGCATTTTTAATGTATATATAGATAGGGCGACTGACACAGGTATAACACAAACGAAATTGGAAAATTTCACGCCGATATAAGTTCAATAATTGATGACAAATATAACGTCATGTATATCATTTCCGAGTAAAAGCTATTGATTAGTTTACAGTGTGCGGTTTCAAGAACCTGGCCTCGAGTAAATTGACTCATTAGCTTTTGGATTAGCAGATTTGCCAGCGTTAATTTAACCTCAATACGTAATACCCGGAGGACAATAAATTTCAGCAATCTTATAATGGGAAATGTATGTATACATATAGTTTCACGTGAAACGTGAAAGTACTTGATAGTAAGATATTCAAAATAGCAAGCAGGGTGTCAGAGGAATAGCAGTCCGATCTTAATTTCTTCAGCCCGAGCCCATATAAAAGAAATTTATTTAGAAGCTACAATTATTCGGGAGCTCATTTATATTGCACAAGTTAGTTAGAGTATATAAATGACCCAGGTCAAGTGTCAATCATCGTCGGGCCACTGAGTGAAATTTTGACTTCTGCAGGTTGAGATGTTGTAACTTGTTGTTTAATTTGAATTATGAAACCGAGTTGTCCCTTTTTCTGATCAGGTAATGTTTTTCCTCTATTTAGTTCGTACACAAACGTTTAATGCCTGCAATGCATCATGGCGATACGAATCTTAAGTAAGTATGAACCCTAAATCATAATGTGGAATTTTGCACGCTGAATCAAATTCCTGTTGTGCATTATTTCATATTTAGTTTCAACTAATGTTGGAGAAATTACTTCTTGCACTCGAGATATCTACCGAGACGCGATATGAATTATTCGGCTAGCATTTGACATTCCTTGAGGAGTTGGCCTAGTGAGAAAGTAGGCTCATTTCATATGTCGTAGGGTAAAGTCAGTAGACGACTGTGTGTTAATTTCACAAAATTGCACGGAAAGGCAAATAGAAAGATATCATGTATCACAATATCGCGTCTGTAATTTTGCATATAAAAATTTGACCGTCAGTGTTCTACGCATTGTTAAACTTACCGATCGCTGCACGATGCATTTACAATGGTCGTCGTGGGGATGTACTACTTCATTGAATTTAATCATATTCCAATATCTCTATAATTTATTTTGGCAGATATATTCATTGAAAAGCAAATAAGTGCAAATTTTCATGTGAGCAAGTTTTGCTATGGTAAATAGTAACTAAACAGGCTTAAATCTGTGTGATCGCAAATTTATATGCATGTACTTAATTCTACGTTAATAAATACGATCGAAGCCAGATAACATTTTTATCCGAGTTCGTCTGTGTTTAGGTTTTATTAGATTAAGAGAGTAAACGAGACGTCACCTGTTGCCTCGAAGAATATTTTTGAAATATTTTCATACGCCGTTCGTACCAGACGACAAATGTTTGATATTATCTTTTGATTCAACTCTAAAACATTTTTTTTCAGGTGATCAAAGCAAATAGGTCGTAAAAATGCTATCAATATTACATAAATTAATTATTTTGGTTGGGATGACTAGTGCTATCATTTTATGCCTGCTTGGGTCTTCCGTAAATTTGGTCAAGAGAGAAGAAGCAAAGCATGGAATTTTACGTGAAGCAGCAATAAAGAAAGAAGACAGTTTTGATCAAAAGTATTTATCTCCGTATACTCAGGTTATAACGAGTCCCACTGTTCTTAAAACAACAAAGCTAGTGCAGATATCTCATCCAACAACCTCAAGGAAAATGAATACTGAACAACAGGATTACTTTCTTAAAGACGTGAATGAAGACACGATGAGAACATTTAACATAGGATGTAATGAATTACGAAAATTACTGGATGAAGCTAAAAAAGAATTTTCGAAAACTTACAGGTAAACATTTTGATCTTTCTTCATTTTAACAAATTTGGATACTGATATTATTTATCCAACTTCAATGGGGTCATTTCTTGTCATATGTATAGGGAGTTGACTTTTTATTTTTAATTATTGTTCAGATACTTTTACCTTTCAATTAAACACAAATAAACACACGTACATATTAATTAAACACTTCAAGTTTAGAATACGAAAGCTATTTGAATAAGAAAACCGTTAAATTATACCTTTCAAGTCAACTAATCTCAATTATTTCTTTAAGAACGGAGAATAAATACGGCAACAGAGGAATTTATTTTGCAAAAACAATGAATAACAGTCCGATTGTCATAAAAATTGCAACAATTCAAAATCAGTCGGATGCAATAGAAATTTACAGGTATAAGAAAGGATCTAATGACACAGCTGAAATGTGATTTTAATGCTTGTCCATTATGGGAATTAATTTTAACTGAACACTTCAGAGTAAACGGGAAGCAAGGAATGGTACAGAATAATTTTGTACGCACGGATCCAACAGTTACCTAACTAGATTACATCATTCTTAATAGTTTTATTATGTGTACAGAAAAAGTATACCGTACATTAACAAGTTTTGAATATATCGTCATCTTTATTTAGATATAACTCGGCGCTGAGAGAGATAAGGCTTTTGCAAGATTTACAAGAATTCGGATTTGCAGGTTCACCCCAGGTTTGGGGCAGCTGTGTGTCTTCAAATCATGTCATATATGCTGTGACACGTTTTGTTGATTCTGAACCACTGTGTGCAGGAAATGGTACAGACATGAGTTGTGCTATGGCACAAAATGTCGTTCAGAAAATAAAGATATCGAAATCTCCAGGAACATCTGCTTTAAAGTTTTTAGAAAAGGTATAAAATCTAGGTATTTAATTGAACTTTACACCTATATTGTATTTGAATTTTACGAAAGTGACAATTAAAAATACTCCTCATGCATTAGATATTCATTGCGATATGTTTGACAGGTCAATGACTCGATGCATTTAATGATCAATATACCATAATACAGAGATAGTTGTGAAATAAAGTTGCGATTCACTGATTTGAAATGCGGTTGGCGTTGAATTAAAACGTTAGAAGTTTTCATTTCATATTAATTTTAGTAACTTTTCATGTTGAGCGCTTGGGCAATGGAGAGAAGTGTGCGTCCTGAGAACGGAGGACCTAATTTAATGGACTGGAATTGGTTATTGCGTGAAATGCTTGTTATATTTACAGGCCACCTGTTTCTTCTCTCAGTTTGAAAAATATCGTATATTAATGGAAGATTTTTCAGGATCAAATTTTCATATTTCTTCAAAAACTCTCGATTTTTATCTCGTTGATGCCGATTCTTTAATTTTCTATGAAAATGTCCCTTTATTATCCAGGTTTGTGCAATGATATTACCACATTATTTTTTAATTCAATTTAAATATCCTACCGGATATCTCCATATTTGTTTACCTCTGATTGAGTCTGATATATAAAATAGCATTACTGTATTCATTTATTGCGAAATCTGCTTAAGCGTGATACGCACATACGCCTAACCTCACAAAAAGTTTTAACAGATTCACTCTCAAAGATTCAAAATCCAAAACAATAAAACAAAAATGTTTTGAGTAATTGAGTAAAAATCTTTGAGTTTAAAAAAACGAATGTAGTACAAAACTTGGATTACCATAAGTAGTTGAACTCGCCGTCAAAAAGTCAATTAAATAATATGCTATTACCGATATCTGATATTTATTCATTATACGAAATTGATGGCTACAATAATTAGCATATATCTGACGTCAGCTTCTGTCCAATTATTGAAAAAGAGGTTTATGGATTATTGCAACTCTATTACATATCAGATTAAAACGAAAACATTGCCCGATTTATTCATCCAATTAATATTATAAAATGTGGATCGCAGATGGAGCCGCGTTTTTGTTGCAAAGTATCAACAGCAAAGTATCTAAAAACCAACTAGATTAAGTTTAGTGATACATTACAATTATTTTGGTTGTCAGTGTTACTTGATTTTAAAATTGATATTTTCAGCTCAATTAAAATAATAACATTATTATTTCCAAAACTTCATTTCTTAAATATCGCAGAACTGATATAATTATAAGTATCTTATTTAAAAAACCTAATAATGAGCTAATTTTGGCAAAATATTTACAAGAAGTAATATGTGATAATAATGTCTATTACAGAATGTCTTGTCACAAAGATTCTGACTGCCCAAAACCCTCCGGCAACTTATGGCCGTCACACGCACTCAATAGAAAAATATATTACGGCTGTGGAGAAATGTACGGAATTTGTCGTAATAATACATGCCAGTAAGTGGAGAGTTTTGGTGGTAATTTTAGGATTAGCGACGTCGCGGTTTATTTAATTAAAAATTATGGGAGTGTTCAAGAACTAGTCACATTGTTTTTACTCGAAATTTACGAGGAAATAAGTAAATCAATCCATACTTGAAACGAACAATGTTCATGAGTCATGACGTCCTCCCAGGTCATGATCTCTTACATTGACAATCACTAGGAACTCTGCGTTGTAGAAAAATATAATTACATAAGAATTCGCCTTTTCAAATAAAATATTGCAAATATTCAATTGTTATTTCTTTTCGAAGCTAATGTTTTCCCGTTTTTTTTTCATCACAAGGGGTATTGGATCTGAACTTCATACATGTGGCGTTGGTAGATGGTTGGTTACAGCTGTCAGAAGCTTCATTCCAGTTGAAGTTTACAATGATTATCGCAAATTAAAAGAATGTATGAGCGAAAGTAACCCACTCCGAAGATGCAGCGCCCATTATTCATGCTCTGCAGCTAAGTTTATACTGAATAAATACATAACGCGGGCAGATTGAATTTGAAATAACACTCAATCTTCAATTCGAAGCAGAAGTCACGTTTCCTAATATTAGAAATAGGAGCTGGATGTCAAGCTTTGATCTACTTCAAAGCTGTACAAGGCAACATCAAAGATAAATAATATATAGCGAATGACAATATTTGAATGTAATTTGTCATATACTTTAGTTAGACGGTTTCTAGCTGAATGGTGAACCCCATTTATAGATTGCGTTCAGAAGTGTACTCAATTGGAAGATGACCGTTTGAAAGGAAAAAATGCGGAACTTTTAATCCTTCTGTTTACAATACTATAACTTGCTATTTTAAAATTTTTGAAAATATTTTTTCGATGAATATGCACACAATAAATATTAAAATTTCTCACTCTTTCTCTTTTTTTGTGATAATTTACTGATGCATTTCTTGACATTGATGACTAAATTATAAAGTGTAAAATATTATTCACCTGAAATCCTGCATTGACCAAATACTCAAGTCCAGCATGAGAATTATGTGTATATTTTGAAGGCTGCAATGATAGATTTACATATAAGCACGAGAGACTAAAACAGAGATTAAATATCATAAAACCCAGAAGTATTTAGTCGTTTCAGTTTTCAGGTCTATTTTTATTTACATCTAACAACTAGTCTGATGAAGCTTGTACTGGTATTTCTATTCACTTCCAAGCATGACTATATTCATCTTAACCATTATCGGAGATAACTTTTTACAATGCCTAATCAAAAGGAGGTCAACTGTGATGTGGCAATTGAAATTTGGACAGCTGTTTGAACATCTTGGGACAAAATGGTGACGAATGAGACATATTGCACGCGAAATCTCGCTTCGAATAAGCAATAGAAAATTTGCAATGAAAAAGTATCACCAGGAAAACATCTAATGATCCATAAGCTAATTTGAACAAAATGGCAAAGTCATTTTAGCTCAAATCTATGTTGCACACCATAACTAATAAAACACTAACTAATAACTATAGATAGATTTAGTATCTAATATGAAATCATCATTTTTTACGTAATATTTTTTACGTAATAAGTTTTCTTGCACTACACAATAGTTTTTAAACTTCTAATTCTTGGCTGAATATGATACCAAGATTAGATCATGACTGATTATATGTTTCATCATCTGCCACTAATGCCATTTCATCAAAATTCAATGCAAATGTTCGCAGAACATTGCAACTGATGGTAAAATCAGAAGCAAGCCCAAGCCTGGTGAAACAATGGTACCGGCATTCGTGGAAGTCACGTATCCTTTCAGCGACAAAGTCCTGATATTTACCTTCCCATTTTGTAGCTTTTCTACCGCAGTGAGAAATGCTTTATCTCTCCCTGAAAGATATTGGCTGATTAATTTTCTACCCTAAATTTAGGTACACCTGAGAGAAGGGTTTATCGAAGTATTTTTCACTCTCCAGCTTGACTATATTTACAATACCCATTATCGAAGACAACGTTTTACGATCCCTCATCAAAAGGAAGCCAACTGTGACGCAACAGTTAAAATGTAAACAGCTGCTGGAACATTTTGGGACAAAATGGTGACCAGTTGGACAGTTTGAACGCGAAAACTCGCCAAGATACTCTTTGAATGGATGTTTCCCCGATCATCGATTTCTTTGTTTATTTCTGTAACAATGACTAATCAGCAAAAAGTAAACGATGACGTAACAAGGGCCATTTTTGCAGCCGCTCAGACACTTCGTTCGCTCAGACAGATATACAAGCATGGTTGTAAACATTGCCTCATTTTCGTGGTTTTGTGTGTTCTTTGTCAGATTTCAGTTGTGTGTCCAAAAATTAGTTGTAAATGAAGTGATTTAATTGCCCTTATGTCTTACGAGATTTAATTTAGTTGCAGTGATAGACAAAATAGTCCCAGAAAAGCTGCGATAAACTATGCTATCGCTATCCGTACCTGTCAGCGGCATATCTGGTTGTATATTTTATTAGAAATGATGGTTTTGATCAAGTAACTCAGTTTGTCAGTGCCAACTCTCTAAAACACTCGAAAAATAGGCATCCAAAATTTGCAATAGTAAAAGGTGAGTTTTTCTGAGGTCAAGGGTCGGAGAAACATCCATGAGCAATAAAAATTTCGCAATGACGAACTATCGGGATCAATCACCGGGCAAAAATGTAATTCATCTCTATAAGGTGAAAAACTTGAAAAATAAAGGGAAGATTTTGGATAGTAAATAGTCTGAGTTTTAAAAGATATAGCACGTTTAAAAGTACTTTTATATAATTATAGACTAGATTTAAATATAACCTAATAACTTTTGAAATGACAACAAACATTTGATAGCCGGTTGGTAATATTCTTTAAAAATGAGGTACAATGATAGTGAAAAAAAGGTTGCAAAGCTAACTTGAACAGAATGGCAAACTCATATAGAGAGAATCATATAATGAGTAAACTTGGACTAGTAAATCTCTTTCACACATTCGAGATATTAGCTCAAATGAAATCATGAATTTTAACGTGATATGTTTTTCTTGCATTACGCAATAGTTTATAAACCACTAATTCATGGCTGATTATGATACCAAGAATTAGATCATGACTGATTATATGTTCCATCATCTCTGCCAATAATGCCATTTCATTAAAATTTTAATGCAAATGTTCGAGGAACAATGCAACTGATGGTAAAATCAGAATAAAGCCCAAGCCTGGTGCTGCAGTGGTACCGGCATCCGTAAAATATCCGCATCCTTTTGGCGACAACGTTCCGATATTTATCCTTCCATTTTGTAGTTTTTCTAACGCAATAGGACATGCTTTACCTCTTCCTAAAAAAATATTGGCGGATTACTTTTCTACCCTAAATTTAGATACATCTCGAAGTATTATATATAATTGTAACATATCAGAAAAAATCCGATATTCTAATATCTTTGTTTTTTATATTCGCTGAATAATAATCCACTCTTGAGAATATATGGACTATTTTACAATGTGACAGAGAGGATTTTGAACGAAAATAATTTACGAATACGAAAGTAACTGGATCATCAAAAATATGACAATGTAATTAACGACATAGCAAGACACTAATACCACAACATGATTTCATAACCTTGCTAGTTTATAATCAACTAGCAAATAAATTTGAAGATATTATCTTCAACTATATAAATATTTATGCTAATGCATTACAAAAGAAACTTTTACCGAAAACAAGAAACGTCATATTTGTGCATCCTTTAGTTATCATATCCAATCTCTCAGCCGTGTGAATTTTTGATAACGGTACTCCCAATTCCTTTGACATTATAATTCTTGCATCAACTCTGAAATAATCAATATCTGCTATTTTCTTGCGTTTTTAATATTTATGTGAACGTAAATGTAAACTTATTAATCAAATTTAAAATTTTATTTGAACAAAAAATAATCAACAAGATTGAATAAAAAAAGAATTTCATTCAACTCACAAATCTTTCAGATTCAGAGATTCAGGAAACTTCACTGGAATATTTACTATCTGTGCTCTTGTCATTCGCGTGTTCAGAACAATGTTAGCACAAGCCCGCCTAATTTTTGATTTAAAGCCTCCATGGACGTTGACAGAATGACCAATCACTGAAAAAAACAGAATTTATGTAGTATTATATATATAAAGTTTTGTCCTATATATAAAGTCAAGCGACAGTGGGAACTGAATCAATGTTTTATTTAATGTATCATGTAACATGGAGGTTTCCGTGGACTCGTTAATGCGTTCTTGGTGCGCTTATAAAATGTTAGAAACTTTCTAATATAGGCTCTCGATATCACCTGTATAAGGTCCAACTACTGGAAGAAGAGGGACATTATAATATTTGATGACATTTTTTCCAACACTTGTCAAAGTTGTCTTCGTACTAATGTCGCCGATCTCGCAATAATCAGGAGTGTTTCCGGAACAATAGGTTGTATAGTTGAGCTAAACATATGAAAAAATACAGAATCAAAAATCCCTTCCGTAAAATACTGCGTTCATTTTTGTCAGCTGAAAAACTGTGATAACTGATAAGCATTCATAAAAATGAATACAAATATTTATAAAAATTGAATCAAATCATAGTCACAACAGTGGTTATTAAGTCAAACTAAACTACCAAGTTACCCCATAAATACAGAAACTGTATGAAAACCTTCTTTTTCTATTGTTAAATAATAATGGTACATTACAATTTATTTACTCATAACGTTACAAGGGTGATCTTTATTCGTCGGTTCAGAATTTTGATATACAGCGATGTTGGAAAAAAATGCGACTAATAGCGATAAAACAGCGTTACCAGAAACAACAAAAAACAATGAACTGAAGATCTAATATCACCTGTTTTGTAATTCCAAATGGTGCAAAATGCTTGTTGACAGGAGAACAAGATATGTTTGCTATTGGATCATGCTCAACATGCCACATGTGGTTTATAGTCTGAAATAAAGGGCCCAATATGAGCATGATGTGCAAAAGAATGTGACATTCATTTCCTTTCTGTAAATGTGTTATGTGTATGATGCATTTTCACAATTTCGTTCCGTGCAAGGATATGATATGAACACCCCTCCCTCCTCAAGACTCTCAAACTCTTAAAGAGTCCGCTAGTTGGTATGGTCTAACTTATACCCATGCTACCAAATTTGCCGATTAAATCCTACCCCGCTCTAGTCACAAACTGTCTGGAATTCTTATTCCGACATGGATAAAAAACGCTTTTTTTATTGATCCCTTTTGTAAGCCCAATAAATATATTCGGGCTCAGATCGGATTGTGCATATTTCTTACGACTGCACAAAAATATTAATCTTAATTCTATTTCTACGCAGCACATACAAAAATCGAAATACGACTTACTGTGGTGTCGTTTGCAGGATGCTTCAATCTGACCATCACATTTGTCACTGGAAAACCATTCTGACTTGATGTTACTTTTTGTTTCTGAATAAAACTTTTTTATTTTAACTCATGTGACGAATGGCGTATGGAACGAATTATTTGCCATTCTTTTTATTGGAATGAATTAAGCATATGGATAGCCCATTCATCTATCGCCACTTGAATGAGTTTCCTCCGTAAGGGGGGCTGGCATATAGGCCGTGTTTTATCATAAGAATGCAAATTATATTAAAATTATAATAAAAGTAAGGAGAAAAATGATAAGTTTGATAAACATTACATCCCGGTTTAGTTAACCGTTTCGGTTCATTTGAAATTGGAAGTTCCGCACGTCTTAGTCGTGGAAAGATTTTGAAATTTGTATTTTTACACACCATTCTAACAATTCCTTCGTAAACTCCTTTAAATACAGCATCTGCATATATATAATCGTCTTCAACTGCGTTTTCATCTGTTTTTGCTTTTTCCTCCTTTTTGCCATCTTTGGAGAATAATAGAATACAAATTTCAATTTTCAACAAAGGAAGTATCTAACGCTGAACAACTTTTTTTTATTGAAATTTGAAAGTATTTTCTAAAAGTGTCAGAAAATATTTACATTCCAAAATTTTGTAAAATTACTTCTCTCGATAAGTTTCGATTTCGCAATTGTTGTAGTGAGTTTTAAATTTTGGTATCCATCGAAAATAAATATTGAGTATATATTATGAATGAGACAAATACAACATAAAAACGTCAAAAAATAGTAAATGCATTGAACAAATATTCATAGGTACTGAGGAGCTACACATTCCTACCATTATTGGCGCATGTCTTTCTAGAATCAGCCTTTTGAATGATCTGGCCATTTATAGTGCAACCGACTGGTGAAAGGGCACCAATGCTTCGCTTTCCATTTTGTATTTGGAGGAGAATTTTTTCGTCATAAGTTCCATAGCCTATAGTAAATGTTAAAAATAGTACGTCTGATATTGCTGCAAAATTAATGAAAATATCGATAATATTAGTAAATCGCACGTCTATAAATTTTATACCTCGGACAATAAATCAGTTAGAATACTTTTCGATTCCGAGTTGCTATATCTAACTCGTAGATGTAACTCGTTACCTCTCGTAGCGCAAGTTCCCAATCGACATACAATGATTAGTTCCTCTTGCCTGTTGTCCAAATGGAGTAGATTGATTCTATGACGTCACAAATGAGTCTACTTTGTCGTATGTACTAACTACGGTATTTAGTATTAACTTGTCTCATGTTAATCGTTAATTATGTTGTTTATTGTGTTTTTATTTATTTATTTTGACATTCTATAACTAAATAAATTGGAGTACAGTTTTTATATTTCGTGATACAGTCAAAAATTAGTACAGTTGTGATTTCATATTTCCATTGTATGTAATGGTAGTTTGAAATATTATCTCATTATAATAGAATTAGGGAAAAAAAATAATCACCGAAGACGAGAAACTTTATGGTTGTGCAATTGGTTCCTGTATCGTAAAGTCCGCCAGCGGTTTGGATTTTTGAAACTGCGAGTCCAAGTTCTTCTGCAATTCTTATTCGTGCCTCTCGACTAAAATAAGGAATATTTTTCAATCCAAAAGACATTATGACCAAACAAACGCTTTTGTGACCAAATAATAGCCATAAGTAATTCATGACATTACTCATCGCTACGATTAACCTACTTTAATCAATTTAATTAACTTTAATTAATTATACACTAAAACTTTGTTGCCGGAATGGAACGCCATAGCTTACAATATTCGGGGTATACGTAATCTGAAACATAATTTGATGTGATGAAAAACTCAATATATATATATGTCAATATAACTTTGAATGCCTCATCTTACTTTGGAATTACCCACAAAATTTCAAAAATCAGTTTTTATTCTAATTAATTTGATGTCTTAACGAGTTAATCTCGTCCGACGTACTGTATATTTATAAGTTAAAACAGGATTATTACGTAATAAACAAAAACATACACTGTTTCGATGTCCAATACCGGTTGCGATATTTTCACGTTCACTGAGACGACCCTGGCAGGAGTCATTTTTGTATTTAACGCAATATTCCCACAAGCTTGCCGCACTTTTGATTTGTAACCTCCGTGTATATTAACAGAATGACCGATTACTGAAAAATATGGACGATTATTTGTTTCTCGTGAAAGAATTTGTAGTTAAGCCACACTACCAAATTCTATTGATACTATAAAATAAGTCTTGAGATATTTTGATAAATATCGTTTCGTAGAGGAATTGCTCAGTTTTTGAGATGACTTATATATATATATATATATGCGGACGAGTAAGACAGTGATGTTACATTCTATATGAGAGTTGCGCGACACTGAAAGTTGTAACCATGGTAAATGTACGATTGTCGTACATTTTATTTATTTACATTTTATTTGATACGTACCCGTCCATGGACCGACGACTGGCAGCATTGGCACATTGTACCAGCTGACGACATCTTTTCCAATACTTGTCAAAGTAGTTTTAGTGCTTATATCGCCAATTTCGCAATAGTCTGGGGAAACACCGGAACAATAGGTTGTATAATTGGGCTAAAATTTGTGAAAATGAAATTATATAATTTGTGTATAGTTTTCTTTATAGTAATAGTAGCGATAGTAATAAGAATCTCTTTGTTTATTTGTCACCCTGCGACCAATGCAGACCCTTTTGCGGATGGTCCCATCAGCATTGATGCATCTGAAGGTTAGGACAAAGGGCATGATGGTGTGGCAAGCTTATTACGGTATGGGAAAAGTCCTGGTCGGTAAATCTCTTTCTGACACTGATTTGTTATCAATATGCTTAAGGCATTTACATCAACTTCTTCCAAGGAAATGAATTTCGGACATGACGAAGTGAATAAGCATAATAGAAATTGTACACCATCCGTACACACCTGCTTTGTGATACCGAAAGGAGCGAAATGTTTGTTAACAGCAGCACAATCTACTCCTGTTATTGGATCATGTTCAACATGCCACATGTGATTTGGAGTCTGGGAAAGAAATGAAATATTTTTAGACTGTACAGTATTTTGCCTTCAGCTTAAGAACGCAATTTATTTATAAATATTAATATATAATTCTCTAATTCAAATCTCAGAGCTGTAAAAACAATCCTTCTCGACTTATTTAAAAATTGAAACCAAATATGCCTTCTGGGTTTTCGAATAATTTTTTAATAGTTGTAAACTGTATTTTTTTTGGTACAAAATCGAGACTTCAATAATAGCTGGTTAGGAGTTGAGAAAAATATATCATCTGGTTCATCATTTATATGCCTATTTTGAGCTGCCACACAGATAGATTTTTAGTTACTGCATTCGATTATGGTTTGAAGATATGATTATATATTAGATAGGATATTCTACATGGCTATATATCAAAAAACTGACTTACTTAATCGGTACTAACACAAACCTAGAGTTATTAGAGTGCACATGACCCAATACGATATATTTAAAACAGCGATCAGGTTTTGTCTGAAGTTTCGGAGAAACATGTAAGTTGCAGTGCAATAAAAGACTTCAACATAAGCAATTAGTCTACAATTAAATATAGTAATATCACAATAAATATTTTTTGTTTTACCGAAGAATCATTTGCTCTGTGTTTGACTCGAACCATCACTGTTGTGGTTGGAGCTCCACTGTCATCGTCATTAACACGTTGAATCTAAAAATACATTCTCCTACACATTACGGCATTTCTTTAAAGAGCACGGACACTTGCATTACGATTATTTCGTCTCAAGTATTTACTAATGAAACTTTCACGCTTGTCTCTACCGTGCTGAGAGGGAGCCAGTTACAATATAAAATCGAAGCTCAACACATATATAGAACTTTTTAAATATATATATAACAATATTCTTAAACGCATACCATTCGTACTATTCCAACATAGACTCCTCGAAAAACTGCATCCGCCACAACAACATCTTCACCAAATTGTTCAACATTGTCTAATTCAAAATCTGTCGTGCCTCCCATCATTGCCCCTGGAAAGAGTTTGAGTTTTATTGCCAAAATGTTGCAAATAAAATCCGGCAATTCTTCAATTAAGCCAGAAACGGCAAGAATTGAAAGGCGTACACAAGATAAGTTTATCATACCAACAATCATACCCGAAGTAATTAATTCGGGTTAATCAAATTTACATTTTCGTATCATTGATATTTAGTGCCAGCAAACTTTATTGCCAAACCAATATTGATTACCCTATATCCTCACAGTGTTGTCGTTCGTTTAACAGTCGTCAGTATGGCACAATGATGGCTGCAACCGTTTGTCATCAATAGGGATGAATACAAAAATGATCACTATTTGAACAAAACAATATATCTACCAATATCCCAAGCTAAAACTACTACTAATATTATTATCGATATAAACCTAATTTACAGTAATGTCCAATAATATTTAATTGCGCACCGCAAAAGCAAGTGAGGATATTTACCAGTTTTCTATATGTCGGCGGTGTTTTGCGGGGATAATTATGTGCGAGACGATTACTGGACTCCTCGCGCTGTAGGGTGGTTCACGTAACCGCTGGTAGGTCACGGCTTCCTCCAAAATCAAGTCCATGCATCTGGAACAAATAAATGACTAACTAACCCCATACCCGACATGGACTGGTAACCGGACGAGAGCCCGTCGTTCACCGTATGATTATGTCGTCTTATCCGCTTTCCTCTTCCTCGGGATAAATATGTAAATCTTATCTTTATGAACATTGTGTCTAAATCAACGTAATGTACTGTTTTCATACCTGCTAAGCTTCGAGCACACAAGACAATGCACACAAATTGAATCCATCTGTACCTCATTTTAAAGGAATTGAATTGCTTGCACTAAAATAGAATTTCTAAAGTATACCAACAAAAGCGGGCACACTGAAATTCGATATAGTAAATTATATTATGCAAAATTGACAATATTCTAGTTAGATAAGTTACCACTGAGATAAAGTCTTGAAAAGCTTTGGTAATTTGCTAAACTGAAGATTAGTAATAAACTGACCGTCAACAGGCTAGGTCGCAACCATTTCAATGCGAACGAATTTAAGAAACTTAGTCCAACAAATTACGTTTATTCTTGTTTCTGTTGATATTTGTTACATTCATTATATATTATCCTATACCCAAACAGGTGTATTTTTGAGCTGGTATTCTTTATTTATTTATTTTATTTATTTAAGTGGACTACTTGGTGCCATTGGTGATAGAGTAGATGTCGCCAGGCGACAAAAATACTGGCTCGCGTGGTTGCTATGTAGCAAGCCGTTTCGCGTGGTGAATTAGCTATTGTTTTGATTCATTCAAACGGTTTTGAATGGTTGGAATCGATTTAATTTCAATTAGTTTGAATTATACCAGAAGTCAACTCAAAAGTATCTTGGCAATCGGGATGACGAGGTTCTGAGTTTGTTTTTCTTACGGAACTCCATATTAAACTCGATATAAAAAAAGAAGAGCAAACCTCAAAAAAGTGAATTACCAGCATATACCATTTGCAAAATTGTAAACACTAAAAAAACGCTCTAAATTAAATTGCGTCTAGATATTGCGATTGAATATTTGACTGATACTAAGCGGTCCTATGTTGTATTTACAGCAGTACACTTTGGAAGACATCGAGAACAACATGTACCAAATAGAATATAAATTATTTAAACAATTAAGTAGCCATACTAATAAAGGTACATCTATTTATTGTTAAATATTCTGTTTATTTGGAAAAATGCTATTCAACGATTGTATGCTGGAAAATCCTGACTAAATATTCAGTATCATTTAATATATTTTATATATTTAACTGCTCTTAACCAAATGAAAAACACACTATTTAAACAATGGAACGGTCGTACAACCAATGCGGAAGACTACCGTACTTCTCTTTACCACATTAGGAAAAGTTGAAACAAAAAGATACGATTGTGTTTCCAGTTTTTTTTCCAAAAGAATCAGGCCCTTAGTCGCTATTTATGTACGTTCATTAATTTGAATTTTCTTTGTATTCATAAAATTTCTGAAAAAGCATTGAATGTTGAAAAATATTGGTCAGATATTTAGTATCCTTTAATATATGCTTGCGTAGTGATACATGGCTTTGGCGATATAATACGTTGTGGTAGAATATAAGTAATTTATTACAACAAAGAGGCTTGGATAATATGTTACTGTAACTTGTTGCTCTTGGGATGTAAGAACAACAGCGAAGTCAAATGCCATAATCTCATTTATTAAAAACACGAATGATGTTTTTGTTGTTAGATTCTTGTTGTTTCTTGTGACAAAATCACTTTCCTCTTCAACCACTGGACCAATTGCTTTGAAATATTCAGTGATTAAAGAATATTGTTGTTGCTGGAGGCTTCTACATGTTCCCATTATTTGATATTTCATTCAAAATTCTATTCATGGGAACAACGTTATTATTCCGCCAAGCGTGGCAGCGACCTCGGTCAAGACTGTCCTCCATTTTGATTTTGCGAACTCGTTCGACAAGAAAGTCGGAAGTTTTTCTTAATAGTTACGGTAGGCAATCCGGGGTCTGGTGTGGTTTACTACCACAAGTACTACACAAGTAACGTAGCAATGAAGTAATTTTTTAAATGACGTCAAGACTGACATATTCAAAAATTATTACGTCACGCACATTATAATCCTTACCTAAAATATATAAACTGATCCTGTACTGAACAACGCCCCTGCATCGAGATGCACGTTAAAGGAATCTGCACAATTTGAATACATATCGTAACGCTAATAACCGAATTGCGTTTTTTGCAGTTTTGAAAAAAACGTAAAAAACTTCCTAATGATATTGTTATGCCATTGGGGGTCAATAATTTGCCATGGTTCAATTTTTTGATCGTAGCCGGATTTAAGTTAATTTGTATGACGCAGTTATGTGACGTCATAATGGCGCACTGTGACTTAGGCAGAAATGTGTCCGTCTTGGCGACATACGCAATAAAATGTGTACTCACTTTTGAGACACCCTGTATATATGCACAAAAATATTCACAATAACACTCTATTTTAGTGAGAGTACTGTCCTTGCTTTTCCCCACTCAGAGATTGGATATTTAGCTTGCAAATCGTAAATTCGGAATTATCAGCCATGAGACGACTGCGACAAACCGCATATCTCACCATTTTCTCTTCTCTCCTCTTTTTCTGGCGTCACCTAGTCATGCGATTCCCAATAACCAATGAAAAGGCTTCTTAATTTCGTGGTCTTCTCGGCTCTTTTTGTTTCTTTATTACATCCAAACTTTTTCCCTGCCCCATCAAGATTTGCCTGCTCCAATGCGGTCTTTTCGAATTTGACGCCGCTAGGTGGGCGCTGATTTAGTTTGTGATTTTTTTTAAGTTTAATGGTTTTTATGTACACATCTTTGTCGCTAATCTGCCTATATTTCAACATTTGTATTACGTTACTGTTATTTTCGAAGATTTTACAGCTTACTAATGCAATTAAACTAAACTTAGGTCTACTACTATTGATTCAAATATATATATACAAAGTGGCATTGAGATCACCAATTCTGTATTGGTGAGGTGAATCTAAATCGGAGGATGCTATGATTTTTGCAGATAAACTCATTTTTTTCAGTTAGGCATAGTAGCAAAAATTGTTTATTTTTACTACTGAAGAAATAAAGACGAAGACGTTAACTAATGGACGAGAATGAGAACAAGAAACTGTTCAGTTGAAAACTAGTAAGAAACTTAAAGTGTATTCAAATGTAAGCTTTGAATATATTTCCAAATCCACCAATTACCCCATTTTACTTGTCTTGGATTTTATTTAGTCTATATATTGAATCTTGACTATGTTATATATTTCAGATCGTGTTTATGCAAACTAAGTGAATGTAAACAAGCTGTGAATGTTGACATCAGGAACTGCTGAAGCGGAACTAAATATTCATAAAATTAGGGATTTCTGTTAGGTCATAACATAGCAACATATCCGATATTGAAGAGAGTATTTGTGTGGAGTCCATGACCCCGGGGAAGATGTGACATTACTCGAGATGAAAGGGTAACTGAACGAGAGGCCGTGGTTCGCCATGTGATTAAGTTGTCACATTGGCTTACCTCTTACCCCAAGATAAATATATAAATCCTAATAAAAATTTGAAATAGTCCTTTATCCTTATGCAAGATTTTGGTAAGCAAGATAGATTCAATTTTCAAGTCATCCATATTTTGCTGGTCCGATTTACATAACTTATATCAACTCATAGCACTCAGATCACAGTTTCGTAACTTTTCGACTGTCGAATTTGTTTTCTATTCTGTTAGACAAATTTGTTACTTAACGCCCCGTTTCAGTTCAATCTGAGGTATAGTCATTTCACATTTGCGGGAACTTGTTATTTCAGAAATTATTCCATGTGTCAATTCAAACCAGTCGTTTCATATTATTGGAAAAGGATTTTCAAGTCAATTGATGGATTCGGTAATTAAGCTGGATCAGTCGAAGTAAGTTATGCATTGGCAAATATTATTGAATATAACTAATGCTCATCTTTTGTTGATATCTGAAAATATGAAAACAGTGTTAGTTGACGAAATGATAGTACTTTATATAGGAGCAAACTTTAGCAAATTTTCGAGTAAATGATTACTAAAATAACACACAAAACAACAAATATGTGAGAAATAAAAATTGCCGTACAATTGTTTGCACGGCACTGCATATAGATGCATTGAATTTGAATGCACGGCTATATGGTTTTTGTCTCAAACACAATAACCATAAAAACAAAATTAATGTCTTGCATTTGATTGCACGACAGTAGGGTGTATATAAACATGATATAGAACTAAGTCTGTACATAATAAATGTCGTGCATTTTACCGCACGATATCACCGTGGAGTGTATGTGAACACGATGGAAAACTAAGTCGAATATGACAAAAGCCTTGCATTTTATTGCACGACAATGTATACACAATGTATAAACATGGCTTTGTCTCTAAGACATTAAACCATGAAGAAATAAACTATGCACAAGTGTAACAAATATAGCCTAGCCCTAGTAGATTAGAAGTAAGAGTTTCAATCCTCTGACGAGATGTCTGGGAACCGTTACATGATTCATTCTCCTAATGCGTCCCTATCACCGTGAAAAAGTAAATTATCAAACCCAGCTTGAAGTCACAAGAGAGGACAACAAGTGAGAGTGATAATAACTTATCACCCTTATTCCTATCTATCTCTAACTAAGTACTAACTATTCGGCCGTCCCAACTACCCATCTCAACACCCTAGCGACATGCAGTTTTTAACCCTAGTTTAACAAGGGTTATTCAGCGCCAACCTGGTCTAATATTGCAATGATCGAAACGTTCCCTACATATTCTAACCTGCCTAAGGTCAGCTTTTATTAACCAAAACTGTATTTATCATGTGCGCGGGCGATTTCACTCCGCTACGTTGAGTGAATTCTGGTTTAGGCTATCTAGATCTGAACGCGGGCGTTGGCTCCCCCTGCAATCATAAACACGAACCCAAATATTGCAATTTATGAGTTTGTTTATGACTACCGTACCAAACTCTTAGTATATCCTGAAAGCTGACAGGCCTAACAAACCCTAAGTTGCTGGAGAACCTAAGGCAACATCTAGGACAGGGGTCGGCAACCTTTTGTCGCTCGCGGGCCAAAATTAAAGGTTGCAAGTCATTGACGGGCCGCACATATTTTTGGAAAGTTAAAAATCGAATGGATGACCGATGAATCACATTTTATCACACAGATCAGAAGTTAAATTTTAAGCAGCGCGCGAAGACTGACCATTTGAATATTTTTGCGCCATTAAACCATTTGCACTTAGCATCAACTTTTCTGCGTTTTGTTGCCCTTTGTCTAAATTATAATAAG